TTGAAACGCTGATCTCAAATCTCTTCTATATCTGCGATGCATTTTCATAAAGGAAGTTATGGGATTTCTTGGATTTATAATGGAAGTATGGTCGCAACGCTTAGTGTTTTGCCTGAGCCTGCATACTTTTGTGTGAAAACTACCGTGATTTTGCGACCAAAAAATGCACGAAATTTTGGCATAAGAAAACCTACAATTTTTTTGGAAAAGCGCATCGCAGATATAGAAGGTATAACTGACATCAGCATTGAAGCTCTGTCCGTGAGTATACTCATCCTACGAATCGCCTTTTTGAAAAAGCGAACTTTCCTTGTAAAGAAAAACTTTCTAACTGGCGTTTTTTCTCAACACAATTGCCATACTTCAAAATCATTTTGTTTAGAGTAGTCAAAGCTACTATTGTTTTATAGTAGTCAAAGCTACCATTGAAACTCCTGCTTGAATAAGTATTTTGTATCGTTCCGTTTTACAGAATCCCCTCAAATGACTACATTATCTCTTAAAAATAGACTAGCACTTTATAGCTCGCTTCAATGAATTCCAGTATTGTTTTGTTGAGAATAAGAAGGAGAAAGTGGGGTGTAGAACTCCCCCGTATATGGTTTTACTATAGTACATAATTTCTACCAGACATTATCTCAGCATTCTTTTCGCTGTATCTGGTAATCTTTGGATCTCTTTAGACTCCTCAACATTCGCGTTTATCAAGTAATTCACAGCCAGGGTAGGTTGGCAAGAAATTCTTGAGTACCTCAATTAAAATTCGATGACTTTTCCACCCTGAACATAAATTCAAGAGTTTATATTGGAAAGTAAAGAATGGTTCACGATTCAGCGTAGGGTTTGAACGCAACATTTTTAGCAAATATTTATGAACGAAGCTTTCAAATTCGCCACCTCCTCGTGTTTGTGAGTCGGTTAGAAAAATATTAGACTAGTCAGCCCCAAAAACCCGAAAATTTCTGTACGAGCCCATCCATCACTACGCTGATTACAATTTCGCAGATGTGGAACCAAAAGAAGTTAAAAAAAAACGTTGTTTTTTAGAAAAAGTCCCAATACTGCATTTTTCTACAAAGCAATTTGACGTTCGAAAAAAAAACGTCACAACATTCTTGCTAAAGACTAGTTTGAAGTTCCAATTAGGGAAGCAGCGATAGGAGAATTTTTCCTACAAAATAGCATTCTTCACGAATTTTTATTTTTGCTTCTTTATGCGAGGATCGAAGTCTGCCAGAGTAATACATGAATTACTGCTATGTAAGAAATTTTTGCAGATTTTTTTGGGGGTAGCCAGCGATACTTCAATATTTTGTGAGAGCACACTTGAATTCAAGAGTTTTGAAGTGTCATATGGAGGCTTTTTTTCACCTCAGAAAAGAAAAAATCGCAATTTGGTCACACTCGTAAATCGCAAAGCTTACTCTATGCTTGGGAGACAAAACGCGAAATCAAGTTTACGATTCGAGAACTTTATTTGATTCTACAATAACTTTCAAGCCAACTGATATTTCCAGGCAATCCCCCCCCCCTCCCTATATAAACTTATTGTTAGCACCCTTGCCCTTGTATGATCAGCATTTCATCACACTGATTCAGTGATTACCGCCTACATTTTGTCTTTTGTCGGGAAAAACTGGTCGCACTCGCGACCGCTTATGTTTAGACGCTCACCTTGATTCACCCATTGATTTTCGCTGAAAAACCTACACTTTCTTCAATGTTGCAACATCTGTGGTTTGCATGGGGGGAGGGGTATTTTTCTTTTTATTACGGTACGAGTTCTTCATCACAGCAATTTCAGTTCAAAAATCGAACCCTCTGAGTTTTTTCAATTCCTCAGTATTCTTGTAGATAAGCACATAAAAAGAAAAAAATGCATTTTTCTTCATGATTTATTGTTGCTTCGAATAACAAACACAATTCCGTCGCTCTCTTCACTCTCCTGCAAATTAGGTCAGACAGAAAAGTCTATAGAAATTCTAATAAGAATGAAAGGTTTTGGAAAAGTACAGAAATCATTCAATTTTGCAAGTTGCCATTCGGATTCGCTTAGGATATTCTCACATTTTGGGCCTGATGTTGCCTTAAATGAATCATATGGTACGACTTTGAGACAAAAATTTTGTCACATATGATTTTACCTTATAGTATTACGGTCACATAAAAGTTTCACTAAGAGTTCACTCACACCATGTCAGTCCCCCGCCCCCACCCCTCATCCTTTCGTTCTACATTAGAAGTACGCAGAACTTATAGATTTCGATGTAATGAGGTTTGTCGTAGTACTATTGAAACAAAAAATAGACAAATTAAGATTAATCGCGCTTAATATTAATAAACTAGCTGGCTTACCCGGCTCCGCCGTATCCGGACCAAACTTGGCACACATACACTACGGGCCCCGGCGGGTGTCATAGGCTACTTTTCGTCATCGATCGATATCGATTTTACCGATTTTTATCGATTTTTTTGCAGAGTTCACCTACAGGGCTAGGAGTTGGCACAGGGGGGAAGTGAGCTCCGAATACAATATTAGTTTTCAGGATCGTCCATTACTTTTATCGATTTTATCGATTTTTTTTGTAAAGTTTGACCTGCGGGGCTGGAAGTTTGCACAGGGGGGTAATCGAGCATGCAGATTACGAATACAATATTAGTTTTCAGGATCGTCCATTACTTTTATCGATTTTATCGATTTTTTGAAAATTTGAGCTAGGGGGCTGGAATTTGGCACAGGGGTGTAATCGAGCATGCTGATCACCCCCCTTGGGGGTGATCAGCATGCTCGATTACCCCCCTGTGCCAACTCCCAGCCCCGTAGCTCAAACTTTGCAAAAAAATCGATAAAATCGATAATAGTAATCGATAATCCCGAAAACCAATATTGTATTCGGAATCCCCATGCTCGATTACCCCTCTGTGCCAACTCCCAGCCCCGTAGCTCAAACTTTGCAAAAAAATCGATAAAATCGATAATAGTAATCGATAATCCCGAAAACCAATATTGTATTCGGAATCCCCATGCTCGATTACCCCTCTGTGCCAACTCCCAGCCCCGTAGCTCAAACTTTGCAAAAAAATCGATAAAATCGATAAAAGTAATCGATAATCCTGAAAACTAATATTGTGTTCGTAATCAGCATGCTCGATTACCCCCCTGTGCAAACTTCCAGCCCCGCAGGTCAAACTTTACAAAAAAAATCGATAAAATCGATAAAAGTAATGGACGATCCTGAAAACTAATATTGTATTCGGAATCCCCATGCTCACTTCCCCCCTGTGCCAACTCCTAGCCCTGTAGGTGAACTCTGCAAAAAAATCGATAAAAATCGGTAAAATCGATATCGATCGATGACGAAAAGTAGCCTATGACACCCGCCGGGGCCCGTAGTGTATGTGTGCCAAGTTTGGTCCGGATCGGTTCAGAAATGAAATTTTCTATTCGGAACATACGTACAAACAGACAGACAGACAGACATACAGACAGACATACAGACAGACAAACAGACATTCAGCTATATATATGAGATTCAATTTTTTTATATGAAAAAAATTGTGAATTGCCTAATCAAGAACTTCCTGTCTGTAACAAAGCAACTTTACTGTCCTCCTTCCTCATCTTCATCATCATCCTCTTCTTCTTTTATTTGCACTATTTTGCTTTTATCGTTCATTCTCTCTATACCAAAGGTGCGCTTGCTATATTGGAAGTTTTCTGAAGTAATTTTACATCATTATTATATTATATTTGATTTTATATTATTACTAGCTGGCATACCCGGCTCCGCCGTATGTTCCGAATAGAAAATTCCATTTCTTAACCGATCGGGACCAAACTTGGCACACATACACTTCGGGCCCCGGCGGGTGTCACAGTCCACTTTTCGTTATCGATTGATGTCGATTTTATCGATTTTTTGCAAAATTTGAGCTAGGGGGCTGGGATTTGGCACAGGGGGGTAATCGAGCATGCTGATTACGAATATAATATTAGTTTTCGAAATCGCGCATTACTTTTATCGATTTTATCGATTTTTTGCAAAATTTGAGATAGGGGCTGGAATTTGGCAGGGGGTGTAATCGAGCATGCTGATCACCCCCACGGGGGTGATCATCATGCTCGATTACCCCCTGTGCCAAATCCCAGCCCCGTAGCTCAAACTTTGCAAAAAAATCGATAAAATCGATATCGATCGATACGAAAAGTAGCCTATGACACCCGCCGGGGCCCGAAGTGTATGTGTGCCAAGTTTGGTCCCGATCGGTTCAGAAATGGAATTTTCTATTCGGAACATACGTACAGACAGACAGACAAACAGACATTCAGCTTTATATATAAGATTTATTTATTTATTTATTATTTATTATTTATTATTTATTATTTATTATTTATTATTTATTACTTATTATTTATTATTTATTACTTATTATTTATTATTTATTACTTATTATTTATTATTTATTACTTATTATTTATTATTTATTACTTATTATTTATTATTTATTATTTATCTCAGAAGTGTAGAAAGCCCAAAAGTCCTTTGGCATCCACATTAAGAAATGTGGGCTTCAAATGACTTTGCAAAATCGTGAAGCTGACAAAAAAATCGTACTTAGGTTTGATCTAGCATCTTTTACATGAAATTTTTGAAAACCGATAAAAAGGTTTTAAAAAAATTTCGAAACTTGATCATGGCAAAAACCTTAAGTTGCAGATTTTGGCTCTTTCCTGGAAACTCGTTGGATAAAATAGGGCAATAAATAATGTTAGTAAGAGGGTATAAATTGCATCCAATGCGACTAAGATAATCTAATGAACTTCTAGTCTGACGGATGTGATTAATAAAAAAAATTACTCATGAAACAACCTAATAACTTCAAAGCTTACTCTCAATGCTTCCAACATGATCATGTCAAGTTTATGTCAATTTTGCATGGTTTCTACTCGGTGCACCAGTCGAAGAACTTATTGAAGGGCAGATAAAGATGAAGACACGGGCGTTTCAGGTCACTTGGTGTACACAAGAGCAATGGGTAAAGACTACAGATATGGTAACTACCATTATGGTTACGCGCAAGCGCCCACTGCTCCTAGCATGGAAATAACAATCAATCAAGTATGGTAACGAATTTATTTTCTTTCTTACTCATTTTTTGCTCTCATCATTCATTTGATATCATTAGCATAGCAACAGCTTCTATCATCCTTCCTCGTCTGCGCTGCTTCGGGGGGAGGGCTCAATAAAAGACCGAGGATTTACAATTTTCGCATGATTTGAGTGCGCAGATTATTTAGGATCGAAAAGGTTTGTAATTTACAGAATCCCGAAGTTTGAATTTTGATGACAACCCCCGATACATTGAGGCTCAATCTCAAATTATCATTTTTTCATACGATTTTCAAAATTTTACAAGAATTCAAAGTGGCTTTTCAAAAGCCACGCCCCTTTTTTGATTCTCGGGATGTAGACTCGCCGAAGAGCTAAAAAGCATTCTAAAAACGGAGGGCGTAGCCAACTGGCCAGCATCACGCCTCTCCATTTGAAAAAAAAGCTTCTTCACACCCTCCTCAACTCGGGTAGGTTCCAATTCGACTTTATATATGTCCAATGCTATTCCCCCCTATACACTAACTTCTAGGGCGGCGCAGATTCGTCGAAGAATACCTACCAGGCCCCTTCACCAGCTGGACAGTTTCGACCTCCTTTGTCGCCAAATCATCCGCCGCCACCTCCACCCTCATATGGAGGTTATGAGCACCCAGCTTACAACCCTCTCTGGTTTGACCGATTCCCGCGACGTGAGAACAGGGGCATGTTCCGATTATGTCTAGTGGAACTGCTTCTGGCAGGTGAGATATTATTGTAAGGCAGAAAAAATCCACAAGATTTTTAATTTGTAGCCGTTATCCTGGGAGGGGGTATCTGGTGTCTCCTTGAAACCGCTGAATACTGTCCATACTACTCAGCGATATGGACTTCCGTAATATTTATAGTTAACGCATTGGTATGTTCGTTTTATATAGGCGAGTCATCGCGCGCAGAGGCAGGGCGTCGCTGCGGACGCTGTCGGCGTCTCTCAGATCGAAGCGCACTATGACCCTCTTACTCTCTGCCGCCTCTTTCTAACACGAACTGTCTCAATCGGCAGTGGCTGCGTCCAGTCTCTGCGTGCCACGAAACGCCTATAGCTGTTCAGTTAGTATTTCTATCCAAATGTATATTGCAGGTAGGAATTGTAGCTGCTAAGGTTGGCACAATCAACCTCTATACGACTCATTTGGTTTTATCCTTGGTATCAGTCATGATCTGTCTCGTCAGTGGAGGGTTAAGTGCCCGGTAAGCGTTACTGTCAATTTCTCCATAAACGTTCAATACTTTTTGCAGAAACTGGGCACTCGTCGGCACATACCATCATCCGCGCATCGAAAGAGATGAAGCATTTTGCCTTCTAGGAGAGCATGATGCAACCAGGTGCAGGCGAGCCGAAAAAATTCTCTAAATTGCGTCCATAGCTTCCTGAGAAACCGCCCACATCTTTCCCCAAATGCCACTGTCGTAACTGTCACTTACGACAAGTTTCTTTACAATCAATCGCAATCCCTTTTCATTTTTGTTCAGTGTCAAATACTCAAATGCTTACAATCAGTGGCAACCACGTGTTCCCTTTTCCGTAGTAGCTACGCATCCTTAGAGCGTGGGCATAGCGCAGCGATCACGGATCTGGAATAGGGCATTCGCACGACCGTTATGCTTTCCACACAGGACTACCGCCGCGTTCGACACGTTCTGCGGCGGCTTCCCCAAGCAGAGTAAGGGGAGGAAAGGTTTGCGGGGTGCGCGACGTGTTAAGACAAGTCAAAGTTAGAGTGGCGCTTGAGACCGCCCGTGCGAAAAGACTGTCTCCCCGGACGGTGCCGCAGATTTGAACGCTCAAGCGGTACGCCCGCGAAGGCAGCACGTGACTCTAGCGTTGCTCTTGAGCTGATCGGCAAAGAAGCTTATCATTGGCAAAACTTTAGGTGGCCTGTGCTCACGCAGCGTGCATGTCATAGCACGGAAGTTGCCATATCTCCCCTAGCTTCTCACATCCACAATCTTCTGGGTGGTCATTGGTGGCGCATCTGCAAGTTCAGGAGCGTAATTCATATTCAGTTGATTTCTCAGCTAATCCATCAGTTCCACAAACACTCTGTCCACCTCGTTGATGGGCTTTCCTCGTTAACGTTTCGCGTCGCGAAAAATTTGATCCAGTGTTCTCAAGGTCCATCTGTCATTCTCTTTTTCACATAAAGTGACCAGCGGCCCATCAATGTTTTGCCTTCGCAGCGTATCCCGCTGGGTCACAAAGACGGGACATTCCTCTCATATCCGTACTACAAAGTCTGAAAAGATGTTGTTGATTATATCAGGTCATTTTCAGACGACGGCGCTCAAGCACTCTGTGGGTGATCTCCGTAGCGCTTTCGACCCGGATGCAGTTTCGGCCCAAGTCGGTTGAGTAACAAAGCCGCGGGAGAAGGTTGAACCGAACAGGTGGAAGCTCGAAGGCGGGCCAGGCTGCTCTTCTTCTTCTATCAATATCTTTCTTCAAATCGCTTCAATGAGCGTCCAAGATACACGTTAGTTAGATCACATCTCCATTATATGAGCACCTTTCGATTCCATTCGCGCATTTACACAAGGGGCGTTTTTTTTTTTGAACTGAGTCTTCCACCGATTTACTCGCAGCCCGATCTTTTTCCCTACTTTGTTGAGCTATTTCAAGACCTTCGTCTCCGCTTCGTGATACTGTTCGAGAAGAGGACGATGTCGTCGACGATGCCTCGGAATTGTGCCGTCGTGTCGGTCCCCTTTTCCAATTACGATGGTCAGGAAGCGTTGGAGCTGCATCGCTGTTGGCCAGTGTCCTCACATAAGCTGAGTCTACTCCGTGATCGAATATCACAGACAGGATGGCGTTGCGATGCTGTCAAAGGGGCTTTCTCGAGTAGACGAAGGTCAGGTCAGGAGACAGTCGGTATTCCTGGCAAACGTAGAACGAAACCATTTTTGTGTGACAGACGGTTTGCAGCAAATTCCTTTCGAGACCAGCTTGTTCCTGAGGTTAGGCTTCATCTAATGCCTTAATATGTGGGCAAGGATAATCTTGGTGGAAATCTTGTAGTGTATTCGGCAGAAATATTGGATGTTTCTAAGTCCCTCCCGTTCGCTCCTCTTGGACAGAAAGACGGTTCTTGAGATATTCCCTTGGTCAGTTGTCCTTTCCTTCTATATCACGTGTAGGCGGTGTCCACCGACTCGCAAAGTTCAACGGAGGTTGTCTGGTCCTGAAGCCGTGAACGTCTTCATAGTCTGGAATAGCAGCACTTGAGCAGGTAGAATCTGTGGTCGTTTTTTTCCATTGGAAACAACAGGCGTTGACACTGGCGTTGGTGACAGGTTGGCGAAGAGGTTGGCGTAAAAGTTTTTCACAATAAATTCCATCTTATGTTGGGAAAAGATGGGATCCCGACTTCGCTCAATAGTGCTGCCAGCGTACGTTATATCGTGGTCCCTTCGGCATTTTTTGATCTCGAAAGAACTTTTGAAGTAAAGCTATAGAAGCAATGCTCAAACTTAAGCATTTCAGACTTCGGTACATATTCTCGCACTTGTACCAATACGATTTTTCCAAGTGTCTGTATCAGTTGAAGGTGGGAGTAGCCGTCAATTCGGTTCAATTCGTCGTTGCTGGTATCGAAAGTGAGTTAAAATGAATGCCAATGTATGATCTTTGCCTTTAAATTGTATTTTCAGTATTCCTCAACCTAATCTCTGCCGCTCTTTGTGTGAAGCGAACTTGTTCATGTTCGTAAAAATCTGCCGAACTTCTAATACTTATGTATTACCGTACATGTCCATGTGCCAGTTTGCTATCAGTGAGCAGTATCTCCTTACATCTTTTCGATTACGTATGTTGTTGTTGTGCCATAATACCCTAGAGAGATGTTTTGAAAATGTACCAATGAATAACGAGTGAGCTTTTATTACGGCTTTACATCATTTGAAATTTTTATAAAGTTGTAGTTGATGGCTAAGTGTTGCACATCTACCGCTGAACTTTCAAACAATAAAATAAGTAGTCTTGTTCTTTCCAAGAAGCAATTCATTATAAAAATACTAGAAAGGAGTTCTGATACACACAGTGTGTTTCATGCAATAAAGGAGCCAAATTATTGCCAGCATCATCTACAAGAAGAGTTAAGGATAAGTTGTGATAACCGATAGAAATTAATTAAACCGCTGAATCGCCTTGAACCTAGCACATGCTTTTTCCAAATAATGCGCTTCTCCAGCTAAGAAGGAATGACGGTGAAAATGGTTGGAAAGGAGTGAGGAGTTGTGTTCGTACCGCGAAGCGGCACGATGGAGATTTGAAGTACGCGAATGTCTCGAATATCCTTTATTGCTCACACAAGGTAAAAGAGAGTTTACAAGAACCAGAGAACATAAGTTGCCTGAGAAGATTACCTTCGGGCTCCTCGTCGAAATAGGCCGTATCGTTCCCTTTGAACCCCGGCTCCCCCTTAAGAGCCCTGCGGCTCTCTCAAAACATAATTCACAGATAAGTCGTAATGTTCATGAACTATGATGAGGCACGCAGTACCGTGTTCTTCATTGGAATCATGATCGCGAGAGTCATGACACTCCGCGCGAGAAAAGAGAAAAAAATTTTTCATGTGTGTAAATGGATACATTGAAAGAAAAACACATAGTAACCTATACACTATTAACAATATCATATTATGTTAATGAAGTTTATCTCCTGTCGCGTCGCGTGGCTGTGGCCAGTGATCCGATCTAATCGCGGTGACAGCTTCTATAATTCTAATTACCTCTGAGTTTGATTTTTTTCTTTTTTTTCGTATTGTTTTTTGCTTGTTTGTTCATGTGTTTGTGTTTTGTTTTCCCTTGTATATGGGTGAAATTTGAATTATTGCAGAAGGAGACAATATTTGATTTATACTAACGTTTTTTATTACAAACTAACTAGTAATTAAGCAAGCAATAATGATGTCGATAAGAGTAAGCGTTACTACTCACTAATGCAAATAACATAAGCAGCCATAAGGAATATATTGAATGCTTCAAATTTTTGCCGTCTTACGGACAATAACAATGTGTAGTTGAAGTGTTGCCTTGAGACGCTCTATCTTTTGTGAAGGTGTTTTATATTGAGTGCAATTTTTGAAGTAATGGTTTTTGTAACAACCAATACATCGTGAATAACCCTTGGTATTCAACGTAAACATGGAGTATCGTGGTTTTTCCTCTTGGGTACGGTTTTCCAGATGCTCACGCCTTTTCACGATGAGGGCTATATTTGCTATGAAATCTGCCGTATTCCACTCTTTGCCCGAATCAAATTCTTTCTATAGAATTTTTTCTTGTATTGTCTTGGGAAATGTATCGATTACCATACTCGACATTTGCGTGGTGTCCACGAACTCGCCATTCCTACGAAGAGTTGCGATGATTGTTTCAATGTCACTGAGTGTATTTCTGAGCGATCTAGCGTCGTCTTTTGCCTGTTTCATGTTCTTTAGTTGGCGTATCATTGTCATAGTAGTTCTTTTTGCGTCTTGGTATTGCAGCTTAAGTTGGTTTACCGCTTCTTCGTAAGAGTTGCCTGTTCGTGGTATCATTTTTAGCGTTTTAGCAGCATCTCCTTTACAACGATTCAGTAATATTGATAACTTTTCAATATTAGAGTAAGGTTGTTTGTGAACTAATTCTTTAAATAGTTCCCAGAAGGAGTCAAACTCCGTTGCCTTTCCGTCAAAATCTGAAATCTTGAGTTCATTTCCGAACAGTCAGTGAGTGACTGTGGAAAGTTGGTTTGATAGGAAGAAAGTTTCATTTTTTTGCTAACTGGTGCATGTTAAGAGAATTTTTTTTGCTAACTGGGGCATCAAAAAGCCCTTATCTAGTACTTTTTAACGTTTTAGAAGTGTCTGAGGTTTGAAATAAGTTACATTGTACTAGTGAGAAAGAAATTGAAGGTGCCAGATTGCATCTGCACGCTTCGGGACCGCCACGCGGTTTCCCGCTATTTGCAGATTTTTGAATTCCGCTTATGTTTCATTATATTAGGCTGGCCCGAAAGTTCTTTCGCACCAAATTCAAAAATTCATAACCTCCGATTTTTCCAACCGATTTGACGCTTTTATTTTTTCGTGAAATTGTAAGCCGTGCTCTTTATAAAGACATCTTAGCTGCTTACTAATGATCATCTGTTGCATAGATAGGAGCGATAAAAGAAAATTGGTCAAAATTAGAATTTTTCGTGTAGGGTCATAAAAAATCGGAAACTTGCAACAAAAATCGGAGCAGTCAGTTTTATGGGTTCTGTTACCTGCTCTTTCTAACAGCGCAAAGTTTGTGCTGATTGAGCGTCTCTATGAAAAGTTATGATTTTCGAGCGAGCAATAGAAAAGGGCGAATTTGATTTATTTTGGCATTTTTCAGGCAAATCGTAACTTTTCATAGAAACGCTCAATCAGCACAAACTTTGCGCTGTTAGAAAGAGCAGGTAATAGAACCCATAAAACTGACTGCTCCGATTTTTTGTTGCAAGTTTCCGAGTTTTTATGACCCTACACGAAAAATTCTAATTTTGACCAATTTTCTTCTATCGCTCCTATCTATGCAACAGATGATCATTAGTAAGCAGCTAAGATGTCTTTATAAAGAGCACGGCTTACAATTTCACGAAAAAATAAAAGCGTCAAATCGGTTGGAAAAATCGGACGTTATGAATTTTTGAATTTGGTGCGAAAGAACTTTCGGGCCAACCTAATATATTAGCTAGATAGTCGTGTAGTGGCTTCAGTATTGCAGCTGCATAAATTCAACAGTTAGACATCAAAGGGTAACATTTTAGCATTCCTAAACTATTCATGTGTTGCAGTGTGCGAGACTTTTACGCGCTTACCTATGGAAGGCTTCTGCTGCGCTTGTGGTTTGAATGTCTTCGATTCCTCACTTGTTCCATATGTTCTTGAAAGGTCCCTCGTACCAAATTGTATTGAGGTATTGTATGAACTGAGATTTTTCATAAGCTCATGTAAGTGGGGTATATCAGGGCGTTGCAACGCTGCTTGCCTCGTGCAATCGCGAGTACAAGAAGATGGATCGCGTATGACTGTTTTTCTTGTAGCGTCAGGCTGTAAGTCATGCACGTCATTCCCATCCACTACCGACGTATACAGTCCATGGGTGCGCATCTTAATAAAACATGAAGTTTGCATGTTAGCTGTAAACATCATGTTTCCCACGATCATCTCTGCTGAACAGTACATATGCATATTCGGATTTTGGAAGTGGAAGAATCGTAGGCCATCCGATAGCGCTGAATAACTTACTTAGATACTTAGATGCGTCCTCACGTGACGTGCGGGCCCTACACAAGTCTCCATTGATCCCTGTCCCTCGCTTCGGCCACAATCTTCTTGGTCGTCGTCGCTGAATACCTTGCATTAATTCTTTCCATCGTACACGTCGGATCCTCCAAACTTCTAATGTTTCATGATTCTTTGACGATGGGTAAAGCAGCCTTTGTGGAAATATTAGGTTGTTACATAAGTCTTTACACTTAACTTCTAACGGCGACAAGTCATACACCTCATAGTCTTTACAGGGCTCCAAGGCACCATTCGATAGAGCAAAGCAAGCTCTACAATATGGTCTGCAGAAGTTCGCACCAGCTCCGACCCACCGTAAGGTTGCAGTCAAGATCTGAGTAGTACTGAAGACTCAAAAATCGCGAAAAATTCATATCTTTGTTCAGAAAAATCCTACGAATCTCCAACTTGCTCACAAAAATTGTCCACTATATCAAACACTCATATGTACCGTTGCTGTATTTTTTTCCTTACCTAGAAATCGAGAAAAGGAAAATTTTTTAAGTTTTTACAAAAATGAAGCTATGCTGTTCATATTCATGTAGCTGCATACTACAAGCCCTTACAAGTATAACCGTAAATTTTCAGCTTTCCAGAAGCCCTGGTTTTTGCAATATACCAAATTTAGCTTCTCCCCCTTAGGTATTCAATGCTAAATTAGGTAATTTTCGAAAACTAGGGCTTCCGGAGAGCTGGAAATTCACGGTTATACTTCTAAGGGCTTGTAGCATACAGCTGCATAAATAGAAACAGCATAGCTTCGTTTTTGTAAAAACTAAAAATTTTTCCTTTTCTCGGTTTCTAGATAAGGAATAAATACAGCAACGGTACATATGAGTGTTTGATATATGGACAATTTTTGCGAGCAAGTTGGAAACTGTCAGGATTTTTCTGAACAAAGATATGAAATTTTCGCGATTTTCGAATTTTCAGTACTACTTAGATTTTGGATACAAACTTACGGTGGGTCAGAGCTGGTGCGAACTTCTGCAGACCTTATTGTAGAGCTTGCTTTGCTCTATCGAATGGTACCTTGGAGCCCTGTAAAGACTGTGAGGTGTATGACTTGTCGCCGTTAAAAGTTAAATGTAACAAGACTTATGTAACAACCTAATATTAGGTTGATGCATAATTCCAGCACCAAAATAGGTACAGACCGCAATAACTCGGAATAATCCTATATCCCAAGTAGGATTCGATATATCATTTGATAGCGCAAACCTAGCTCTACAAGATATTGCTCAAATATTTACACCAGCTTTGATCCACGCGAAGTTTTGAGCCAAAAACTGAAAAAAAAACCATGCGTCCGAAAGCCTTAAGACAGATCTTAAAAAAATTATAACTTCGTTCAAAAAGATCATACAAATTTTCTTTCTTGCTCACGCGTAGACGTTCCACGTAAGACATTTATTTATGCGGATGCTGTATTTTTTTTTCTCAACTAGACGATGAGAAAACGAAGTTTTTCATGTTTTTTCCAAAACAATGCTGAGATGTTCTAGCACTGACAGTTGTATACTATAGGACCTTAGAAGCGTGAATGTGAATTTTCAGCACTTTAGAGCAGCTGGTTTACGAGAAATATCGGATTTTTAGCAACTAGGCAAGAAAAATTTGGATAGGGAGAGCTAGATTCGTTATTTCTCGCGAACTAGCAGTTCTAGAAGGCTGAAAATGTAAAGTTTCACTGCTAACGGCATGTACTATACAACTGTTAATACTAGAACATCTCAGCACTAATTTGGCAAAAACATGAAAAACTTCAAAAAACTTCGTTTTTTCATCGCCTAGTTGAGAAAAAAATACAGCAACCGCACAGATAAATGTCTTACATGGGACATCCACGCGTGAGCAAGAAAGAAAATTTGTATGAGCTTTTTGAACGATGTTACAATTTTTAAAGATCTTTCTTAAGGTTTTCGGACGCATGGTTTTTTTTCAGTTTTTGGCTCAAAACTTCGCGTGGATCAAAGCTGGTGTAGTTTGAGCAATATCTTGTAGAGCTAGGTTTGCGCTATCAAATGATATATCGAATCCTACTTGGGATATAGGATTACTCCGAGTTATTGCGGTCTGTACCTATTTTGGTGCAGGAATTATGCATCAGCGTAATAGTACAGCATATCCTTCTCTTCATTCTAAAATCATTTCTTCTGTTGACATCATTTTTTCTTCCTCCCTCACCCCCCAGGAATGGGTCGCAAAATTCTTGGAAGTTACTTATCTTATATATAAACCAGAATGTCTGTATCAGGGCCTGGCACAGTCAGTTTTGGGTTAAACTGGACTTCGTTTTCGAGGTTAAAAGCAAAGGGGACCTCGTTTTTGCGGGGTCAGGGGAGGAGCCCCGAAAAAAAAAATTACGTTTGAGCTATGCTTAGGAAAACTGAATGCAAGTAGGTTACAGGTGTTAAGATAGGTTACTACTTGGCTTTTGTAGTCATTCACATATACGAATGGTCAGAACAAAGATTTTTGGGCATCGGTTCCGTATAGCAAACTGTCGTGATATGTTTGCTTAATGGCAATTAACGAATGTTGCTTGGCATGGCTCTACTTGATTTGCATCTGGTCATGTTGGAAGCGAAGATTAGTTGCTATGACACAGCAGAACGGATCCTGAGAATCCCAAAAAGAACGTTCTCCTAAGAATCTTTTATCTTCCTCACTGTAAATGCGGTTCTTGTCCACAAGCATGCAGTAAAATAAAGATGTGTTTGTGAGTGTGCAAAACATAAATATCGAAGTAAAAATTGAGAGGAACACCACCACAGTAGCAATGATAGTGTGCAATGCTTTATGCACATAACTACAAAAGTCTGCTCCACACTCTTTACTTTCATGTGATTCGCCAGTGGTGAATATCTTAGCTTTTGCTTTTTCCACAGCTATGATATCATTTCGAATGTTTTCCAAATCCGCTTTGCCACGCAAGGGTCCTCGTAACGGTTGTTCACCGAATACATTGAGTAGGGCCTCAACATCAACTTGTGTTCCTATCACGTTCCGCAGCGTATTTGCTTCACGCAGCTTCTCTGCAAAAAACAGTGTTTATCCCTGAACGCATCCGTGAGACACAGAGATAAACAAGTTCTGAAGGAACTGACCGTTGAGTGAAGCCTCCTTTATAGTCGCCATGGTTGCGGACGATTTCTGTAATGAGTGAAAACCGGGTGATAGATTGAGCCCACTGAGAGGAATGAGCCATTGGTGGACAAGTTTAGAAGGTGATGTGGTAAGTAGACTTGGTCATTTTGTTGTACACTGCAAAATATTCAACTGCGCACGCAGTATAAATTCTATAGCTGTACTCACTGCATTACAGCATAACTGTTTGTGTGGAAATGCTTTTTCGCTCTTCAGCTGTAAGCCGATTTGCGGTTGAGAAGTTCTCTCGGAATCGACATTACTCGACGGGATTACAAGAACACATTTGAACACCTGTTAGGATGAGATAGAGACACTACAGGGCCCGGCACGAGGTGGGAAAACGGGGTTTTCCAGAACGAATTCCCCTTTAATCCCAATAAATTTTACGAATACCCCCTTGAGCCCAAAAATGACGTTTTGTGCTTGTGCGACGAGATTACCGGCCACACTTCGCCTAAAAGCGCTCAAAAGCGCCCAAATTGCTCAAATTCCTCAAATTACTCCTCAGCTGTATCAAGATAGGAAACAGGAAGAAAAATAAGCAAGAAAAATGATTAAGGAATGAGAAAATATCAAAGAAACGCAGTCATAGGAATGAGAGACGCCGTTCCCGCGCGTATCGATTGACTGGGGCGCGCTTTCCGTCTTAGAAAGCTAGGCTGCTGATGCGGTTTTGGGCTCTAACAAGGACAAGAGGAGGAGCTTCGGAACCAAAATTTCACCATGTAGTAAACTTTAGGTGTACAACAGATTTATGTGAAAATTTTGAAAAAATTATGTGAATTGAGAGTTTTGCCGACCTCAGGTGGGAATTAGGTCGGCAAATGCCGACCTAATTTGGAAATTAGTTAAGGAAACTCTTCATTCACATAAGTTTTTCATAATATTTCATACTTTATTACTTAGCCCTATTGCGCATATACACACCGAATCCCGCGCGATTTCGTTACCTCTGCGTTGCAAACGAGCCATTTTTCCATTTCTTTGGTAGCGCAAAATTTTCAGATAAAAGTTTGCCACAACCTTCAGTCACATAATTTTTCAATGAAACTCCTCAGTTAAGCCCTGCAAGCCCGTGTGCATTTACTTACCAAGTTTCATACCATATCGTTCATCTGCGCGTTTAAACGAGCCGTTTGAATTCACATCTTCATTTACCAGTTTTGCGAAATTCTCGGAAAAAATGCTAATTACTCGTTCCGTTCACATAAGTTTTTCATAATTTTTCATACTATGTTTCCACTAGCCTCTCTCCGTTCGCATACAAAATTTGGTGTCATATCGTTACACATACATTGAGAACTAGTCATGTATGCTGTTACAAATAGCATCGCTTAGGCGACGTCGCGCCTGCGGCAATTAGCGACGGCGCGGTTTGACGCGAGCGAACTCCAGTGTTCGCCTGTTGAGGCACATAACATGTCAAGATAAGTAGCGAGCATGAACTACCAATTTTTTTCCGGGGCTCCGCCCCGGACCCGGCAAAAACGATTTTCCCTTTGCTTTTTGGCTCCAACGATTTCCAGCTTGTCATTTGCCGACCTCGTGCCGGGCCCTGAGACACTACAATAAAAGCAAATAACTAATCAATTCCTCTTTCTCGGACATGTCCAGTTGTCTTCGAAAAACCAGTTGCCTGTAAAGCCTCTTGAATGTTTTGTCCGCTCGTAAATCATATGGCCATTCTCGCAGGCTGTTAACATTGCTGGGTAAAGTAGAATAGAAAGAAAGCAAGGAACTGCACAATACTCTTCCAGCAAAGGTATGGACTTACTAAAGAAATCATTTCTGAGTCTTGTGCTGTAGTGGTCGTTCACACTGATGTAGTCAGGGCGGCCTCTGTTGACGAAGGTAGCACCTAGAGGTAGATGATGCTCCCATTCCGTTTGAAATATTCCGCTAAACTCTGTTATGTCTAAGATGATGTGACGGTCCACAGCAAAAAACAATCTGAAAGAAATAGATGTCTCTCCCAACTTAGCGTAAGTAGAATTAGATGTTTCCTGTGACATTTCTTTAGCTTCTTGCCATATCGGCTTGACTCCAAGTTGATACAAAACTTGCGATTTGTGTAACCTAGTTCAAAATCGAAAGGAACATTGAAATCAATGTCTGGTGAGTCACCTCGATTGAACCGTAGATTATCTGACTCAAAACCGACCCTTTTAAATAACTCCTCATCATTGGAAGTGACTTCCAGCGATCTAAAGTGTTTGAAAGAAATTAAATTGCGACGATCAAATGTGTCCGAGGCCTTATGACTTCATATCTTTCTGGTGGGTTGCATCACTACAAACCTCAGGTCTAATTGCACCCTGAAAATTTTTGTCTTAAGCTGCAGATAGCAAACTCAACTCAGAAAGGACTACAAGTTTAACTAATTTTATCTTTGAGGCTTCGGAGATAACGCTGGGCATGAGGGGAAGTCCCTAAGGGCCATTCTGTCTTCTCGTCTTGCCGATGTCACTATCTGTTGTTTGGCCAACTGTTTTGTTTTTTTCCTGCATCGTTTATGCAATCCAAACTACAAACTATAAATCCTGCAGTAGTCAGATAGCACTTGAGCAACTCTGGCAAAATAAGAATTTCGAATATCATCTTACTTGCAGATATCGTCGCTTGGTGGATGCGATCTACCCATGTTTCAATCACCGATGGCTCGCCTCCTCAGTGACGTGGGTTTTTTTATATAATATTGTGTTTTATTTTTTTTACGATATCTGATTTTATTGTGACTGGTTTTCTAAAGCAAGGAAACGCTCGAGATTGTCTTATAATCACATTGATGTGCGGTCCAGTAGATCTTCGCTCAATGTAGTGTCCCTGCAGACGGACCGACACACCGTTGTCGCGTCTGCAGAAACACTATATTAGGACACGTACCTAAGGTAGGGGCCAGACTAACCGATTGCCTGCTTCGGCAGGACGCGGCGCATTTATGCCATTTGACGTCACGTTGTAAGGAAATCAAGTCGGTATGCGCGATTTCTCCACAGCAAAAGGTTTTTGCTATTAAGACCTTTTTACCATTTTCTCATTCTGCGAGGCTTTCCTTTTATTTCTTCGAACCTACTGTTGTTGCGAGCATCGCAGGCACCACTTTGATACAGATAGCTGAAGGAAGATGCAGATAGCTGTTGAATAACAATACATTCATGAAGAACTGGCATGCATCCAAAATCTCTTGAATCGGACTTGAACCTTATGCCAATGGAACTTCTAAAAATGTTGCAATGCAGGTTCCAAACATCAATCGTAATCAAAAGCTTTGTGAAGTTAGACAAAAAGAGACAATTTCTCTTCTGTTTTTCGTTAGAGGCGAACATTTGCGCCAGATCGAGCAATAAGATAAAGGTTCTAAGTCAGTACAAATTCAAAGAGGGAAGCTAGGCTCCCACTTCAACACAGCTTACCTTATGTCGAAAAGACTTTGATGGATGTTAGCCTAATATTTTTTAGGTCTAATGGGCGCTGTGTCAAATATTTTCTCTTTTTTGTGTGCCTCAACATTACTGCTGCCAACGGCCAGTCCTTGGAAAAAGGATACCTGCAGCAGCAACCCATTGTAAGTCTGAACTATTATAGTCTTGTCAGGTAGTCCAGCCGTTGAAATGCGGATGACCCACCTTTGGGATGGTAGACGTATTTGCACATCTGACAAACTTATTCTACTTCTTCTGTCGTTCTACTTTCAATATCGGCTCGTGAGTTTTGAATTTTTTAATTTTTTTAATTCTCAATTTTTATAACACAAAAGTCTCATTGAGGTGAAACATAATCGCAACAACGAGAACAACGTTCGCCAGAACCATGCCCAGCTTGCCAACGGACTTTTTTATCAGGAACTCCCGCCTTGCTTGCAAATCCTGCAAACCCATTTCTGACTTGAATGAACGAGCTACCTGAACGAAGGCGACTTTTCAAAATACGCATCTCCTCTTCATCTCTTCTTATTGTCACACATCCATGTTATTTTTTGCTTTTTTTTTCACGTTTTCACCATTCTAATGGCTCTCAAAAAGCTTTCCATCGCCAAATTGGCGAATCGGATTTTCTGCCCCATTGTTCCAAAAAATTGAGTTTTGAGAGACTTTGTTTTTTTTTGCTCAGACACTCAATCTCATGAAAAATGCTCACTTCAACACTCACTCGTTTGCTCACCTCACTCAAACTTCTTCGTGTTCGTATTTTTCTCAGTCACCAAAATGCCCTTTTGTGTCAGATATATTTTGCTGCATAGATAAAGATTTGTGCTGATAACAGCTTCTTGAAGGTAAAAGGCCCTGTCCAGACTTCGCTTAAAAGCGCTCAAAAGCGCCCAAAAGCGCCCAAAAGCGCCCGAACTTCTCTAGCCCCTCCTCACTCTCTCTCATCTCTCCTCACACGAAAAAGTGAAGAAACACCAGAGGAATTTGAGCGCTTTAGGGCGCTTTTGAGCGCATTTGGGCGCTTTTTGAGCGAAGTCTGGCCAGGGCCAAAGGCTCAGGTTGCCAGGCATCTCAATTTTGGGGTCAGAGGGGACTTCGTAAAAATTTGCGGAGTCATGGGGGACTTCGTTTTCAAACGCCACGCGTGCAGGGCCCTGGTCTGTATGTATGTATGCATGTATGTATGTATGATCGGCTCCCACATTCTGTGATGGTGTGATGCAGACTTTGCCTGATTAGATGGATAAACTTGTTGAACCTCCACGTTAGAGATTTGCTTTTCGTACTCTCTCGCTAGCAAAAACCGCCACTCTGTGAGTTGACAAGATTCACCCCTCCACACGAATCCCGAAGCCGATGGTATGCATGTCTGTACGTATGTTCCGAGTGGAAAATTCCATTTCTCAACCGAGCCGGACCAAACTTGGCTACAGACAGGGGGTGTATGTGTGCCAAGGCGAGGCGGGTGTCATAGGCTAATTTTCGTCATCAATCGATATCGATTTTTTGCAAAGTTTTAGCTAGGGGGCTGGGAGTTGGCACAGGGGTTCAATCTAGCATGCTGATCGCGAATACAATATTAGTTTTTAGAATTGTCTGCTACTTTTATCAATTCTTCGATTTTTTTGCAAAGTTGGAGCTAGGGGCTGGAAGCTGGCACAGGGAGGTATGCTGATGCTGATTTCTAAAACAGCGGGAATAGGAAAAGGGCATGTAGACGTGGGCGCAGGGAATGGTTGTACAGGGATACGGATGAGAGCTTTATCATAGTTTTTGACAGGGCCGAGCGGACCCGGGTAAGCCAGCTAGTATGGGTTGTAAAAATGTGCAAGTGACTTATAATAACTGAACAAATTTTCGAATTCTCAAAGTTTGAGTTAGCCCTGTAAAAAAATTATTTTTGGGGCGCGGGAGGGGGAGGCTTGGCTACCGCCATGCCCTCTTCTTCAAGAATTTCGATATGGGCCCACAAATAATTTTCGGAAACCCTTCTCCGATCGCCACTGTAAAGAACCTAATGGTAAATATATAGGCTGCTGCACGACGAAGGCGCAATATCTTTGAGCACGAACGCGACTTTAGTAGCCGCAGAGCGCATGCAGGATTTACAAAGGTGGAAATACGCGCGCGCCGCGTTCGCGCCCGCTCGACTAATGCTGCTCCTGCGCCTTCGTCATGCAGTAGCCTTAACAGTTTTCATAAGATCGTATGTGTACTGCACACAATGTCCATCTTTGACATCCCGATCCTGGAGATTTACAGTAGGACAAACGCTGAAAAGTAACCGTTGTTATCGCTTACAAACTTTGAGAAGGCTGGTACCAAAGAAGGAAAGGATACATAGAGAAAGCTGTGAAAACACTAACCTGAAAGGGGCGAACGCGGCGCGCGAGTGCCTTCACTGTTGTAAATCCTGCGCCTCATGCGCTCTGTGGCTAATAACGCTGCGTTTGCACCCGTAGATATTTTTCAGCCTATGATTGTAAGAAAAGACTCGACTGTACAGCCTGCCCCAATGCTGACCAGGCCAAAATTGGCATGATAGGAACCTTTGAAAGTGAAGCCCGTGAAAAAAAGCTTCCTTAAATGTTCCTGCACAAAAAATCTTCAAAAAACCCGATTCTATTATACAGTCTGCCGCAATCTCAACCGAAATTGGCATGGCGGCAGTGCGTGTCGTGAAGGTATTGCGTCACGTCTACGGCTGGCTAGTCTGCTTTCTCTTCAATCTCTTCGCTCTCTGCGACAGCACGCGTATGCAGCGCAAATGGGTGGAGGACTATGTACAGTCTGCCCCAATCGGGATCAGGCCGAACCGTCGGCTGAATTTGCGCGCTCGCAGCGCTAGGGAATTGCGCTGCATACGCGCGCTGTCGCAGAGAGTGAAGAGATCGAGGAGAGAGCAGACTAGCGAGCCGCAGATGTGGCGCGAAACGCTCGCGGCGCGGACTTCCGCCATGCCGATTTTGGCCTGGTTAGGATGGGGCAAACTGTATATGTCGCCGAATTTGGAAGAGTCCCGCGCGGATTCCCTGCAGGAACGCATGTCCGCGAATGTACAAGGATGCGTATTTGACGCAAATGACCGCGAGAACCGCCCTTTTTCGGCGACATATAGTCCTCTACCCAGCGCAAATCGCTAGCATTGCGAGCGCGCAAATTCGGCCGTGGGTTCGGCCTGATCCCGATTAGGGCAGACTTAGTGTCCTAGTGGTTCCCACATTAAGCGACAAAATTTGCGCGTGAGAAGACCCACGCCCGGAATACTGTTATAATTTGTGCGTGCAAAATGCCGTTTCGGGCTGTTTGTTCACACGCAAAATTTGCGATTTGGGTGCCGCAAGGTCGCTATTAAATCTACCATCAGATTTAGATTAACTTCAGCTACAGGTTGCTTTCTATTCCAAGCTTGATGAGAAATCTCATTAGCTTGGAAATCAAATCGATAGCTGGAACTTCAGAGAGGATGTCGACTTCATATTACTTATTGTTGAGAATATTACCATAAAGAACGAATTCACTGCTTGGTCCGCAGCTGAGTGGAAAGACTCTTGAGGAGGCCGAGACGGCAAGCTGACGGACATGGACGTAACAGCACGTGGTGCTTCCGCAAACGATCAATATCGCTTTCTTGTACTTCAATACTTGAACTGAAAGTGTTGTCGTAGTCATTGTAACGACTTGTGGTTCATGCACGTTGTCGTTTTAAATCTAATATTCTGACAGCTTTTTGCATTTCCCTGTTAAGTTGGGGAATTCTACTGCTATGATTTTTTTTTGCACTTCATCTCATTTTCTTATGCTTAGGGCACTTTCTGTTTAAATCTCACTTCTTTTACATAGTCGTAATCTACTTTATTCCCTCTATAAAGTTCTCATCGTTTTTTGTATAGTCGAAGAAGTGCAGGTGGTCGGGTGCTTTTGAAAAGCATATCATCTGATCGATTTTTCTCAATATGTTAGGTCTATTTTAGAGTCTTCCATAGTATCGTTCAATTCTTTTCATTTCTCAAAGTGAAGATTTTTTTGTCTCCCAGCTTGTCGTAGAGTGATTCATTCATTTGATGACGTGATATGCTTTTTCTATGCCTTTATCGCGAAGTAATGTTCATTTCATATCGAAAATGTTTTGCTAGGGGTTTCATTCTGGCGCAACGTCCAGCTAAACGCGTTCGTCTGACGTCTGCGAACAGCGTTAACGAGTACAGCAGCTTTGTCCCTTCTATTACTGAATTAGGCAATACCCAAATGAATAAGCTCAAGTCGGAACAGAAAGCTAAGGTTGGTTTATTATTAGTCGTCTTTTGAACACTGTACGAAATCGCTCTTTTAACCGAGAAAATTTAGATCAAGAACTTCGTGACATGGACGCAGACCAGCGAACAGATTGCATACACATGTCTTTCGAGAGCAAATTGGAATATGGAATATGCTGTCGACCTCTTCTACCAGGTTCTTCTTGATTTGTAATCTGCATGCTTGGTTATCAGCAGCTTAAGAAAAACATACAGAATTTGGAAGCTGCTGAATGACCAGAGTAATTGAGCTTTTTTCATTTTTGATGTCTTTTCCCTCATTAAATTCGTATCAAGAAAAATTTATTTGAGCTAGCACCTTCATTGATTATCAGTAAGAATTTTAATATTTTTCTTAATCATAATATGCATCAAATCCAGTCTTTTGTAGAGTGGTCTGATTTTAGAAGACATTGTCAGTAGTTTGTTTTGAATAGTTAGGGGGTGTATCAGCCTGACATCAAATTCTAGCATTTGAAAATGTGGATCTTATGCATAAACTTCGGCGTTGGCAAGGGTAGACAAGTGAATTTCGACATAAATTTGATCCAGAAAATATGTTTCATCAACACTCTTTTTTTTCAACAGGGTGTGAAGAAATACATGTCATCGGCTCCCAGATTCGTATGGAGGCGGGTTGCGGACTTTCCCTGATTTTAAGTGTAAACTTGATAGCCCTCCGCGTTACAGTATTGTTTTTCGTGCTCATTCATTAACTTTATCCTTATAATCGGGGAAATCCGCAACCCACCTTCACACAAACCTGGGAACCGATCATATTTTGCATCCAATCTGAGACTTCGTCTGATCCCTAACTGCAACTTGGAAATTAACTGGAGCTTCATGTTCTTCAATAAGGGAAAAGTGTGAGAAGCTCTCTTTCAACGCTATCATGCTTTTTCACTGCCTATGTAGTAAAAAGCGATTGACGAGCGTTAGAACATATAGCTTACTTGTTTTGTTTGTATAGTAGCTGCAATAGCACGAAAAACTGCTTTTATGCACTGACAACATATAACACGAATGAATTTTTGTCCAGAACTTGCATAATCCACTCGTTTATGGGAACTGAATGTTGATTAGTTAGAGTATAGAGTGCTCAGGGCCAATTTGCTAGGGATGCTTGTCCTTCCAGAGTCCGAGAATGGTCCAGCAACAACAACAGCAACCTCCTGTCGATAAATACAAGCTTGAAAAAATGTTTTCAACTTATGCAAATGGTAAATTTGACAAAGTTTTGTTTGTGTGTGTCAGTGTCCGGCCATATTGCAAGGTTTATTCCTTAGATCCACGCGATGATGTCGGTACGGGACGAATAGGACCCAATGGAATGTTGCGTCTTTTAAATGATCTTCAACTGGAACCATCTGATCGCCGTGTTCTTATCCTTGCCTGCAAACTCAAGGTAAACAGTATTTTCAGACTTTAACTGCGACCAAGCTTCCGTGCATCTAGTCAGCAATGTTTAGGCACAGACGCAGTGCGAATTTAGCTGGGAAGAGTGGCAACAGGGTCTGTCAGCATTGAGGTGCGTCAAGCATTACATAAAAAACTAATCTTCGCATTTCTTTTTTCTTGTCTCAAGCTCTATTTTTTCGCTTTCTCATGATAGTCAAAAAACTTCTGTATTGATTTAGTGAGCAGCTCAGCCCATGGATATTGCATGCAGTTTAGCCTTCTTTTTCAAAAATTACGATCGTTAAGATATTCTAAGTTTTGCCTTGGATATATATAGTCTACTCAGGTAGAATCAAACATTTTATGTATGACTCAGGCCCTGATGCTCATCTTTGCTGGAAATTGGATTGTTGTTGCTTGATTCAAGTGACACGTGACCTTACTGCCCTCCACGAATATATTGAATAGCTTATTTTTTCATGGGGAAGGAAATGCTCCGCGCTTTTCAAAAGTTATTTCTGTTCTTACGAATTTGATTGCATGGAAAAGTGTGGAGTTGATTCAGAAACATTGTTTAACTATCTGATGCCTTGAAGTCTCATAAAATTCCTGATGAAGTAATGTCCGCAGATGTTCATCGAAATTCTCATCACTTCGGTTTCATAATTCTCAGAGTACCACTTATAATTGGACAATTGGTAGTATCTGAGCGTATCTCTTTTATCAAAGCAACTCACCTTTATCTCTACATCTTACCCCACTAATCATCGTAAAGTATCCTTTGTTTGATTAGAAATGCAGCCTAGTAAGTGTTGGCAATTTTGTTTACATTGTGACGCACGCTTTGATTGGTTCTGTTGAATTGATTTACTCTTAACTTTAAAGTTTTTCAAGTACATAACTGAGTCATTCAAGAGTGGATTCTCTGGATAAGCTTCGAGAACGCCTGCAAGAGCTTGATGCGGAGCTCTCTGAACCCAACGCCTTCCGTGAGCTGTACACGTTCACTTTTCTTTACGGAAAATTGAGCAGTCAACGAAATCTTGATCTGGATACAGCATTGGCTTACTGGAAGATTTTGTTTAAGGATAAGGTGTGATTCGTGTTTATATTTCAGTGGCAGAGTTCTTGTTTCATCAAGAGAAAATTGTGCGGTTTTAGTTTCCCTTGCTATCGCTCTGGGAGGAGTTCCTGCTTGCAGAACATGGCAAAGCCATCTCGCGTGACACCTGGAATCTTTTGCTAGACTTTTGCCTTACGATTCGCCAGGATCTCACAAACTACGACGATGAAGGCGCTTGGCCTGTACTTATTGACCAGTTTGTGGAATATGCACGCGAGAAGCTGAACCTACCGCGACCTGAACAACAGGCAGCTGTTGCATCGTAGTATAAAAGGTATTGCTAAGCGACATTCTCTTTAGATTGAGCATACTTCCCATTTTCTGATAAGCTGACCAATATTTGATTCGTAGTAGGTATTTGATTTATGCTGCTCTTGTATTGCCAGTTCAACACTCTCTGCGCTCACAATGGTTTGTGGTCACTCGTTCATTCAGACGGTAGTCGCTTTCTGCCTAATTTTGGTCATATCTGACCTGTAGTAGTTCTTTCTTACTTTGATTGTAATCCCTTTATTCTTTATGGACTGAACGGGTCTACATTTAACCCGGTACATAGTTTACAACAATGATACAGCATGTTGGTTCCTCACTCAAAGTCCTTACTATTTTTTTGAATGGGTGGTGCTGTAAACCGTCAATGTGTATTCACCCTGGAGGAGACCTCTCCAAGAATTCTCATTAGTGTTCGTATATTGTATTGCTGTTTATGAAGTTTAATAAATCTTGTCGCAGAGTCAGCTCATGTGCATTTAACTGAAACTTGAAGGCAGTGTTTAGGTGAAACTGTTTTCCTTTTTTGCCATTTAGCATTATTTACGACCGAATGTAAAGAGTGAGAAAACATCAAGTAAATTCTGTTTATTTACAAGGAAAAAAGTTCAACAAGAAGGCCTAGACATGATTTGAACCCGAGCAATGTCTGACAACCGTTGCTGTATACGTTGCACTAGATCTTCGCCTTCATTAACTACACACTCCAGTTCGCGCGCTACCTAAAAATGATTCTTCCATTATATGCGCTTCTATGGATACTAGAACAAACCTTTGACCGTTCAGCATCCACTTGTAGTAATTGTTCTACAGTGTCTCCATTGCCAGCATCTTCAATAGGAAATGAATCTATCAAAACCTGAATCGATATAAAATCACAGCGCAGTTTGACTAGAAATCCAACCTCAACATCCTTCGCCGTTCTGGCTATATGTGCGGCAAACAATTGGCAATTCGTTTCCTCCTCCAGCTCCTAAAGTTTGTACAACTGTAGTGAGAAGGATTAGAATAGGAAATTGGACCACAGAAAATAAAGCTAGAACACAGAAAATGTAGAATTTGGCAAATCGCAAGGTTCGTCACTTCATTCCAATGACTGGTAAACTTACTGGATTGCTTCTATCAAAATCGCAGGGTGGCGCTGTTGCCTGAAGCACTCCAATTGCATTCGTCATAAACGATGCTAACTCATTTATTAGATCCTGTAGTTGAGTCAATCTATCCGACATATAGCCTGAAATAGTTTTGCAACTACTGATCACAAAACATCTTATGAAGCTTTTCTGGTTGGAGTTGATCTCGGAAAACATGTGAACCTTAATTTCGCAAACTATGAACAAATGATACATCATTTTTAAAACCTATTGCAAAACGTAAAATCTAAAGCAATACCTTTTTTTTCCGCGTTCATTTATTTCACTATCACGTCAGAGATCAATTTTGAACAGTGAATGTGCTGCATATACATTCAGCATTATCATTTTGTGAGGAATAAAAACTTTGCCTCAATTTCTCTTAAGAAAATCATGTTTGTCAACTTAATCGATCAGCTGGGCTAAGATCGAGCAGACTTAACAATAAGATCGCCTAACAGTAAGTTACTGGATCCACGAGTTGTCCCCGCTGACAGTCCTATCAAACTCAATAAAAATGCGTCCAGGCCCTTGATGAACATGATGTGAAAGCATAGATCAACAAAACTTATGGGCTTATGTGCTTATCAAACTGTGTGATTGCATATGCTCAACAAAAATTCACCGTACCAAAGATGGCACAGAAGTATGCACAAATTGGAAAAAAACTCTCGAAGTAATTAGAGCCTTTTAGCGCAAAACTCTGAGCGGATCAAAACTCAGCAACTAAATGTTATCATTTGCATTAAAAAGTTTGTGGAGGATCAGTGGAACAAGAAAGATGTAAATTATGCGTGGTGACACCAGAATAAAAAATGAAACAGATAAAAGAAAAAATTTATGATAAATAGAAAATCCAACAGTTGTACAACGCATTAGTATTTATATTTGGTGGAGTAATCCTTCGGTGACACAACCAAACCTCGTCCTTTGCGAGCACCTCTGCAAACAATAATATTGAATCCATGGAAAGATCTTGAGCAAGAATGGCTTAACCGTGTGATTGAGATTTAATCTGCATCAGTAAAACTCATTCCTTTATATAGCTTCGTTCAAACTGAAGCAAACTTCTTACTGTTCAGAATAATTTCTGCAAGTAATTCTCTGATTGCCTCGCTGCTAATGCTGATCATCTCTACGGTTATCCTTTTGAAAAAAAAATTGGAGTATTACCTACCTATACACAGTCTCGATGATGTCAATGAGTTCCTGTCCATCCGTTATCGGCCAATTGATCTTATTGTTGTTACCAGTCCCTGTATTAGGCTACGCTTAACATAAAGTACATAGGTTGCTTATGGTAAGAATAAAGCAAGCGTACCTAAATCCACCATGATATGCTTGTTCCTGAAAAAGAACATCACCGTGCAAGGATCATACAACTCATACATCTTGTTGAAATCGGGCACCTGAAATTACTAACACTGCTCAACCTGAATCTCAGCAAAAACTATTTATTATACAAACCTTGGTGATGTCGACTAGATAAATAACAGAGAAATTCTTGACTTTGGGTGCGATTTTGAACAATGTCTGGAATAATTATTTCAAGACTACTTCAGATGAGACTACAAAGTTACCTCATCCATCCGCATGCAAGTAGGGTCCCAATCGTGTCCAAACCGCACAACTACCACACGGTCCTCTTCCGCGAGAATGGCCTGGTCCACCTCAAACGCAATGGTAGAAACTACACTAAAATCGCTTTTCCAAAAGTGTATGATCTACTACAAAAAAGGTTTTCGGCTGCCTCTTCATAAAAAACAAAAAGAGGTACAAAGAAAAACCAAATGAAATGCGGTGGGAAAATAAAAAGATGTTAATTCAATAGAAATGTAAGCTTACCTGCCATCCATTCTCCAAATGTGGTAGCATATACGACATGACTGCTGCTGCTTTGAAAACTGTGTCACAACTCTGAAACGATATGCACAGCAAGAAAATTCAAAATCAAATCCAAACTTCGCACGCGGGTTCCCAAACCACTGAATAATGATAGCAAAGACAAAGATTTACAGTTCCACCCTCTATACAATTACAAAAGCATTACAAAAGCAAAATCGAAAGTATATGAGCGTTGATAGGGACGAAATGCATCTAATTAACGGCCCAGAAAAATGCCCGTAATTAGTACAGCCGCACTGTCCACAGCTGATTTGCGAAAATCGCGTACCTACAGTCGCAGAAATCGATTCGCGGCTAATATATTGGCGTTGGTGCACATAGTTGCTTTGGAGCTTGAAATAATCACCCGCTTTATGTATAAACTTGCAAATCGTTATACAGCTGCCGGTATTTGCGATCAGAATGAGCGCAGCCGTCGCTGTTGTAGCGCTTTTGAGACCCAGCACAAAAGTATAAAGAGAAACTTCTTTTGTTCTTGGAGGCAAAAGCAGAGGCATGCTATAGTAACGCAGATCTGTCTTCCACCGCTTCCACCGCTAAATCACTACCTGAGTGCTACTCCTCAATTCGTTCTTTCGAGACACCTTCTGCGACCAATCGCGTCGCCTCTCCCCCAATTTCAGCTTCCAAACTGTACAAAAAATACCTTTGTTGGACACCACGTCTTAACTCTAATGACTTGAGAGTTTAGAACTCGAATTTATATCGTCTGTTCCCCGTAAATGTGTCGAGACGCAGACTAATTAGATGGTCCGACAGTCCCCACGCCAACTGGGCGGTGCCCAGCAAATCCAGATGAGCTGTGCCTAACCGGGTGACCGGCGGTTTCCCTTCCCCTCTCTTTCTATTTATAAATATATAATAAAGATTCTAGTCATAATGTTATGTTCATATAAAGTAAGACAATCAGGGTGAAGGATTCAAGTTAGGAGAGTGCACCTCCTGGACTTGACATGGAGGTCCCGGGTTGTTTTCTTTTTATGACTCACATTTTTCTGAATCAATCACTTTTCGAGATTTATTCTCTGAATCAACACTTTTTGAATTTAATCAGCATAGATTTTGGCCAAATCTTTTGCAAACTCCCACCGCCGGCACCAGCCCTCATCTCCTACGTTTCCACGTAGTTTTTTCTTTTTTATTCATTTTTTCTCATTTTCTGCTTATTTTTTTTGAGTCAGGCGATGAGTCTGAGTTTTGTATTACTTGCTATTCTTAGCATAAAATAATATTTTCTATTTTATTTTCTACCTAACGATATTTTATCTCTTTTTTTCTCTTCCCTAATTCCGCGAGCCGTGATCCCCCGAGCCGTGAATAGCGAATCGTGAATTTTCGACGCTCTCTCTCTAGATCGATTTAATTCTCTAGATTGAGATTCCGCGAGCCGTGATTTCCTAGAGCCGTGATATTCCGGAGCCGTGATTCCGCGAGCCGTGAACAATTATTATTTTTTCTTTTTTCATCCAATCGATTTTTATCCGTCTTTATTCCATTGGGAACCCCATATTTTCTTTACCAATGCGTAACAATCTCAGTGACTCTATCGCCACCGCCGGCATTGTATATATGTACATATAAGGTTATGCAAGTGGAAAACGCACTGTGAGCCTAATTTTATCTATAACTCTCACTAGTGGAAAGACCACTTTGAGGGCACTTTTGATCTTAATTCTCATTAGCGGAAAGACCACTGTGAGAATACTTTCCTTTTTTGGACTTCACTAGTGGAAAGACCACTGTGAATGTCATTTTTTCCCGCTCACTAGTGGAAAGACCACTGTGAGTCCATCTTTTTTCAATTTCTCACTAGTGGAAAGACCACTGTGTGCCTTACCAAATTCAAAATTAAGTTCTCACTGGTAGAAAAACTACTGTGAGTCCAATTTTGCTTAGGGAGAGTTTCATAATTATTTACTATGATTGCCTGAGGAAAACCGACGGGCTATCTGATAGCCCGCGGTTACTTTCAAAGGCTAGGCTCCCCAGTCCCTTATTTTTAATGGCTAATCACTCAGAAACGAGTGACATTTAGCCGCCAGAAGTAGGCACATGCTGCGGCAGTGCCCTTTGAACCTCGTATCCCATCGACGAATGTCTGGGCCAGAGGTATGCGGCAATTGTTTGATGCTGATTAGCCACTATGGACTCTGGCTGGATCAGCGATTTTATGGAAGCGAGTACGACTGGAAAGAGGTATCCGTAAGGACTCCTCGAAATGATATTCTCTAGGGAAGGACCAACAGGACTCATGGAAAACTTTCCTACAACTCTACTTGCACATCCATAAGAGGTATGCTTTTCTAGTCCTTGTCTGTGTTTTTCTGGTTTACCCTTGCACGCTTATTTGAAAAAAAAAGTTCAAAAAAAATCCAACATAGGTCACCCATGTTTGAGTCTTTGAGAAATTGTGGAAGAAGAGTACTGCACTAGACTTGCGTTCAACCACCTCAAATTGACATATCAGCATGACTTTAGATTGGTTCCAAGAAAAACCTCATGAATCACGATGATCAGACCCCATACCACGATGATCAGCTAAATTCGCTAACTCGTGATTTCAGTCTGCTTTGTCTGCTGACAGAATTGAGGCAAACATAACGAAAATAAGTTTTTTCGAATAAAACGGTATTTTCAGAGAATACCATGAGTTTCAATGAGGTCACGAAATTGGGACTATATGAAACTCTTACTCATTGAAGTTGTTCGATAAATGGTTGATTGATTTGCTCACAACCTTCAAAATGTTGTCACAACATTCTTTGAATACAAAAAAAAATTTTTTTTTAAAATGCCTTGCATTTGCAATTTGAAGTTTAATGAACCCAGCAAAAAAAACAGTTGTTTGCGCCAGTTTTCAATCATTTCGACTTCTCACGTACTTTTTTCCTTTTTCAAGACAGAGGATGGCAATATTGAATTGCATAATGTGAAATCTTCCATCATCGCTTCGCAAATCATATAGTCCTTTCATAACTTTGCTGCAGTTCCATCTGCTAGTTTGTGGGAATTTCTGATAAAGCTGAGAAAATATAAAAAGAAATTTTTTCCTGCTCTATCTATGAGCACATCTTAACACGATCTCCAGCAACCAAATCATCTCCATTCTGGACTTTGGACAGCCTTTTGCGATTCTAGGTAGAGCTGGAGCTAATAAAAAAATATTTTAAAAAAACCAATTTTTGTTGCTCTTTTGATTACTCTTACCGTCCGAGAATTCCGCTGTAAGATATAATGGCACATTTGAATTTTGCATTTTAATTCTTAGTTTTCTTACGAGTTCATAGTTCATTTTGTATGAGCGGACTCATAATTACATTTGAAAAAAGTGATGCTCAACAATCCGATATTTTGTTCATGATGGCAAAATCCTTCTGTGGAAAAGCAGACGTCTACTATGTAGTATTTGCATTAATTACGGACAAAATCACAGCTATTTTCAAAAGCCAGTCGCTACTATACGCTCCTCGTTTGGATAGATTTGCTGTTCATATCACAAAAACTAATGACTACACAATACTGATTCATTCGCAATGCCACTAATTGTGAAGCAAAGCACTGCAGACTTTTGTAAGTCAAGCAAATTATTTGACCATTTTCTGAGCATCGACTTCGTCAAAAAAAATTCATTTCTGCATTTTTGACGTAATACTATGAACCAAAATACTTGTTTCGTATCTCTGTTATCTCATAAAAGCGCTCTAGCCTGGCCCGACAGCTTTGGCCTTCTTTGGAAGGAATTCGAAGAGGCTACAGTACACTAGTTGCTTGAATAGAAAATCATGCCATACACGGCGGACCTAGTGGCGTCAAAACCAATAGAAAAACTTGTCGGCGTAACTCAAAAAAAAAGATTGCATTTTAACATCTAAATTACGCACATGCTCAACTATTTGTAGCCATTCGGACATTTGGCACGACTGTAGCTTGTTTTCAACATTCTTCTTCATGTCATCACGAAAAAAACTATGAGGAGCATGAAAAGCTTGAAAAAGGTCATAAATAGAGGAAACCCTTTCTCCCTTCTACTCATCGTTCAAAAAAAAACAACCAGATATCCATTCTAAAAAAAAACCAAACCTGTGTGCTTTGGAGTATTTCTCGGCTCGATCCTCATACCTAATCTACGTTCATGAACTTCCAGTAATTACACAGTAGAGTAACGCAAAATGTTCCGCAGCTTTCCATCTCATGTCAAAGAAAATAGCCAAGCTCGGCAATTTTAGATATTCATAAGTAAGTTAAATTATGCAACTAGCTTTGCGAATTGATACGTCCAGCAAGACGCATGTTTCTAAGGTGCGAAAGCTGGCCTTACGACCTTTTCGAGGTAATCTTTCCAGAACAAGTCGTTGTGCGTAAAAAAAAGGAAAGTACCTTTCAGATGTGACGAATGTTAAAAAAAAAATCTCCGCGAAATCGAAATAAATCGAAATATCTGCATAAAAACCAGCCATAGTTTGAAAAAACTTGGTCATTTCCATTGTTTCCATTTCTCCATTCCAAAATTAATAGCTTCGCTTGCACTTTTTCAGTTGATTGGCTTATCACAATGGTAAACTCTTATGCTGGAGTCAAACCCGTATTTTTCTCCTTGTATTGTACAAGATAAAGGGCCTGCATGAGCTTACCTAGAGCGTCTAGTACGTTCGCGACAGACTTTCAGATAAGCGGAAGCAAGACTAAGAAGTATACAACCACCCGAAGAGAGATTACTTTCTACTTGATATCTCCAAATAACTGCTCCATTGAAATCCTTGTTTATTTTCGCCTACATGTCGTCAGTGTTCCCATTTCAAGTGTATTCACCGCTATTATACTATTATTATTCGCACCCTGATCGAGTTTCAGTCCACACTCAGATGTTCAGAGCATCTAAGAAAGACAGAAACTATGCATATGCCCCATTGCAACTGTGTTCACCTTTGTATTGCAATTGTTTTGCTATCAGACGTTCAGAGCGTCTGAAAAGAGTGGATATTTTGAGTGCCAGTAGCAAACTCACATTAATTCCAAATACGCAGCGGCTACCGGCAGAGTAAGTTTGCCGCAAGCGTCTGCACTACAACAAGAAATACTTCTCCGATGGGCGACTCGGAGAAGCCTTTCAGTGATTCAAAATTTCACCCCACGCCCTTGTGGGCAACGTTAGTGAAGTGTTCCCTCATGAGTTGCCCACACGATAGTTTCCGAAAATTTCATGTTTTGTTGCCTTTAATTTTTTCTGGCTGTAACGACAAATCTTCAAAACGTCAAAATTTTGAACGTTCGGTCAATTGGCGATTTTTTTGCATTTAAAATTGTTGTATGCATATTTTCAAGTATATTTATTTCTTCAATATTCACGTCAACCCCGTCACCACATATCAGAACTTTTAAACATATCCCAATTCGTCTTTTATACCGCTCCTACCATATCCTTACTATCATTGCAATGCTCGTTCCCTCAGCTCGGATAGAGAGCCCACCCATCTACGCTGTATTGATATCATCATTATCGCTCTGATCCACGTTTCCGAACAATTGTGGAAGCCTTATCCTTTGCTAATTATCCAATTTGCAAGCTTATTTTGCTCTGCTTATTCTTCAGCTCGAGACGAGCTCTTCTTTTGACAGGGCGTGCGAAAGCCGCTATTTTCCTATGAGCCCTTTTCCCCCTGTCCACACGCACTCGAAGAGCAATCAAGCGACTGAGCAATGATGCGATCAACAACACCTTTTCTGCCCGCAGTCAGTGAAAACAAATGGTAAATGGGCAACCTTGATGACGATAATGGTAGCAGCAGCAATCTCCTGCACTCAAACGAAGCAATAATGAAACAAATGGTACATGGGCAGCTTTGATGACGATTACCCACTCTTTAGCCATGGTCAAAGATGAAAGCTCGGGACGAGCTTTACTATGGAATGGACATGTCGAGACGCAGACTAATTAGATGGTCCGACAGTCCCCACACCAACTGGGCGGTGCCCAGCAACTCCAGATGAGCTGTGCCTAACCGGGTGACCGGCGGTTTCCCTTCCCCTCTCTTTCTATTTATAAATATATAATAAAGATTCTAGTCATAATGTTATGTTCATATAAAGTAAGACAATCAGGGTGAAGGATTCAAGTCAGGAGAGTGCACCTCCTGGACTTGACAAATGTTCCCATAGGTATAGGCGGTTCCCATGCCTATAGCGTGCCCTGCAGTCACTTGAACACGTTAAAGAACTTGTTGATTCCATTTTAAAGCATTACTTTTTGTACTCGCTCGCTATCAAAAAAGAGAAGAACTTAAATACTGCGAAATGGCCGTTGTCATTGGAGCGAGTTTTCATCTCAGAACTTAGCGCTGTGCTCCATTTTCGTAACATGTGTTCTTTTCTTGCTTGAATCGTGGACCTTTCCTCTTTTAGATGTTCTGTACTGTCTCGGTTTTGCTCGTTATTTGTCATTCTGTAATTGTTTCATATTGTTCACTTTCCAGAGTGCAATTCTTGTGGAAAAATGTCTTGTGGAAGGGGTGTTCCTCTGTCGGATCGACTAAACGTGGAAAAAAACAAGCTGGACGAGAGCATTAGAAACTACTGGTATGTTCATTTATCTTTTTGTCGAGGAAGTGGTAAGACATGGCCAGTTCTCGGCGCCCTTGCTCAGTTTATCGGGAGTGTTGACCATGCTGGTCGAAACATTATGCTTTGAAAACGTCTCTGGGTGTTTACGATGGGTGTACGATGGGAGGCTCAATCAGGAGTTCGTGTTCTCGACTCACTTTCGATTTTACATCACCTAACCACCATTCTTACATGCTAGATTGTTTTATCCGTTTTGCAAAACAACGTTGTTGAAAAAAAAAGCAAGTTGAATGTACTCGAAACCGATTTTCTGCTTATCACTGCTGAAACTCGATTGTAATCAAACTTCGATATTCCGGAATTTTTGTTCAAAACTTTGTCGTTGTTGTTTTGTCCAAGTTTCTGACTTTATTGCTTACGATAAAGCTACCCTCACCACCAAGGATGACGTGGTTGAGCAGAAAACGTGGGTATCCATGATAATGTCGAACAACCCTCCCAAACAAGAATTAGCAAATGTAGTTGAGCCCCCAGCGTCCCCATCGTAACCACCGAAAGTGATGATGTTGTCCAAAAGTCGATATTCGTGGTCAGTAGGCGATAGCCTGTCATGGACTGAGTTTGGGCGAAATATACTCCTTGGATATTGGGGCCCTGATATGGAACAGCGCCCAGTTTGGATTTGTATTCCCTTCATCTTCAAAACTCTGTGTTTATCTATCTCAGAAGGTCGTTCAGCGCTTTTTCTTTCTAGTTTCCCATCAGCGAGTGAATCCAGCATATTGACGAGTCTTTGATGGTTACAACAAATGCTGCTGGACGCACCGAAGTGTTGGTGTCTCTGTTACAAAGATTTCCTAGCTTTCTCAGCTCAATCCTTTAGGCATGAAATGAACGGAGGCGATTTGAAGCCGGATCTAGCTTACTTTCCCTGCATTGAAAAGGATTGCAAATACATAGGGCCAAACGCCGCAGCACTTCGCAAGCACTGTGAAAGATGCGACCCAAGGATTGTTGATCATAACGAAAATGTTGTTGCCTGGAACTTCGACATGTTAAAATCTTCTCTACTTTCAGTTTCTTCACTTTATATCGAACCGTTTGCGTCATCATCTTTTCAACGTACTACACTGCCATGATATATTAGGCTCTGAGTTGTTCTTTTTTCTAGGTTGGACGTACTCATTATGTTTGTGGACATGACTTGCTACGTTATCAGTTATTGTAGATCAGATGCTTTACTTCATGCCATCTATCATATTCAAGGACGTGTTCTGTCTGTTTCTGACCGTTCCTTTCGTTGTTCGATTTGAATAATAGAAAAACCAAAGTAAACGCATGTTCGGTGATCCATTCAGCAATCCTATGCAGACAGGAAAATGTGGTGAATAAACCCATCACTAGACAAGGAGGCGTTTACACGAATGACTTCGAAAGAATGAGCGACACTCTTCCACTTTATATTATACAACACAGAAATTTACAATCTCAGATTTCGGTTTCGCAAAGGGTAGGGTCTTATATGACAAACTGTTCACAAATATCATGTTAAATTTGCACTGTCAGACTTTTTTTCCTCACCTTGATTATCTTTGACATCACCTTTGGAAGTCGCGTTGGATCTAAAGCATGTTTCACTTTAACTGAGGAAGATCACTATTCCAACGCATAAGATATCACAATCGTAAACAGCATGTTGGAGAATTCCTCATCTCAGGACGGGGACTACTATATGTATGCAGTAAACACTTCACAAAGGGCCCTTTTCCTACTGCAGCTCGTCGCAAGCGGAATCCAGGCGAAATTCAAGTCCCAGGTCGAAAACGCGCTCCAATGACAACGGCCATTTCGCAGTAATTAAGTTCTTCTTCAAAGAAGCGCCATGCTTTGAGCTACCTTGACTCCGTCTCTATACGAGTCTGGGGATCGATGATACTATGTCATTGCTGCCTTTCGCTCTTTTTAACATGTTAACTTCAACAAATTCAAAGACGCCTTCTCGAAGTGAACGTGTCAAAACCGGAACGAATCAAAATCGAACGCCTCCGCTTGAATTTGAACGCCAATGATACGGCCAATATGTACCTTTGGGTATATTTCTGGGAGAAAAATCATAGTGGTAAACCTATTACACTTACGTGATGCATAAAAATGGCAAGTAATTTGTTCATACTCGTACATAATTTTTCTAAATTCAATTTAACTTTTTTTAATTGACAAGAAAATTTTTTTCGGCTTTTTTGACTTTGGGGTCATAGGCCCGAGAAAATTCTGGGTACATCAAAAATTTTTCCTCTTCCCCTGAACGGAGATACTCGGTACGCCATTGTTATATACCTACACTTCAGGGATCGCCCATAGGTTGCAGGTTTAGAGAGTATAATGCACAAAGATACCACGTGCTCCAACAATAGGCAACCTCGGCAACCCTAGCAACAGTTGCCGGCAACCTATGGCCGATGTTTATGTAGCCGTCCTATTTCCCCTCTTGCATCTTGTGACAGTGCTGAAGTTTCTAACGGAATAAACATTTCATTTGTTTATGATGCTCCACTACATTTTGTTCCCTACCAACAAAATTTCAAATGGTTTTGATAGAGCCTTCAGAAGTGTCCAACAGGACGTAGAACTTTTAGCAGAGTCAGAGGTGACGTTTTTATCTTGACCTTGCCACCTATGAGGGTGGCACCGGCGCTTGCACGTTAGCGCCCTTGCGGTGGAGATATGTCGCCGAATTTGGAAGAGTCCCACGCGGATTCCCTGCAGAAACGCATGTCCGCACATGTACAAAAGTGCGTATTTGTCGCAAATGACCGCGTGGACCGCCCTTTTTCGGCGACATATAGTCCTCTACCCGCGCCCTTGCTAGCGCGAAGCAAATATTTTTAAAGGCAAGTACTTCGGCTAGTCATCCTTAAAGGCAGTACATCGGCAGAATGAGACCCGTGACAAAACAAGGTCACAGGGTAGGAGCCCCCATATGGAACCTATCGGCCAAAGTCCGATCTTTCTCTGCCACTTCTAACCCCCGAAATTTCAAAGTGAAAGCAGCGCTCATCTCCTGTCCTCTCCGAACCCGCCCACCCCATGGACGAGTGACTTCCGCGGCCAGAGCGCCAGCCGCAATGCTATAAGCATGAGGTCCCGCAACGACTCTGCGCCTTCGCCATGCCGGGCTTTGCGTTCACTCGTCATGGGGTGGGCGGGTTCGGAGAGGAGAGGAGATGAGCGCTGCTTTCGCTTTGAAATTTCGGGGGTTAGAAGTGGCAGAGAAAGATCGGACATTGGCCGATAGGTTCCATATGGGGGCTCCTACCCTGCGGCCTTGTTTTGTCACGGGTCTCATTCTGCCGATGTACTGCCTTTAAGTATTTCACATACTCAATGAGCTTTTAGAGAGATCACCGTTTGTTTTTTAAGGAATAATCATTGTTCTTAGGATGTAAATTAAATTTCGACATTAGAAGTCGACATCTGCTGAGCTATCACTTCTGATCACAGTATAATCATATACAGTCGGAATATATCATTTATTTTCAGTTCAAGCTTCATAAAACAGAGATCATACTGCAGTCGTATATAGTAAAATACGAAATACATTAAGAGGTGAAAAATATAGAAAGTACAAAATACATCAAGAGGTGAAACATGAACCCAGAAAAAAAGTAAAGCAAGCAACTGTTAAAAGCACGTGAACTGACTCACTGGGCGCGTGGAATGGAAAGCGCTAGGGTCACCGGCATGTCTCTTCTAATTTTGGGCCCCTAGCTTCCTTAACGACTGCTCTCTCTCATGAACGCGAACAGATAATCTAGAAATCGACGGTGCGAAAGCATTCCATTCGTCGCGTACCGCGGACACAATACACAGTGACGAGTATAATAACGACATATTTCAAAGTCTAGTTAAGGCTTCATAATTGTAATTGCACAACTTAGTGGATACATATATAAGACTACCTATGAATACAACCAAATTCGATTAGCGTTCCGCACATAGGGTATTGCTTACGGTTGACCACTGGAATTGCTTAATTATAACATTGAAAAAATTGACCCGCTCCCATATACAGTCTGTCACCATAGTGGATGGCGGTAAGTATTCTCAAACTTACAAGTAGTTTCGAATCACATCACGCTCTTTATCAAGGACTGAGCGTGAAATAAGTGAATGGAGAAGTTTGCCAAGAGCAGCGCGATCCACAGGTATATCCCACTTTTCTTCGCACTAGAAATAATAACCAGATAGCAATCCAACGACAATTACCTATTATATAAAATAAACAACATTGATGACGCACCTTAACGAATCCAGCTTGAGCAATAAGATGATTCACAAGTTGAGTTGTGGTAGAGTTCGGCCGGCGATGAACAGATTTTACTCTGACAATAATGTCTGCTACAAAAATTAACAATTTCACAGAGATAGAGATAGTCGAATTGGAAACAGCCAACCTGCAGTGCTTACGACTTCATCGAAAACTTCTTCAACAATTTCCTCTTTCTTGGAACTTTTCGCTAAGATTGCTGCCAGTCTTAAGATCAAACGTGCGGACTCCTCCTGCGTAGCAGATTCAAATCGGTCCTTAATAAGTGTATTATGGTTTCATAGTTCTACCGGCTTCTTGTAGACTTACTATAGAAATTTCAATATCATCCTTGCATGACTGGAGAAGTCTACTGGGATCGTCGGACTAAACATTCAAAACTAAATGAAGAGTTTGACAATTAGGTTAAACCACCTCATCATATCCCTCTTCTGCAGAATCTAACTTTACATCCCCTTCTTCGTCGGTACCATCACTATCACTATCTTCAGCACTCATCCTTTCATCATCATCGGAACTTACGGAACCTTGGTCATCGCTGAAAATTTGTATAGAACGCATGAAGATTATAAGATTGGAAAAATACAATAAGAATACAAGATTACTCTTCATCGCCCACAACGATGTTCGCTCCCGCCATCTTCTTTATTTGTGCGAACATACTGCCGAAGTTATTGGATGAAACTATCAGTTGCGCTCCAGATGAGAACTTCCTCCACTTTTCTATGATTTGTTTTGCAGCAGCACCAGACAACTCCGCTCCCGAGATGTCAAGCATTTTCAAGTTCTTATGCACCGTGGGTGATAGTGCATCCACAATGGCGTGGCATCCTTGATCTCGACATAAGCAGTCACCCAAATTCAAAACTTCCAGCTTCTTCAGAGCTGAGAGAGACTAAATCGGCACGTTAGCCAGAGAAAGAAATTTGAAAAAGTGACAAACTACCTTCGCGATAACTTCGCTACCCATCTGCGTTGCTGTATTATCATTGAAATTGATCACTTTCAAGTTGGGATTCGCTCTAAAGCAGGATGCCAACGCCCCTATGCCCATGGCAGTGATACCATTCTGAGGTACGGTAATCTCTTCAAGCGTTCCAATTTTCTGAAAGAAAAAGCGTATATGACAGTTTAATAAGCATTAATTACAAAAAATATATGATGTTTTTCCGCTGCCTCACCGCGAATGCTGATGATAGAGCCGTGGCTCCAGGAACTTCGAGACGGTTCCTACCCGCTATGAAAGTTTTCAACTTCAGTGGCCTACCGGCTTTCACAGAATTGTCGTGGCATTGAGAAAGACATTGTGCGATCACCTAGAACCAGTGAAATAAGTCGAAATCTAAAAACACTACAGTAATCATCTCGTTTACAAATAAGCCTACCTTTCCACCCGCTCCAAGACCATTGTTATTCAGTTTCAAAACTTCTAACGAATAAGCAGCTGGAGAAACAAGAAACTCTTGTATACCTAAGTAGAAAGTTACAATCCCACGTTCAGTGCGCTTTCCTAATTGGCATAGCATGGTTTTATTGAAGGTATTGTCTTACCTTCAGCTCCAATAGGCCCAAATGCATTGTCGGAGAGATCTAGCTCTGTTATATGACAATCCACTGACATCATTGCCGAGCACAAACACTTCTAGATAAAGGTTCACCTTTCAAATAGTAATGTAAAAAATAGAAGCAAGATAGTATACCAATATTGGAGGGATCTCGTTTTTGAGTCTGCCGGTAAACATATCGCTCCATAGACAGCGCTAAACAATTATAACTAAAAGATGATCAACATCCCCTATCAAATGGAAACCTCTAGCTCCGGATGTTTCTTCAAAGCATCAGCAATGCGTTTCCCTGATTCAATTCCAAGTGTATTTCCGCGCAGTTCTAATACACGCATCCGTTTTTGTTCCTCAATTTGCTTTGCAACAGGTTCAGCTGAAGTAAATCAATTTTGATGTAGCATACGGCGACGTGGTGTAGAGACCACCCGTACCATCTTGCGCTGTGTCAAGTTTTAGTTGTTTATCCAGGAAAGAGACAGCATCTCCATCGTTAGCACCATTCGCCTTTTGCTCTACGACTTTCATACAACCTACACCTTTCAATAAAGCATTTAGATCCATGTCATCGCCCTTAGCATCTGAAAAATTCAGTCTCTTTCAAGCTAAACAGAGTAAGACCACCTACCGTTTCTGTTTTCGCTGTTTTCTTTATCCTCATCCTCTTCGGAGTCATTGTTTGCGTCAGAATCCTCATCAGTAGATGATCCTTCGTCATCACTGTACAATGCGATAACACTAGTTTTAAAAAAGTATAGGTGTCTTACTTACTCTATGTCTCCTAGCTCAACACGAGCTTGCCGACCCAGCCTCGCAAGTTCATTGAAACTTGAACCAAAGCAATTGTTTGAAAGTTTCAGCAATCTGAAAGCACAAGTTGATATGCAAAAAGAAGAAAGCGACGGCGCTCATACCAGTTGATGTAATTGTTGTATACTAAACTAGATTGAGCTTCAAAAAAGCTTATATAAAAGAGGTAAACCTCACTCACACTTCTTTGCCGCGATCTGCATACAGTTCTTTCCAGCTGTTAATGATGCTTTTAGCTGTGTCAGCGGATAGTCCGTTACCAGAAAGATCCACGTACTGCAAATCAACTACTAAGCTGAGCTTTTGAAAAATATTAGAAGCATAGCTACCTTTAGCCTATTATGCCTTCCATCAAAGATAGCCTTACAGATCGCTTTCACTCCTGCATTACGACACAAGCAATCTCCAAGATCCAAAGTCTCCAAGTGAGTAAGCTCGCCAAGAACCTAACAAGATCAACAGTTGCTGGGACATCCGCTCGCAAAGTCTTTCTTATGAATCCACCTTGGCTAGAGCCATGGCACCTTTTTTGGTGCAGGTATTGTCGTTGAGATCAATAATTCGCAGATCAGTGTTGAAGGCAAATGCATGAGCAAGAGCACAAATTCCTGCTGGACGAATGCCGTCCTGTGGTAGACGAATCTCTTCCAAAGACTGGAGTGCCTGAAAACACAAGCCTAATCAGGTTATAGAGGAGGAGATGATTACCAAGAAGGTTTCTCCCAGCGCTTTCGCACCAGGATCTTCTAATCGATTACGGCCAGCAATAAAAGTTTTTAGCTCAAATGAGTGTCCATCGCGAAGTGCATTCCACTGGCACTGCGCCAGACATTCCGCAATAACCTGGATTTTTTATCGCTGAAGAACAACACACGTACTGAGCTAATACGAGCAATTTACCTTTCCTCCAGCTCCTAGACCGTTATTATTCAGCTTCAAAATCTTCAAGGAGTACGCGGAAGGGGAGACCAAGAAACTTGAAATTCCTGAAAAAGGACAAGAAAGTTTGGCTGACTTGTCATAAGACAAGAATGGTCAAGCATATATATGCGAACATCAAAAAGGTAAAAATTGATTACGATCGAAAAATGATTGACAAAGATTTCAGACTTACCTTCAGCTCCAATCGGGCCAAACGCATTATCAGACAGGTCCATTTCCTCAATATGACAACCAGCGTTCATTATAGCCGAGCACAAATGCCGCTAAAACGGAGAAGTGAGACAACAATAAAACAACAGTAACTAGAGGTAAACATACCAGTATCGGGGGTATTTCTGACTTCAAACGTCCGGTAAAAATGTCGCTCCATAAGCATTTCTGCAATGAGTAGTGGGTGACGCATGTACATGCAACAGAGGCTGCGGAGACTGCGGTCGGCCAACGAATAGGCACATGCTATACTTGATCCGCTTGATCCACTTCGCTATTGGTCAAACTAGTGAACTGACCGTAACGGAGCGCATGAAGAGGATAAAGTGGATCAAGTGGACATCCGCTCCGCTATTGGCCAGTTCACTGGTTGACCAGTAACGAAGCGGGCCAAGTGGGTCGGCAAGTATGGCGAGTACTTTACATTGGGAAAAAAATTGCCAAAATTATCCAAATAGTGTGTGAAAACTTGATTTGCGATAGATCGTTTTCGCACAAAATGCTTCACTCAACTCACTTTCAATTCTGGATGCATCTCTAATGCTTCCGCTATTCTTTTTCCTGCCTCAACACCGACTGTATTTCCTCTCAACTCCAATGCCTCCATATTCGAAAACGATTCTATCGCCTTCGCTAATTCTTCGGCTAAATTTCACAATCAGAAACATATGATGACTGTAGAATAAATCTTGAGGAAAGAAGTTACCTTCTTTTGCTGAGTCCATTTTGATTTGCTTGTCAAGGAAAGACAACGTATTAGCGTTCATTTCTTTCATAATGCAAAGAATAAAAAACTAACAAATTTCTGGAACAGACAGCTAAGTTTATGGCATTGGCGGACTTTGAAAGAAAAAGAACGTATAGAAAGATAACTATAGGCATATATGGGAACACTGGCATCTAACTGAGCTTCAGTCAAAACCGAATCAATTAGTTTCTTGATGAGTTTAATAGTAGACGCAGAGCAGCACTTTTATTCGTTTAAATGAAGAAAACCAACTAATTTGCCTATTCCAGCAGCCAGCCGTTCTGTCAAGTTACGAAACGAATTTTTTTAGCGCGCGAGTCTGTGAACGCACAACACAAACGAGACGTCCAAGAAAAAGCCGAGTACCAACATTGGTAGGGGCCAGAGTAAGCGAATATTTTGTTCAGCTTCGTTCAGCTGCAGAGCGCGCAGAATTAATGTCTGCTGCATAATCTCTACTGGTGCCAAGGGGGTAGAGGAACGAACGCCACCTAATTGAGGTGATCGTTCCTCCACCCGTGCCAAGGCCTGCTTCAGCTGTGGGTCCTGTGCAGAATCATATTCTGTGCGCCTTTTACAGCTGAACGAAGCTGAACAAAACATTCGCTTACTCTGGCACCTACCTTCGGTAGGCGCCATCAGAGTCAAGCGTGGAGTTGGCACGCCACACAAGGAGGGTCGTAGAGGGGTCAGGAAGAGGGGGGGGGGTCGTTATTGAGGTGATGCAGCGACATTATGCCATTCAACAACACAGTAAGCTTTAAAAAAAAATCCCGAAAGCATAAGGGCACCATTTTCGTGGTTACCATGTCAAATAGCCCCTAAGGGCCAAGTTTCGGTGAATTTTGTGGTTTCCAAATATTGGTAAATGAGGTGGTCATTTTCGACCTGCTGGCTTCGCTTCAAAGGTAAGTAAAATACTTTTTTTGCACTTACTACAAAGTACTAAATGATTCTTTACTGACAATGGAGGTTAGTTGAAGTGGGAATCCACTTCAACTAACCTCCAAACTCTGTAATTATGAGCAAGCCAAAATCTCGTTTGTCCCAATTTTGTTTTCATTTTCTCAGACTCGAGAAGTCCAATCAGGCTCAAATTACTTTCGAGAAAGTTACGAGGATCAGGCTATCGGATACACTTGTTCTTGTCGCCTTTCCTCGCGATTTACGTAGTAGCACAGACTTAGCATATTACCGTAATCCAATATTTTTGCAGTGTTTTCCATTTGTAGCTAAAGAAAAACGACTGTATCTTTCCTTAGGATGAACAATTTTGACTGAAATTCTTGCTAATGGAGAAGAAGGTTTAGCAGTAGCAATCATATAAAAAGATAGAGATTTGAATGCTTTGAAGGTAAGTTAATGGGTGCGCCACACCTCATTAACATGCCCCCAAAAGGAATTTTAGCGAACAAGATACATATAGTTTGATAGCATGAGCCTTGTAACTTTCACAGGAGTAATTTGGGCCTGATTCATCTTCTCGCTCTGAGTAAAAGCTGGTGAAAGCGCAGCTATTGAAAGCGAAAAATGGGATAAACGAGATTTTGGCCTGCTCCTAATTCCATATATTATTATATTATTGGTTATTTGAAGGAGGATTATGGTATGGGTAAATAGGGAGTAGTGCTTCGTACTAACAAGGCAAGGATGGTTGGTCGAAGTGCCTTTTGGATGAGTTGTATACCATTGTGGAGGGCATAAAACGCTGATTTCAAATCTGTTTTCCTTATCTGCGGCGCTTTCCTGGACGAGGAGTTATGAGCGTTTGAAGGAGCAAAAAATGAGTGTTTTTTTTTTGGAATAAAAACACTTGCTGAAATCTTATCAGCGCTTGAATGAGACAGCCGGAGTGCGGATATATTTTACTTAAGAGTATTTAATTTAAAGTGTAGCTGAAAAGATTACCCTGGTCCATTTGAGCGCTAGAAACAATGTTACTACAGTTTTTATATTATTTGCACACTCAAATTTTTTCTCCAATAAACGCTCATAACTTCTCGTGCAGGAAAGTGCCGCAGATAAGGGAGACAGATTTGGAATGAGCGTTTTGTGCCCTCCAACATGGTATACACATCATCGCAAAAGGCCACTTCGACTGACCATCCTTCCCCTTTGAGTACAAGAATAGTGAGCTAATTCACTTTTGAAATATATTCAATCGTCTTCAAAAATGTTCATTTCACTTGGATTGTCCAATATTGGGAATCCTCAGAATTTGCTAAAACTTGGCCCGTAATCGTTACTTGACATGATAATTACGAATATGTGCCTAATTATGCATGGTTGAGCATTTACATGCCTACGGGTGCCTTCATACCGCGCCCGCAGCCGCCGCTAGCAGCCCGCAGCAGCCGCCAGCAGCCTGCAGCAGCCCGTGGCCGCCGCTGGCCGCTTTTGTTATCATACGCAAAATCATCAGATTATTACTGATTTGATTGTACCGGCCTATGTCTCTCATCCTCCACGCTTTTTCCTTCCTTTTGCCGCCAGTACGCAGTTCGATCTAAAAAAATCACAGAAATAGCAACTGAACGCATCCATAGTTGCAAGAAATCACCCCGCGAGTGAATTCAGCGAACTTGAGAAGTAGTAGACTGCAATTTAGATGAGCACCGATAGCAAAGGAATAGAGTGAAGCAGAACCATGTTTAGAAATTAACAGATAGCACAAACAGAAACTGGACGCATTAAAAATCAAAGGGAATCACACAAAAATTCGGCTGTTCTATGGTTCAATGCAGTAGGAAAATTGATCACCACAAAGATAACCAATCTACGGCAAAAAGATAATGACAAAAATAGACACAAGTATAGCAGTAGCAGCAACAATGTCTAATTTTTGAGGTCGAAATACGTACAGTCGGCAACAGGGAGAAAAAAAGCGTGGAAGATCAAAAGCAAGGGCGGGTGCATCAAATTGGTAAGAATCTGATGATTTTGCGTATGGTGACAAAAGCGGCCAACGGTGGCTACGGGCTGCTACGGGCTGCTGGTGGCTGCTACGGGCTGCTGGCGGCTGCTACGGGCTGCTGGCGGCTGCTACGGGCTGCTGGCGGCTGCTACGGGCTGCGGGCGGCTGCTGCGGGCTGCTAGCGGCGGCTGCGGGCGCTGTATGAAGGCACCCTACGGAAGAAAAGATGGGGGGGGGGTATGCGAATAGAAAATAGGTGGAGGGGGGATCGTATCCGGCGCTTGTGTGCCACACCTCTTGCTCGACCCTGGGCGCGATAGGATTCCTTTATACTACGCAGCAGCACGCCAGTCCTGCGGCGTACGCTGCTGCAGTCGCAGTGAAAATATACGTTCACGGCAGCACACCTTCGCCGTTTATGGATGCATTTCTGTGTTTGCTGCACGTTCTCTCCGAGAGTGTTCCTTCACAGCGAGCGAGCTTATATTTTTACTGTGACTGCAGCGGTGCATTATGAATGAACCCATATTATCCCAGCCAAGCGTGGGTGTTGCTTGGACTAGGTCTAGGAAGCTTGTCAAACATGGATTACGAGTGCTACTCTTTTTGCATGTTGAGACCTTTTTCGTGGAGTTGGAGAGTGAGAACCCAGATTTGAGTTTGCTTTAACGGAAGGTGGTAATATGGTTGTAGCTTAGCATATCTAGTTCCTGAGTAAGACTGTAGTGCAGCAAGCGGGCATGATGTTCATGATAGCATACTGAGTACCCCTCCCCTCCCTTAGACCAAATTCCAGCCGAGCCTGTAATCTACTCCTTAAGACTAGAAAAAGAAATTTTCTCGCTTCCGATTTTCTTTGGAACCGAGAAAATCGCTTCGGGATGGCGGGGAGGCATGAGGACCTCAAATCAATACCGCCCCCCCCCCCTCCAATGGTGACCGCGCCTCCATGAGCGCCCATCCAATATTGTTCCGGAGTATCGGCTTGCAAGTTGTCCGGAACGGAATTTGTCGGGGTTTTCGAAGATTCTCGACTTCACAATTGGAATCAGGGACATGGGAAGGCCCCGAAAGGACCAAAACATGATACTCGAGAATCTGGGTGGACGGTGCCTTTAAACCGGGCTCAATGACGGAGAGCACAGCAGCACTCACAGCTAAGCTATACGGCATACCCTTGGGACACAAGTGAAGAATTCCAAGGATCTGACAGTGAGTGAAGGACGGGATGACACCATTTCTATAGGCCACGCCTCCGATTTAGCATGAGCTCACCATATCTAGCCTGCAATTACTAATTCTGTCAATGCTGCATTCTTATTCGTGCTTTTGCATTTTCACTCGCTCACCCAGTGTTAATATTCTTGTGCCTCGTCTTCGAGTAGCAAAGAAAACAGCAAAAAGATTGATTACTTGTGTCTGTAATCTCTGTTTATCTGTCGTAACTTGGACATAACGCGCGTGTAATAAAAAAAATTCGAGGTCCGGTGGTCGACTTGTACGCTACTGATTTTTTTTGCTGTTTCAGATAATTCAATAGTGTCGCCAACGTCGACTAAAAGAGGAGTTAGGATTGTCCCCATTGGCGACGATGAAGATACTGTAAATGTCTGTGGATACTGTTCTATTGTGTTGTTTATCGTTATGTTTGATATTCATGTTTGCTTTGTATCTTATAAATGCTAGTGGTTAAAAGAGCACCACGAAAACCAGCTGGACAAGTTATCATAAGTTTATTTCATCACCTTATCACTAGCCTATCCTCAGCTAACATTGACGTGGCTTTAAAAGTCAGCAAGTCTGAAGGCTATAAGTACCGCTGGATGAGTGAGGTCGAGGGATTCTCTCCACAAATAGGGCCAGAATTAGGTCCACAGATACAAGGGAGTGAGAACGACAGGTCTCCAGCTCACTAGGCAGTTCTCTCCACAAGTCTTCTGAGGGTAGGACTAGGTCCGGCAACTATGGGAAGGAAACTACAAGTATCCCGCTCACCAAGAAGTTTCTAAGGGATCAATCCGCAAGTATCCTGAGAAGCAGTTCGAGGGTTGACAGTCTCTGGGGGACATTTCCATTCACAGTGCCTACAATATTGTTCTTTTAGTTATTATGTTGAAATAAGGTTTGAATACTCAAGTTTGAGGCACCATACAACCCATGCGGCAACCCCACACCAGCCCATTAGCCATCCGTTTGCTACAACTAGACTCAGTACTGTCATAGTACTGTAGTCGGCGACGATGATGTTCGACACAGCGGGCGGACAGTTGCCTCTTGATATATTGTTGGGTGGCTATGGTTCGTTTGTACATTGACCTGTCTGACGTAACGTTTGATAAACGAATATTCGGCTTGTGCCGTATCAAATCACCGTACTGTAGTTGGAAACGAATATTCGTATTCGAAAAATTTATTCGAAATGTTCGACTTTTCGAATATTTGAGGAATTCCACTTATTCATTTATTCGAATAGTCGTTAAAAAAGGCCCGTATTCAAATAATTCGTTCATTCACTACTTGGAAAAATGACTTACTCGAATATTTGAATATTCATCTAATCGAATAGTGGAATACTCGATCAATTTTTGGTTATTCCAGTATTTAAAAGTTCCAATTTTCAAATGTGCTTATCTTTGTATTCGAATTTGAATAATATGAAAATCAGAAATCGAATAATATTCGTTCATTCGCAAATTTTTCCAAAATTAATTATTCGACATTCATTTGTTCGAAATTTTTTCTAAAACCAATTACTCAATATTCGTTAATTCGATGAAAATTCCCGTTCTTTACAACTATACACTGAACCACCAAAACTAGGTTTGATTTGAGTAAAATTACCCATGAGTTTTAGAACCCGAATAGTAAATTATGGCTAGCTGGCGCGTAACCGTAGGCGTCACCACAGCAAATGGGTTAAGAAGAGCCCTCATCAACTCATCAGAAGCGTGTAAAACAATATACCTCAATATTTGGGTCTTCTTTGAGAGGCATGTCATAATATTAATTTTGTTGTATAATTAATATATTATTATTATTCGCATTGAGCACCAGCAAGAACGGATGATGTTTTCTTATGCGCAAAATGTTGCAGGATATTTCTTCATTCACTTCCCACAACTAAGGCGAGATCGGATTGGATGTAGATGATGCATAAAAGGTTTCAGCATGGAGTCGCTGGAGGGTTGGGGCAATAGATTAACTAGCAGTCCATACGCTTCAAAATGAGTGAGGAAAAGCTTGACATTATATCCGTTCCCAGTTCACATAATATTGAGCTAGAAGCAAGCCTTGCCTGTGAGATTAGCTGAGTACAATTTGATTAACATTCTAATCTGATAACAGATTAGCTGCCTTGAACCTCAAATTATGTCAAAGGTATGTGATAAGTGAAAAGAGGGAGAACTTAGAGACTTTTGGTATTACAGGAATAAGCTTTTGGCAGCATAGTATAGTTGGACCCCCCTACAAAGTCAATGCCCACAAATTTCGCTTCGGAAGCGAGAAAAACGCTTCGAAACAACGATGAAAACCCCTAGGCCCCCCTCCCACCTCAGGGCCTGGAACGACAAATACACGGAAATCGAAAATCTGGGTAAAGGCGGTATCTAGGCAAAAGGTCAATTTGAGATTTTGTGCTTACCTGGCCCTATTCGCTATACTGAATCCGAAAATATACAGTGGAGAACGCGAAAACGGCGAACTAGGAGAGTGACTTCACAAAGTGAAAGACTCCGCTCATCTGCTGGTTTCCCTCCTGCTTCAGAGCCCTTTTTCGCCGTTTTCGCGCTCTCAATGCGGATGTTCGGGTTTAGCATAACTAGGCCCAGATAAACACAAAATTTCAAGACCGACATCTTGCCCGGACACTGCCTTTGATATATTAACTACAGTCTGAATGTTGAGAAAGATTGAAATATGGATGTAAGGAGTGAGAACTTCAACGGGTAGACTTTAGCCAGTACAATAGGAAGCTGTTAAAGTTTAATGACGGCGCTACCATCACACCAATTTCTCCGGTATTTCTATTGTTCAAATTGGAGTGGGTTATAGTAGACAGGGGGATCGCGGTCCAGTAAGCGATTGATGTTAAACAACCAGCGGATGGGAAACAAACTAATTTCGAAGCTTAGGCTCCCGCCAGAGTGCCGAAGTTATGCCAGCGCTAAGCCAGCATTTCGATCGATACACGTGTATTTCGTTGGGGCGGGGCTAGCTGACGTCCCCAACGAAATACACGTGTATCGATCGAAATGCTGGCGTGGCTGGCGGGGCTAGCTGACGTCCCCAACGAAATACACGTGTATCGATCGAAATGCTGGCGTAGCGCTGGCATAACTTCGGCACTCTGGCGGGAGCCTTAGGAATATAAAGTTAAAATTTCTGACAGTTTGAACAACATAGAATCTATATGTGATGCAGTACACTAACATGATCGAAGCATTGCGTCTATTCCGTTATATGTTCGTATTGATCTAATTGGCCACACTTTGCACATACGAGAACGAAACGCGAAAATTAGCTCAGATGCATTCTGTATCAGCGGGCTCAACATAAAGCAAAGGCGGGCGTATAGTAGTTCCAGGAATTGGTAGAAGTCTGCACGTTAATGAGGGCTATTAAATTTGTAAACGGCATTTTTGCAATCTTTGAGTCTCTGCCTACGTTTTGGTTTAACCACAGGTGTATCTAAGGCTAGATTGTTAAGTTGGTGGATGATAATAAGTGAAAGGATCTAGTCTTCGACCCCTATGAAATTCAGATCACTTTTGGAGCGATAGCATGCTCCGATGTTTATCATCTGTTTTATTTCCATAGCCATCAAAGACTGCTTCTGTTGGTAAGCGGATCTTCATTTGCAGTTACAGTTGCCGCAGCTGTTGTACTTATTTAGCATGGGGAGATGAAGTGTGACAGAGCAATTTCTTTCATAATTGTGTATTTATTTTCAAGCTATTTTGACGCATCTTGAAGTGGTGCGCGAAGGGCGATTTTGCACGCGCTGGGACAATTTGCCGGTATCCTCTTCGCGTCTTAACGCGTCTTACCAAGCATCCTCCTTTTTCTTGAATTGTCTGGACCTGCGCTCAAATTGATATAGGGATACACCATAGCTTGTCCCCGTTCTTCATACGGGACCTTTATGTACTCAAAGCTAGTCTGATATAAATTTAGCGAGCCGTTGCTTCTGGGCCTCAAACAAATTTCCCTCAGATGTATGGAGCGGTATAACAGAAACCAGATAACAGGTTCAGATGCCTCAAAGATGAACTTGATAGTCATTTACCCAACATTTTCTCAGATTTTCAGCAAAAAAACGTAACATTTGGCAGATGCTATCACCAGCTTTCTGGTCAACTTTTTCACTTGTTTGACAATCTAAAATGTGCCTCTTGCAAGTTGAACGATTTCTATGCCTTCCTTACAAGCGAGTGAGGCGAAAAAAATGCACGCCTTAATTACCCATTTGGGAGCGCTTTATAGAGCAACAGAGCAAGGACCGTGACATGTTGGTGTTTTCGCGAAAATACACAGTTTTCCGGCTTTACACATAGAACTTTATTTTGAACACTGCGAACCTTCCAAACAACCACTAACAAAATTCTGATGAGGCAAACGCACAACGAGTAGCTCACTCGTCACCACCACTTCTTCGACATGTGTGTCGCCCTAAAATTCAGACGTTTCAGAATGATTGGATTAAATAACTGGAATATAGTGTACTTCTCTCATCTGAGACACAACGAAATTCCGCTCTACTTTACACAAACAAAACTCACTTTTGCGTTCTCCTGCGTTCTTTTCTCTTGCACAGAAGCTGGCCTCACAGTAATGGTAGTTATATGTGGCGCTGCACTTGTACGAATGCGACTAAATGTGAATATACAATGTACAAAAAGGGAGGAGAAAGAAAGAATCTAACCGTATCATTCTGGTCCTTTTCGTCCTATTTGCAACATTTATTGCTATCTGTTCTTTCTTGTTAGTAAGTTCCGCCGTTGAAGTCACTTGTCGCACTGCAAGTAGCTAGTTAAACATTGCTGACATTTTTTTCTTGTTCTGTAAATATTCACTTGGATGCGATTCCAAGAAAGATCCCGCATGTCTGGCATCGTCTCCTACAACATTCAGTTCACGTAATGAGCTTCTCCCAGTGTGGGCGGAAATGGATTTAGGTGCTTTGGTACGTAGTCGCAGGGCCTATAAGCTCCATGTTGGCCATCACATCAATCTTACAAGGATGATACTTAGTTGAAGTGATCTTCAAAATCAAGATGTATAATGTACTAGTGAACCAGTAATTAGTGTTAGATTGCACCCCGCCCTTCGAGACCGCACCGGTTTTCCGCTTTGATGGTTTTCAAATGCAGCTTGCAATTCTTCATATACTAGACTGTTGTCGTCAAACGACTAGCAATATACAAGCAATACAAGCAATTATTGCACAATCTACAAGTAATTATTGAGCTGAACTCTTGTTTTGTGGTTATGTTTGTTTTAGATGCTTAGAAAGGATGCTGTGCGCGAGTTTTTCAAAATCGCGAATGATGATGATAACCCCAAGAGATTTGACACGTTTTTCACCTATCTCAGTTGTGCATATTTCTCCATTGTCATAAATAATGCAATCTCATGATTTTCAAATAAACTATCTGACAAGCTAGATTGTATTTTCACAAACTGGTTTTATCGAGCAAGAAACCTTTGAAACAACATCAGACAAGTAGTTGATTTTCCTCCGTTTGCTAAGTACATAAGACTCATGCGCATTACATTTGCATCGTATTTTGTGTTTTCTCACAACACACATTTTACGAGGTTCAAATCAAAAATAATTTCAAATTCTTTTCGATTCATATATTTTCTGTATACTTCGCTTATTACCCTCACGAGTACAGGACGAACCTGATTTTTTTTCTAAACTGATCAACCTGAACACACTAAGGAATTTCGCGAACAACGAACCTCTACTGTGCAAGAATATTGTGTGGGAGAGCAACCATTTCGCGAGGCACAGTCGCGGCTGAGCTGCTTGCATAAAAAAATGAAAAAGGTGCGTCGTGAAATTAGGGTATTTAGTATTTTGTTCTCATTCAAAGTAAAGGTTTGATTACCCAAGTTTGAGATATTTGCTGGTAACAAGCTCCGTGTGGCAGGCTATTTATGGTCATGGTAGTAGACACTTATGGATCTGATTTATATTTCGTCCACTAATTCATCACAACTAGTGAGGTAAAGTGCCTAGTATAAGATACAAATCTCGAATCTGACATCGGTGTCTGTGGAAACTCCTTTGAGGAAGCTGGAGAGTCAACAAACAGGATTGAAAGCTAGTTATTAAGATTATTTCAAAGCTCCCACAGAGTGGGCAATAGGCGAGCACACATTTAGTGCATAGCGGTACAAGAAGATTCTTTCTGAAGAGGAGCAGGGAGGGGGGGGGAGGGAGAGAGTGCAACAGTAATTTATGAAAGGGTGTGGCATCGGTCGCTCCACTCAATTTTGGGAATCTTTCAAATTCATTGTGGGCTTATGGCCATAATATTTTTACTTCGCGTGTTTGAAATATAAAAGCATTTGAATTATTTACAAGTAAAAAAAAGTTTAGCACAATTCAGCAATTTATATTACGCTGCTATAAATGCAACGTCTCCTCAAAATGACCGAGAATTTACAGTGTTCCAATGGTAGACCCTCCAAATAGTTTCTCAGTGAAGTCTTGAGCGAAAAAGTGCTTCTAGAAAGCTCAAAATCCGCTCCGAAAGTCTTCCAGACCCCGCCCAATTCTTACATGTAGTCTGGAGCAAACGCCGACATGGAGAGCTTCAAAAAGCTCATTTTTGACATTTTCGAGCGCTGAAAAGCTCAGATATGGCTTCAGCATAGCAAAAAGGCTCCGAAGAGGTGAAAAATCCGGGAGCGAATTTTTGCCGGGACATCTTATATATAAAGCTGAATGTCTGTTTGTCTGTATGTCTGTATGTCTGTCTGTCTGTATGTCTGTGTGTACGTATGTTCCGAATAGAAAATTCCATTTCTGAACCGATCCGGACCAAACTTGGCACACATACACTACGGGCCCCGGCGGGTGTCATAGGCTACTTTTCGTCATCGATCGATATCGATTTTATCGATTTTTATCGATTTTTTTGCTGAGTTCACCTACGGGGCTGGGAGTTGGCATAGGGGGGTAATCGAGCATGGGGATTCCGAATACAATATTGGTTTCCAGGATTATCGATTACTTTTATCGATTTTATCGATTTTTTTGCAAAGTTTGAGCTACGGGGCTGGGAGTTGGCATAGGGGGGTAATCGAGCATGGGGATTCCGAATACAATATTGGTTTTCAGGATTATCGATTACTTTTATCGATTTTATCGATTTTTTTGCAAAGTTTGAGCTACGGGGCTGGGAGTTCGCACAGGGGGGTAATCGAGCATGGGGATTCCGAATACAATATTGGTTTTCGGGATTATCGATTACTATTATCGATTTTATCGATTTTTTGCAAAGTTTGAGCTAGGGGGCTGGGAGTTGGCACAGGGGGGTAATCGAGCATGCTGATCACCCCCAAGGGGGGTGATCAGCATGCTCGATTACACCCCTTGCCAAATTCCAGCCCCCTAGCTCAAATTTTCAAAAAATCGATAAAATCGATAAAAGTAATGGACGATCCTGAAAACTAATATTGTGTTCGTAATCTGCATGCTCGATTACCCCCCTGTGCAAACTCCCAGCCCCGCAGGTCAAACTTTACAAAAAAATCGATAAAATTGATAAAAGTAATGGACGATCCTGAAAACTAATATTGTGTTCGTAATCAGCATGCTCGATTACCCCCCTGTGCAAACTCCCAGCCCCGCAGGTCAAACTTTACAAAAAAAATCGATAAAATCGATAAAAGTAATGGACGATCCTGAAAACTAATATTGTATTCGGAATCCCCATGCTCACTTCCCCCCCTGTGCCAACTCCTAGCCCTGTAGGTGAACTCTGCAAAAAAATCGATAAAAATCGGTAAAATCGACATCGATCGATAACGAAAAGTGGACTGTGACACCCGCCGGGGCCCGAAGTGTATGTGTGCCAAGTTTGGTCCGGATACGGCGGAGCCGGGTAAGCCAGCTAGTTGCCTATAAGTTCTGTCCGCTTTTTTTGCCTTGCGTTTGAAGCAGCTCTTCTAGGAGATTTTCAATCGTAATGCGATAGTATTTGTAGCGTTAGAAAGCATTTTTCTTGCTCTTTCTAGCACATATCGTATGCATGAAATCTCCAGTCTGACGAGATCGCAGCCTATGATCTCCAGATGGTCGCGACACGTTCTCAGCTAAGAAGTTCTTGCGAGGAAATCTCCATAATATGTTCTCCAAGTTAAGACTTTGTGTTAGTCACCGAATAAGGGTGAAACAGTCCGGTATAAGCATAAACTCATTTTCATGCGGAAAAAATCTTGCTAGTTAAATTTGTTGCTGAAAATAACTATCTATACAAAAGTTCTACAAGCAATAACTTTCCGTGAATAGAGGCAGTCGATGAATCTAATGTTGAGGTGCTAGAGTAAAGCAAGGGCTAGCGGAGGTCCAGCCAACAATTGCTTTACACCCCTAGCGGCAAGTGGAAATTATTTATGATTATGCATATGTACTAAATTAAGGTTAAAAACGGCTTCATTTTCATTCGGTCATAATCTCTTGGCATCGAAGATCCTATGGAGACTTTTAAGCGGTAGAATCTTCGAAATCTTTTCTATCTAGCCATGGCTGCTTAATGTGCCGGTCACTTCTTATAAGGGAGCATTGCCATGCCAAAAAAGAGGTTTAGGAACGCTGTAAAGCTTTTGAGTTCTTGCTTTTTTCTAACAGGGTTTTTCGCAAGTTCTAGAATTTCTCTGATGGCTGTTCGACACACTGAAACCAAGATTGTGAAAGAAAGTTGAGTTTGAAAGATTATAATAGAATGTTATATTATGACATTTTGCATTCAAAAATTCAAATCGGACAAAAGTTATGCAGCAGCCTAGTAAAAACAAGTCTTGGCGCAATTCAGCAATTCATATATGCCAGTTACGAAAGTACGCATTCTTGAGGGGAGTAAGGGCGCGACCCCCTATTCTTTTTTCAATACCTATTCATATTGCGTATTTGAGAATCTTAAAATTATTCGAGCAAGCGAAAACTATCCTTTGCACAATTCTAAAACACAACTATACCAGTTTCGAATGTATTTTTGATTCCAAATCTGCCTCAAGGCAGTTTCCCTTCTCTGTCCACTCTTATTTATTCGATGATCTTATACAGGGTGTCCCAAAAAAATGTATCGAACGTTTGATTGTCAATATCTCGCTTCCCAAGAAGTCTTTTGCCTTGCTTCAGGTACCGTTTTCTAGAGCTGGCTTCAACTTAGATTTGCATTATAGAACGAATTACCCATCTTTTTTCATTGCTGTAGGATTACGGTAGAAACTTGAAACGTATGGTGTCAATGTGGAAAAAGCTGCCGTTTCAAAATTTTTCAAAAAATTGTGAAAACTTGTGTATTAGGGTTTTTATGGACGCTGAGTTCAATGCTCAACTATTCTCAAGATTGCGAAGCTTTCTAAACGGTGTAACCGCCTTTTTAGGAACATTGAAAAAATGGCCGCTACTTCTTACCTGGCATAACTCTTCAATGAAACATCATAATAAGTTGGGAACCTTTACAGTTATAATCAGCAACTCTAATTAGCCTAGTGTAAAAGCTTTCAGGCTGTTTTGGTTCCTTTCTGAGGCAAAATATGGTCTTTCTTTGCTTAAAACCCTCTTTGAAGTTTTTACCATAATCCTACAGTAATGAAGAGAAATGAGTGATTCATTCTATAATGCAAATCTAAATTGAAGCCAGCTCTACAGATTGGTACCTGAAGCAAGGGAAAAGACTTTTTCAAAAGAGAGATATTAATGATCAAACGTTCGATACATTTTTTTGGGACACCCTGTATATAAAGCTGAATGTCTGTTTGTATGTCTGTCTGTCTGTCTGTATGTCTGTACGTATGTTCCGAATAGAAAATTCCATTTCTGAACCGATCCGGACCAAACTTGGCACACATACACTACGGGCCCCGGCGGGTGTCATAGGCTACTTTTCGTCATCGATCGATATCGATTTTATCGATTTTTATCGATTTTTTTGCTGAGTTCACCTACGGGGTTGGGAGTTGGCACAGGGGGGTAATCGAGCATGGGGATTCCGAATACAATATTGGTTTTCAGGATTATCGATTACTTTTATCGATTTTATCGATTTTTTTGCAAAGTTTGAGCTACGGGGCTGGGAGTTGGCACAGGGGGGTAATCGAGCATGGGGATTCCGAATACAATATTGGTTTTCAGGATTATCGATTACTTTTATCGATTTTATCGATTTTTTTGCAAAGTTTGAGCTACGGGGCTGGGAGTTCGCACAGGGGGGTAATCGAGCATGGGGATTCCGAATACAATATTGGTTTTCGGGATTATCGATTACTTTTATCGATTTTATCGATTTTTTTGCAAGGTTTGAGCTAGGGGGCTGGGAGTTGGCACAGGGGGGTAATCGAGCATGCTGATCATCCCCAAGGGGGGGTGATCAGCATGCTCGATTACACCCCTGTGCCAAATTCCAGCCCCCTAGCTCAAATTTTCAAAAAATCGATAAAATCGATAAAAGTAATGGACGATCTTGAAAACTAATATTGTATTCGTAATCTGCATGCTCGATTACCCCCTGTGCAAACTCCCAGCCCCGCAGGTCAAACTTTACAAAAAATCGATAAAATGGATAAAAGTAATGGACGATCCTGAAAACTAATATTGTGTTCGTAATCAGCATGCTCGATTACCCCCCTGTGCAAAATCCCAGCCTCGCATGTCAAAATTTACAAAAAATCGATAAAATCAATAAAAGTAATCGATAATTCTGAAAACTAATATTGTATTCGGAATCCCCATGCTCACTTCCCCCCTGTGCCAACTCCTAGCCCTGTAGGTGAACTCTGCAAAGAAAACGATAAAAATCGGTAAAATCGACATCGATCGGTAACGAAAAGTGGACTGTGACACCCGCCGGGGCCCGAAGTGTATGTGTGCCAAGTTTGGTCCGGATACGGCGGAGCCGGGTAAGCCAGCTAGTATCTTATAAATAGGAGTTCCTTTTTATGGCAATAAAGTGTACCTGTCTATAGTGATTTTTGGCTTGCTCAGTTTTGACAATAGTAACGCTTTTGGAGGTTAATGGAACATCAATTCCACCATAGGGAAAGAAGGAGGTGATCGAGCTTAAACGAGCTACGCGTTAATTATCAACAACTATGAATCAAACATTTTACCGAAGCGGAAAGGTTTTAGATTGTTGTGTTGTCGTCGTCACTGTTGACATTCTTTCTAAAATCATTCATATTAAGTTCGCTTAGGATCACACATTTGTTTAGTCCGGGTAGACTCTATAGATGCCACCTTTTGCCAAATCCAATATGACTTCACCTAGATCAGGGAGCAGCTTCTCCATTTCGTCATGGTAGGCGAGGGATCTGTCAATGGAGGGTAAACATTTAAGGGACTTGGTATTGAAAAAAGCACGTACTCTTCTGCAAGTTCAACAAATCCCGGATCACTGTTGTGTTCAAAGTTGACTTGTCTTTTATTGCGGCATCGATTTTTCTCGAGAAAATTTGTTGAGATTTGATAAGAAAGATTAATAGTACTTAGAAATACTTACAATTGAACTGAGTTCGTCTTGTCGTTTGAACAGACGCAAATGACAAGAGTAGCGTGTAACAGGAGAATCAGCAAAACGGACTGCATTTCCCACTGACGTCGCTGTGCCGTTATTGAAATACAAAATATTGGAAATGACTGATTTATCGAGAGTGCAACTGAAAAATTGTGGTTCTATATAAATAGCAGGCGCTATTCCACATAAGTTGACCCAAAAAATGAAAATCGTGAATTTCGCTAAAACTTCGTCTAGGGGGGTTATTTGGTACGCTAAACACGAATATGATGTTTATTTCGTGCGACAGCGCCATCCGGTGGAATTACGGTAGGATTACGGTAGGGGGTCAAAATCATGGATTTACCCGAAACTCGGCCCAGAGGGGTTATTCGGCCCGCTGATGCTGAATATCACATTGGTTTTGTGCCGTAGCGTCATTTTCACGGGTTACGGTGGGTATACGGTAGGGGGTCACAATCTCAAAATCCGCTGTAACTTCGCACAGAGGGGTTATTCGACATGCTGATAAGAAATGTCACACTTTCGCCGCACGAAAACGTCTCCCTGCATGGTTACGGTAGGTTTACGGTAGAGGTCAGAATAAAAATCGGCAAATGTATCCTTCCCCTGTGCTTTGCTTAGGCAAAAGCCGCAGCAGGGTGTGTAGCGTACGGCGGTGGTCGTGTATGCAAAGTTTCAGGATCGTCCGAATCGCCGTACACCCGTTTTTTAGGCAGAACTATGTTTTACACCCGTTACCGTGTAGCTACCGTACCCGCGAAAATGACGCTACGGTTCAAAACCGATGTGATATTTGGCGTCAGCGGGCCGAACAACCCCTCTGGGCCAAGTTTCGGGCAAATCCGTGATTTTGACCCTCTACCGTAGTCCTACCGTAATTCCACCGGATGGCGCTGTCGCACGAAATAAACATCATATTCGTGTTCAGCATACCATATAACCCCCCTAGACGAGGTTTTAGCGAAATTCACGATTTTCATTTTTTGGGTCAACTTATGTGGAATAGTACCAAATAGCAGCTCAGAATAAAACGATCTAAAATATAGCGAAACTAGAAAAGATAGCCGAAATCACCCTTGACTGTCGAGAATAAGCCTGCTACGCTGACTGGTAGGATCCATAATAACACAAGAGTGCACAAAAAACCTTTTATGAGCTGTAAAATGGATGTTCAAGAAAAAACACTGTTATTGTTATTAACTCTATTGCCTAGGTCTTTTGAGTCTTCAAATATTAGTAGGGCTCAAGTATCAATTTACAAAGAAAAAATCAATCTTTTTTGTAACACATGTGCCAGGTTTGGTCCGGACTGGTTCAGGAGTAAAAATTTCTATGGAACATGTACAGACAGACATAGGGCTCCTGAGTAATGAACTGGCAGACCTTCGGCATTTGCCCTTTGGAGGTATCCCTTCGACTGTCTGAGATAGTCTGCTGCCGCGATGCGAAGGGTCTCAAAACGCCAGTCACGCGCTGCGCCGCCCGCTCACAGTCGCTTACCACAAGAGTCATTTTCGCATTTGCCAACTTATGAACGATCCTCAACTTTCATCTTCAAACAACACTTCGAGCAGCGCCTTCCCTAACTCGAGCGTACGTCAACATCAATCACGCCATGAAGGACTGGCCCCCGCGCAGACGGGTAACCTGGGATGTGTCCGCGCCTGATACACGTCAGCGATGCCGCCTCAGTGGTCTTCCGATTCGCTGGCGCCTAGAAACGTGATGTTTCAATCGGCTGCGCTCATCCCTTGTGTTTGGGTGTAGGGTTGGCTGCGCTCATCCCTTTCGTTTGGGTATAGGGTTGTGTAAGGATAATGGTGGGCATTTTGGCACCTGTGTTATTGATTGATGCGGTGAGCCACAGCTCGACTGTGGCTCCGCGAGTATTTCGTAATAGTGCGGTCATCATTGTGATACGGCCTAGCAGCGTAGCGCATCGTGTTCCAGCGACCTCGTCTTGGCGAAGTCACTGATTCGATATCACCTTGGGCGCGGCACTGCAAAAGTTACTTCCCTCAATTCTAGCGACAGGCGGCTCCTCACAAGAGGGCATGCGACATGCCGCCTGATGAATACCCCGTCGCGTCATCAAAGGTCAACTCTGATCCAGAAAAGCGCAGACCCTGCGAAAAGCGAGAAAATGCGAAGACGAAAAAAATCATTGTAATCTTGCCTGGAGTGATCAGTAAGGCTGGCAAGATTCGAGATAGCGCAACGGTTATAGTGTGCCCCAGGTGTGTGGTGGAAGGCAAGTATCATACCCACGTTCCGTACCAACTGCTAGATAGGCTGGTGGCAAAGACCCTCTAGGCATAACGTTGTAATGTAGCAGGCCCCTAGCGCATTTTCACATGTATCGCCAATCATAGAACTTTGGATTGTTTCACGGAGAGGACCCCTTCTACCGCCGATGCAGGGGAGCTTTACCACTGACGTGAGGAGCTGGCTGGAGCTTAAAGGCACCGTCCACCCAAAATCTCGAATTCAATGTTTTTGTCGCCTTCAGGCCTTCTGAAAGCCGTGATTCCGAATATGGAGTCGAAAAGCCGCGAAACCCCTAAAAATCCCTGTTTCGAGAACCCTCTGCAACAAGCGCGGCGAGATAAAGCATGCAAGGGTCGACCGGGATCGCCCCGCCCACATTGCTACTTCCGGAGCGGATTTCTCGCTCCAGAAGCGGTCCTTTGCGGCGAAGCTTGGAGGTTTGCCTAGTATGGGGACCCACACTAGTATGCCATCATAATCTCGCCAACCTCCATTTTGGGTGGACGGTGCCTTTAATCCGCAACAAATCCACAGCTCTTGGATTTTATGTGAAACATCATGCGGACATAACTCTGTGCGAATGCTTGGTGGCCATCTTGAGAAGCTCGCTCCCTTCATTGAAAAACAGAGACTTGATTAAGATGAATGAGATAAGCGATATTTCGCCTATATGAGAAAAACTTATAAGACGACCTAATGTAACGAGTACCCCAACTTCAGAGTACAAGACGCACCTATTTCCAAACTCGAACAGCCTGAACACACTAAAGAGTTTCGAGACCAATAGACCCTCTAGCTTACTGCTCCTTACCCAAAAGTATTGTGTGGGAGCGCGACCATTTCGCGAGGCACCGTGGTGCAGCCGAGCTTATTGCTTGGAAAATGAAAAAGGTGCGTCCTGTACTCGTAAAATCAGGGTACTACAAATTGTAGAATTAGTGCAAATACTGATACAAGACAGTAAATGATGTACCATGGTCGCAGGTCCATCGGTGTAATAACTGAGTACCGACATTTATTCCAGCAGTTGAACAAGTCGGTGTTTGGGGAATTACTTCATATCTGCACTTTGTGTGTTTCGTAGAGTCTGCGGCAATTTTTTCTTCACTGGAAAAATAAACACTTTTTACGAACTTTGCCGTAAAACTTCAAAGTTTGTCCATAAAGAACGAGATGATCGGATTTTAACTTTACTAAACTCTGGTCTTGTACATCACTCTCAGCTTGTGCGAATCCTTTCGACGCTTTAACGCTCTCGTTGTAGAAACAACGAATCTCAAAGGAGGGATCGCGAGCGGAGGCAAAATGGCCATCAAACTGTAGAAGCACACGACCGGATATCACAAAGTCAGTTGAGGACTAAATTCTGAGAATATCTTAAGACTAATCTCTTGAATTTTTACCTGATACGATTTTACCAAACCACATTTCCCAAATGGCGACTTAATTTTAGCGTTGTAGTACTCATGTTGCAAATCCAGCTTTATACTGTTATCGGATGCGAAACAGTCAGGATCGGCATGGAAACCTCCGAAGTAGAAGCGTCCCTACAACAAAGGAATACAAAATTGGGAATGATAAGGGGTCGCAACGTACTTCCAGTCTCTTCGTGGTAGATACTTCTGCTTGAATATAATCAGGACCGCACGTGATCTGCACTCCATTTGAACCTGAACAAAGCTGAATAATACCTTGTTTTCTCATCCAAAACAACCGTTTAGTGAAGCTCCAGAGCATTTTTGACACTATAGGCAAGCTTCAGGCAAAGGCAGCTGCCCTTATAAGTTAGACTTGAGCAGGCGTACGAGTTCACATGATCAAGGTTGCTCAAACGTGGCTTTTGCACCTCTTTGTAAGATAATCCAACCGCCTTTGTCGTGGCTCAACCTCTACCTGATCACCCTACACCTTTATGAAGGTGACGAAAGTGCCTGACCTCTCGCATAATCGCAGTGCTCTCCTTGTGATAAGTTTTTGAAGCCAGATATAAAATTTCTCAGCGACATCTCTCTGTGGAGCTCCTAAAGTACATAGACTGGAAGAGGTTGTAATATTATGTAGAGGTGAAGCTTAATCCTACTCGACAAACAAACCTGGAAAGCTAGTTCATCTTTACCGCTGATACGCACTATTTCATCTCTATTAATGTGATCTCCGATTCCCAGCGTAAGAATGGTAACTCCTAAAGCAACATATCTAAACTCTGACTGCTTCAAACACTACAATAAGAAGACTGTTATTGCGAGGCACTATAGGCGGTCACTTTCGTTCAAGAAACATTTCCTCCAACTTTCGTTTTGTTTTCACCATTGCAGAGTATGTTTTGACTAAGTGGCTTCAACTGGTTTCAGCTCCTATCTATGACGCTGGATTCTATCTTATCGTCGGATAGGTGTTTAAGAGAATAGCACGAATGTTTTGTGATCTTTCCAGTCTCTGAGAAAGGCGACGACGCCGATACGTCAGTGGTAATACAGTTATTAACATTTTTGGTGACAGGCTGAAGAAGAATATAGAGTGGCTTAAAACGTTTACAAAAACATAGCTATGTGGTGCTCGCTCAGTGTCGCCTGTGGCAAGCTTGCGGATCTTTGGAAACTCACTGCCTTCAACATCGGCGTTCAAGCTAGGTAAGGGCAAGATTTTACATAGCCTATACATCCACAGCTTGTTCCGCTGTAGCCCGATCAAGCAGCACATCCCTCAACCCACGCGTCACTCAAGAAGACCCATGCACTGTAGGGGTGAGCCTCACCGAGTTAACCTGGGCCCACCTGGGGTACGCCTCCGGTGGTGCAGCCTCAGGGGTTTGCTTTTGCCGTCCGCTAAAACGACCCTTGGTTTGTTCTCAGCGCAAGGTATGAGTTGTTTAAGTTGGTTGAAATTGGGATAGGGCACCCCGTTTGGCGTTATTGATCGAGATGATGAGCCAAAGGCTCGTTTGTGTTTTAATCATATCTCATAACGTGTGGTTCATCAGTTTTTAAGGCACTCAAAGAACGGCGCTATCCTAGGTAGTGTCTGGATTGTAAAAACCACAGGTGCTGATAACGCAAGTGCCGCACGTTACCTAGGAACTGCTAGGTAGGCTGAGAGCGTAAGGCTTTTAACCTACACTGTGTATGTGTACTGTGGCAGGCTATAAGAGCATGACGCAAGCAGTGTCACCACTCCACACATGTCGTAGTCCCACTTGTCCTTCAAGTCTTGTACGCCGATGCAGGAGAGCTTCAAACACTGACGACTGAAGCTGGTGTCCAGACCGCAATCCAGTGTGCAGGCTCCATTTTGGATTACAAATGACCTGCGTATATGCATATGTCTTGCGACCGCTCTCAAGCAGGCCGAAACCACCTGATTACGTCATTCTGTCTAATTCGTTCGATTTGGACTACATATCAAACAAACTCCGGGGAGAAGGGGGAAGGGGGCACGGCGAAATAGACATTTCGGGTGTTTTTCAAACTCCGCTCGCAGATTTTGAAAAGTGCTACGAACGCGTGCAGGACCGCTGTCTTAACAAAAAATCGAAATAGGCAATCTATCTGCAAATATCAGGGAGAAAAAGAGATCAACAAGCGGCATCCGGAAAGCACTCCTCATTTCCCAAGTGCGAAAATTAAACGTGCATTTTTCAGTGACTGTCTTTTTTTCAGCATTATCTGAGCATAATGGTGCACTATACCGACAACATCGGTCTGCCTAAACACCTTACCAGCATCTCGAAGTGCTTTAGCCGCTGGTAGTGGATTGTCGTTAGAGTGACCATCCGTGACGATCACGGCTACCTACAAATAGCATATTCTCGACATCTGATGTCTGGAAAAGTTGGCACGTTGCATCACCTTCAAAGCATCTTGTCCATTAGTTTGTTTCGCTTTTTCGAAAAGTTCCAAAGCTTTGAACATGGCCTTTCCTGTCTTTGTCGTCCCGGACATATGTCGAATATTTCGCAGAGAATTCAGAAGCTTATCAGGATCCTGCACAACACGAGATGACCAAGAAGTTTGATTTTAAGTTTATTTTTCAATTTTTAACGAGAAAACCATACATCAGTTCGAAGCGAATTCTATATAGTGTTGGTAAACATCTGACCTGATTTTCATTGAAGTCAATCTCAAGCTTGGTGTAACCTGCATATTGTAGTACAGCTATCTGACTCTAAAAGTTAATGGCGCGCTTGTAAACGGGTCAACTTCACTCTATGAGAAATAACATCATTTTTTCCAATATCCATCATATTGGTGATTTTGTTAAGCATTTTCATCTGCATATCGAACGTTGCTCCAGATACTGAACCGGATCCATCCAATAAAAACACCACATTGAGACGAAGAGCTACAGGTCGGCATACTAAATGAATCTAGCATTATAAGTAAAAAAAAATGACTGAGAATAAAATGTGCTGTGATGAGTAGAAATGGATTGTTAGAAGATAAAATATCATGCCGGAATATCTTTTATGATCTTCTTGCAGAAGAATCAAAAAATAAGTGAAATTATGAAGTAAAAAATCCATAAAATATGACTATCTTTATAAATCAAAAACTGTAATATAAAATAAATACTTATGAGTGGCGTACCGAGGGGGTGGGGAACTTACATTTTCAATAACGTGTAATTGACTTATTTATACTTGTGAGTGTTTGAATAATTTTTTTTAAAAAAATTTAAAAAACTTGATTTGACGTTATAAAAAATTTTTTTCTGGTGGGTCGCCCATGAAATTTTTAAGAATCATACCAAAACATTTTTCGGAGTGCGTGGCTGATGCCACGCACCTTCAAAAGAAAGAATACCCCCTCCCTTACCCGAACAAAAATCCTAGGTAGGAAACTACCTATATATGAAAATATTAGCAAATATAAATTTAAAAATAAAGAAAATTCAGTATAAAATATGAAAATATAATAAATAAAATGAGTAGAGAAGAAATAAAAATACGACAAGCAGAAATTACTTACTTTTCGCTAATTCATTTGTTTCATCCACAGAAAATCCTGTTCTTATCGAAATTATCAAAAGAATAAAGCTACACCAATCAAGCAACATTAGCAGATCGCGTTATAAAACCAGCTAATGCTGCTTTGACCCATTTTAATTAGTATGCGCGATCGAGATTAGATTAAGCTGCTCGCGGCTTGAAACAAATTTCATGTTTCACACGCTTCTCATCTATGGAAAGAAAAAGCAGATGGGATCATGGAAGAATAAGGACATTCTTATGAGTAAAATAACTCACTTTTCATCTATTATTTATCTCCTATACGAAAAAGATCGACAGCGCAGTAATCAAATAATTTCATAATTCCAAGGACAATATTTTTTCAAGGGCTTAATTTGTTTATTTTAAGCAATGAAAGTGTTATACTGATTAACACTGCTCATCAAGAGCTGTAATGATGCAATGGCCTCTGACTAAGCCCGAGTCCGGATTTCGTTTTGGATACAGAAGCTTCTGATTTGTTTCGGCGGATCTTCTTCGCTCGCTCTTCAGAAAGCTTGACTGCTCAAAAGGGTATTGATTTTTTAGACGAGGTATTTTGGCCACGACAATATGACACACGACCTTAACTAGGTTTAATAAGTTTAAGATTTTGAGCGGTCCCTTTCTTACAACAAAATTTACTACGGGTTTGTTAATAGAGGTTTTAAACGGGACGCTCTGCTCTGTTGCACTCTGTTTCAAATACAATCAGATGTCTGATGTGTTTGTGACCGAACTCAATTCCGAACTTTTCTAAAGATTCTGATCATGAAGGAACTCAAGAAATGACATTTATACATTAGGTCTTTCTTCCCATCGAAGCACTTTTGTCAAAACATGCTGAGCTGGGGAGAAATCTGACCCGCTAGAGCTAAGGAATTGGTTTCAGCAAAGTTGAATTAATATTCACGCTTAAATTTTTCGCCAAATGGTTATAACAAAATTATAGCCTCTAGGAGTCTACAGATTGACTTACAAGATTTTGTCTGCGAGATTGTGACGCGACCACTGTCGAGCCACTCTCGAAACTAATTCCAGAATTTTTAGGTCCACGTTTTCCAGGAAGCGATATCCTGATTTTATGGCGACCGTAGTAAAGGGTGGCTAGTGAGGCTGGTTTGGGGCTGCCACGCGGGTCGTATGGTACTCAGACTTGAGCAATCAAACTCCAATAAAATTATAGAACAACAATGGTGTAGATACTGTGAAAGTGAGTCGTCTGCCAGCGACTTGTCAATCCTCGTTGTGTATTGATCCTTCAGAGACTCTTTAGTGAGCGAGAGACTTGTTGTTACCGGCCCAGAGTACTTGTTGGATCTAATCCTACCTGCAGAAGACTTGTCCCCACAGCAGAATACTTGTGGAGAAAGTCCTCGACCTCACTCATTCACTGGTGTTTAAATCCTTCATACTTGTTGGATTGTAAATGCTGAGTCATTGTTAACTGAAGATAACCTAGTGATAAGGCGATGGAATAAGATTGTAATAACTTGTCCGCAGCTCCTCTGGGTACTCTTCTAACCACTAACATTTATAATATAAGGCAAAACGAATAAATAACCATGAATAAATAGTAAACAATAAATATGTAGTATTTACAAACATCTGCAGTATCTTCTTAGTTGCCATTGGCGACACGCACTATCACTATATACAATCAATGATTTTTTCGACGCTAGCTCGCTGGAACTGAGCAATGAGAAGAAAATTGCTCTTGTTTTTCTTTCATTTGTGGCCGCCCGCACCATTTAGCTATTCTTCCAGACGTCTACAAAAAATGTTAAACGGAAAAAGTTCACGAAAAGGAGAGATAATATGAGTTCTACGTCCTATTACCTGTTGAGAGCAGCCATCGGTAGCCTCACTTGGAGGACAGCCATCGGTTGTCTCTGTTGTCATCTTGATATTTTTGCTACTGGTGGTGGTAACCCAACTACTTTGAATGGTACGACTATTATAATATGCACCATAGCGAATTCACTTCAAGCAGTCTATGTTGGTTGACGCGAAATGCTGTTTGATTCATCCCTCTGTTCAAGCTTTGAATTTTCTCAAATAAGGTATGATATCAACAATATTATCTATTCCTAGACTAGAAAATTCGAGTATGCTCTGCACACATTGTTTAAATAAACTTGAATTTGTTCTGTCAAGGTTTCTAATAAACGTCCTTAGATGACATAGATTACAAGTAAAAACTTGTCAACCATACGACCGAGCTTGTCCAGACTTTGTGCGAAGCTTTGAAATCCTCTAGTCTCTAAGGTTAAAGGCAGTGTCCGGGCAAAAACTCGATTTTGAGATTTTGTGCTTATATGGGCCTATTCGCCATGCTGAATCCGAAAATGCACATTGGAAAGCGCGAAAACGGCGAAAAAGGGCTCTAACACAGGAGGGAAATCAGCAGGTGGGCGGGGCTTTCTCCAGTGCGATGTCACGCTCCCAGCTCCCGGAGCGATTTTCTCGATTCCGCTAGCCGTCCCAACATCGCTACCGGTCAAGTGCAAATGATTGACTTGAAACCGGAACCGAGAAGAACGCTCCGGGAGCCGGGAACGTGAATTCGCAGTGGGGAGGACCCCGCCGACCTGCTCATTTCCCTCTTGTGTTAGAGCCGTTTTCCGCCATTTTCGCGCTCTACAATGTGCATTTTCGGATTCAGCATAGCGAATAGGCCCAAGTAAGCACAAAATCTTAAAATCGAGTTCTTGCCCGGACACTGCCTTTAAGAAACTCGCAACATATTCGCCCGTCACGACACGTTCGTACGCGTTTGAACAGTCGCTGTTCGCGCCAACGCAGTACTAGCGCGATTTCGAACGCACAAATGACGCCGCGGTGTATTGAGGGTGGAACTTGAGTAGTTGAGGCTTATTATGTGGAACTAATTATACTAACACCTAGAAAAGTGTTATTAGACGAGAGAATGAAGCTTAATTATTATAATTAGTTCACATTGTACAGTTTCCACTTTGTTTAGATGTGGATGAAAATATGCATTTTTCATCTATGCAGCACCAGCTCACATCAGTCTAATTATTCATGTTTCCTGGATGTTTGTCTACCAATTAAGAAGAATGTCCCTGTAAAAGCTTTATTTTTGAGCTTGAAAACTTCTTGAATGATATCATATGATCAAAAGCTCGCTTTTCGGTTTATTTCAGTTTCTCTTACTTTTTAGTTTGTTGCGTTCTGGTTTTCTGGTTTGGACATACTGATTGCTCTCTCAGTCTTCTTTGATTTGGTAGCAACTCATCGCATGAAATTTTCTACAATTTTCCACTACCGTTAATACCAGTATACCGATGGTAGATGTTATGCTGCTATTAAGCTTGTGTGGAGATCTCTGCAAACTTTTCTCTCGAGTTAAGAATTGATTTCTCGAATTTTCGCTTATATCTTCGAGCTGGCTTCACTTGTTTTGCATTTATTTGACTATTTATACCGCGTGATATATATTTTGCAATACCAACTCGTTATTATTTCTACAGACAATTCATTTGCTTCAAATCAACTTGCTTCTAGCATCTGCTTGAACTAAATTTTCAATTCATCCCATTGCAGAGCTGTCACCGTGAAGGTGGTTTTCCACCTGCATCAGCAAAAATGGAAAAATTCTACACTCCAATGAGAACGCCTTCAGTCAGAACAAGACGAAAGGCAATATCTCCAGTTGCGCAGGAATCACGAGAACTGATAAGTTCTTCATCACCCTACAACGTAGATGATTTTCAAAATAAGCAAGTTAAATCTTGATCGAGCTTTGTATTACAGGTGGTAGAATTGGACATGGATGAGAAGAAATTGAAAGAACGCATTTTAGAGCAAGACACGACGATCAGAGAGTTGCAAAAGACAATCAAGGTAAAAACTGTCAATTATAATTGATTTTGTTATTCGCCTTATTTTCATGTGAATAAGCATGTTTTTTTCGCTTCTTATGAACTGCATTTTTTTACCTTTCTCTTTTCCGCCTAGATTCTATTTTTTTCTTTTTTTTGACCTTTATTTGAACTAAGCACGTTTTTTTCTCGCTTTTCTTCTTTTCTTTCGTTGTCAGATTCAGCCACTTAATTACTTTTCTATGAACTGTGTTTTCTTATCTGCTTGAGAGTTTGCTTTGCTCACTAGTCTGTTATTTTATGGTGTGCACTCTGGTTGTACGAGATCATGTTAAATTTCTTTTTTAGCAAATGGAAGAGGCTATGGGATCAAAATTAAATGAGAGTATACTAATCGAAACTAGCAATCGTATCAATGCTCACGAGTCACGCATTTATCAGTCAGTTTAACGCGTATGTCTTCTTCATTTCTGAACAGATTTGTTTCAGAACAGATATCTCGCTTTACGAACATGATCTCAGAGAAACTAAGGAACATTTGAAAAAGTTGAGGTTTGATTTATCCAATGAAGTGAGCAAACACGTGGCCGCTGTGAGTTCTTTTGCCACTATCCGGTTCAGTATGTGCTTGTTCTTCAATGATGGCCAATACTTCCTAGGAAGACGATCTGCGGAGACGTCTGATAGAAATTGCAGAACTTGAACATAAGTTGAAAGATGCAAATGATGCAAAAAATGCACTCCAAGAAAAGGTGATTAGTTTACAATAATGTTTCTCATAAATGACTGCTCAGTACTTCTTCTTTAAGCTGGTTAACAAGGATCATTCAATAACGCAACTTGGTTCGGAACTGACTTCTGCGAAATTCGAGATATCCACACTACAGACAAGGTTAGACAAGGTCAGGTTTCCTTTATCGCCTTCGGACATTTTTTTTGTTGCACTCTTTCACACTGAAAAATTTCAAGCTTTCTGAAAAAAAATTTCCACGACTCTACGACGGTGCCTCTCAACTCTGTTCTTCATGTTTTTCGTTCTTTGGTTATTGTCTTCGTTGTTCACAATTCCTTTCACTATAAAAGAAGGATATCGGATCGCATTGACAAATAGGGAAGATGCATATCCTAGAAGCGCCTATGGGCGCATATCTGTTTTCCATATCTATGAAATGTGTTTCTGAAGAGGTTTATTTAGTAAAATACTATAGCATGTTCTCCTGTAATCACTATACTCGATATCATCTTGTAATGCACTATCAGTCGGGGCTCCGACGAGTCAGTCTCAAACACTTATAACATCTTGCAGAGAATTGTTCGGCAGATATGGGAGGCCAAAATCAGCCTTTAAAGGCGCTTTCGACGGCACATCTTACCAATTTTCCAGCGCCACTTGTTGTCCTTCCCTTGTAAGGTCCTGGGCATACTTCATGTAACTTCAGTCATAACGCTAGCTGACAGTTTGCCAGATGCCTTTGAACCCAACACTGGCAGACTACAGTATAGCGTTTTACCTCTCTAGATTGGATATTTACCTTATACCTTTGGTGCATGCAGAATATGTTCGCGTTGAGTTAAAAATAACTAGAGCATTGCCAAATCGCTCGCAACTGAAATCGTGAGGCTTGCTAGGGCTCGCAAGCTACATCGCTATATTGAATAGATGGCACAGTAATCCGACGAAGTTGTTTCCAGTCTCGACAGGATGTGGAACAAGCTCGGATGCAAAATAAGGATCTTTCGTTAGAAGTAGCTACACTAAAAGTGGCCTTAGCAAAAAGCAAAGAGGAAATTCGTCGAAATTTGGAAGATGTGAAAGATCAGAAAGAAGATATGACGAAAAGAGAAATCGAGGTAGGTGTCAATTTACGCACTTATTGCCTTTGTTTGAGTGTTATCTACACACGCCGTCTTGCGGTTGAGAAACCAATTCTTCCACTTAGTTGAGACGAAGCTTGGAAACGAACTTTGTGAGTCACAACATATCAACATCGAACAATCTGGTTAACGCATTCCAATCACTTTCTTCTCAGTTGATGGCAATGCAAAAAACGCAGTTTACTTCTGAGGTACGGTTCTCTTCACTAAGATCTTTCATTCAGCAAAATCCAGGCAGCTATACATAAAGTTTTCAATTTACCGAAGCACGGAATTTACGTGAATCAAGTTATGTCACGAACCATATAAGTTTTGTTTGATCAATAATGGCAGTCAACCAAAATAATGGCGGTGACCTGCTCTGCCAGCCTCCGCTGGTGCCGTAGGTCATACACAGATTATATCTTTTGAGAGGGTCGAAAAGGTCAACTCATCCCGTTTCAAACTGATCTATATGTTTATGGCTTCGTAGTTATGTTTTTTCAGAATAGGTAATTTTTCCAATTTCAGCAGTTAGCTAACATTCAACATCAATTAGGAGAATTATCTGCTACTAACAAATTTCTACAAGAAAAAGTGATGGACTATCAAGAAAAGGAGAATAAGCTGTCACAGGTGAACTTTAATGTATTTGTTAATTTACTTTTTATTAATATTTATTTACTGTGTTTGTTGATTTACTTTTTATTAATGTTTATTTACAAGTACTTTGCTGGGGTTTTTTTTGCATTATCTCGACTGTTTGTACACAAAACTGTCTAATATCTCGTCTATAAGAGTAGTGAACGTTGTTTTTTCTGAAATTATTACAATTATGATGTGAAGTAAACCAGAAAGGCCCTAACAATACTCTCAAGAAAGCAACAGAAGGTTTTTGAACTGGTTGTTGCTCGAGTAGCCTTAGAATAGAAATGATAGTAGGGATTATGGCTCGATACTTTCACTTCGTTCTAGCAGCTGGCGGAAACACGAGATAGCGCCGAATCGGCAAAGGTTGAATTAGAGACACTGCACAAAAAACTGACCGAAGTTGAGGGCAGCTCATCTCTCACTTATCAGTACTTGTTGGAAGAGGCGAGCAAGGTCAGTTATACTTTAGATTTCTATGTTTGCTCAAGGTTTCAATTGTTCATTGCTTATTGTTTTTTTTTACCTATTTTGAAAGTTTCTTTACTCAGGTGAAGCAACAAAAAGCAGATTTACGCTGTGAGCTTTTGGAGCTTCGCCGCGATTACAACAGGCAAAAGGAAAAACTTGAAAAAGTATGTTGTAATGCACTTTTATCATTTCTTGTGCTATGTTCTATGTAACAGCTGGAAACTAAGACAGTGGACGAGACTGAGATGGAGAAGTTACGTAGTGATCTCGAGTCTTGCCGAAATAGAGAAGAAAAGCTTCTAAAAGAAGTAGAACGACTGAAAGAAGCATTAGATAAAGCTGAGAAAGAGCGAAGACGACTTGAAGTGGAAGTAAGTGTGAGAGAAATCATCTGTTCTTTTGATGGTGTTCGTGTTTCAGTTGAAATCTACGCGGGACGAAGCTGGAGAGGCACATGTTGAACGAAAAATCAACCAAGAGCTCCGTGAGGAGCTGAAGAAGACGGAAACAAAGTTGATAGAACTCTCTAACACCATGGAGGTCGTGGACTCGCAGTGCGAGCAGTTCAGGGTTCGTGCCTAGGAATGGCTCCAATTATATTTTGCTGGAATGCAAAAAAATTTAGGAGTTGAAGAAGCGCGCCGAAGCGGGAAGGCAGAAAGCTTTAAGTGAATGTGCAGATATGACCGTGAAAGTAAGTATGCATGCTTATCCATTTTGATCTGCATAAACACCATTTAGCTGCGTGAAATAGAGCGCCAACTGGAGAGTCAGCGCAGTCTGGAGGTTGAGGTTAAACAGCAAAAATCAGAGCGAGATCGTTTGGAGATGAAGATCCGTTACCTGAATGTAGGTAATTTTTGATCATTTTTGGACTTGTAGAACCCTTTTTAGGATGAGCTTCGCGAAACACATAATGACTACAGAGCTGAACTGGCTCAACTTGCAAAGCAAATTTCCGAAACTAAGTGCAGGGATGCAACGGACAATGAGCATTACACTATCAAGGTTCGTATACGCCTCTTGCAAATCTGATACAAGCTCTGCCTTTGTGACTTGCTTGATGAATAGTCTCCGCTTTCGTATCTCTTGTCTCTGAAGGTACTATGGTTCCGTTGTTTGTCAGAACAGCGCGAAAAGCGTTAAATTCGTTCGATTCTTCATAAGAGATAAGTTTATAAAAAAAACTTACAATGGAGCTCGTAAACTTTCTTCTTTGAGAACTGTTCCGATTCTTTATATTTTGGCTATATGACTTTTTTGTCAGATTGATGAGCTGAAAAACAAACTAGCGCAGGCAGAAAGCCTTCAGCGCAGCTTAAATCGACAGGTGGAAGAGCTGAAACAAGAGAACGGAAAGTTACAGGAACAGGTTAGTTTTTCGCAGTTATTGGGCATTGGAATCTGTTTGAACTTCTGATCTTCAGCTTACTGCTGGAGAAAGTCGAGAGCAAGAAACTGCAGAGGAGAATAAGAAACTCCGTGGGGGACTAACAGATGCATTGAGAAAAATAGACCAGTATAAGAAAGAGGCAGAGTCTGCGAAAGAAGCATGCCAAGAAATGACCAAACAACTGGAGCAAAACGAAGAAAGAATCGTAAGTTTATTTTTTTTCTTAATTAGTGTAAATGTGCCACAAATGTATTTCAGACAAAACTAGAAGATGAAATAATCAGCTTGGAGGAAAGACTGGAAGAAAAAGAGAAGCTTGAGGCGTACCTACAGTCGCAGATAAAAGCTAGAGACATGCCAAAGCTTAGCAGAAGAAGCACTCTGCTACGAACACCTACGGAAAGCTCGATTGTGAGTTGATATTTTGAAAAAATATTTGTCTTCGTGAGAATTATGCGTTCAGGAGATCATCGATCCGGTGGTAGTTGAAGAGCTTGAAAATGAAAGAACGAGTCTATTGAAGGAATTGGAGGAGAAGAAGAAAGGTAGTTGACAAAATTTGCAAAGGAGTTGCAGTTTTCAGCTATGTAACCCTATTTAGAACTAAATTCTCGCAAAATGATGCCACCTCCTGTTCCAAAGGGTCATCGTCTACAACCTTCAGCTCCCTACACCAACACAGTTTCTCGGAAACCTTTGGCGAAGGTGCAATCTAAATCGATTGCAGACATCCGTTGCACCTCTCTACAACAGAGTAGAACTGGTGCATTAGAAAAGTCAACGTCGCAAAGTGCCACGATGAGGCATGAAATCCCCCATAGGTGAGACAATAGCTCCTTCTCCAGATATACGGGAAGGAAGCGGCGCGAGGGGGGGGGGGAGGGAGAGTGGGGGGGGGGGGACAAGCTTTAGCATGGATTCGGAACTTTCTTTTTGAGGAACTTGAATTCTCGCTTTATTACCCCCAGGGTTCATTTTTTTCCTTCATATTTCATATTCATGTGAATCAATTCCGTAGATTCTAAGATCTCTTCTTGAAAAGGGACAGGCTAGGGTGTTCGCCTGTCTCCGTCATTGCATGAAATGTTTTGAAGCACTGTGTTGCAGGTGGACCGAGTTGCGGCATTTTGGATTGTTCACCATCAAATGTGCTGTTTGTTTCGTCGGAGTACCAACGGTACGTACGCTCACTGACTTCTTGTATATGGGGCTGCTTCGTATCTCCGTGCATGTATATATATATATTCCAAACAGAAAATATCACTTCTGAACAGGGCTCGGTACGATGTAGCTTACAAGCAAGCTGGATATCGTTTTTGGGACGAAAAGCAAAGGGGGTTTCGTTTTTGTGACCGAAGAGACACGGAAAATTGGCGACGGCGACCTTTTTTTAGTCGATGTTTCGTTTTTTGGGGGAATTTGGGGAATTTTTCAGGTTTTTAGAGGAAATTTGGTTGAGGGTCAAAGGGGACTTCGTAAGAATTCCCAAAAGTCAAGGGGGACTTCGTTTTTTCCATTTTCATCTAGCCACCTAGTGCCGAGCCCTGCTTCTGAACCGATCTTCCAGCCAAATATGAAATTGCTGAGATTTTAAAGGAGTACAATATTAACCAATTTTCCCAAGTTCGACTGCAAAAGAGTACTGCGAGGCTAGAAGATCGGTCCAGAAGGTGGATGCTGCTAGGGTCTTCACGCCCATCAACGTGTGTGGTTTGAGCTAATGAGCCCAAAACTGGGCTCCAGAGCATCTGTAATGTAGGAAATGTGTTTTACATCAATGCGGCTATTCGACATTTGGTACCATGGATTCTAGTTTCGTGCTCAATTTTCAAGCCACCCAAGCTGGTAAGCGTGGCAACCCCTGCAGCGTCCATTTCTGCAGCGATTTTTTCGCTTTGGAGTAGAATTTTTGCAGCGGGACTTGAGCATTTAGTCACTTGAGGATTTCTTTACTTTACTAAATAAAATTACCAATTTCGGATTTGGGTGGACGGTGTCTTGGGGTAGAAACGGTCAGCAAATACCTCATCACCGTTTAGTTCGGCAAGAAGAAACGCTGCACACATTGTGGTATTATCGTACATTCACAATGTGCTACACGTGTAGCAAATACATGTGGTTTACCCGATCAGTGTGCCAATTACTACTTGGATTCGTACAGTGCGCCAGTGGGAAAAATGAATGGCTGGGTGAGACTGTTTAGGTAAGTCGTAAGCCTAAAATTAATCTCCATCCTTCACCCGTGATATTCAGCGATGATTCAAACACACGTGAATGGCAGTCCGCCTGGGGTGAGATGGACGAACGAAATCTAGCCTTCTATGACCACCATGCTGTGCAATCAGATTTGAAGAAACCATTCCTTTCTGTAAGCTGTGAGAGCATTCATGCATCGCCTTGCTTAAAACATCAACTTAGGTTGATCTCGAAAAGGAACTACGGATAGTCCGAGTGGGTAGTGAGGTGCCTGTGAAAACGGACAGCGGCGGCCAGGTCTCGCATAATATCGTCCATCTAAAGACCGAAACGTGAGCACTCAAGAGAAATCCATATTAGTAAGAACTCCCATGCTTTTCAGGCGAAATATTTATATCTTGGCTCCATCCACGCAAACAGCGAAACGGTGGGCGGAGGCCCTGCAGAATGCCTCTGCAAGAAGGATGTTGCTTACGAGGAGGCCAAGTTCGTTTTCAGAACAATCATGTGTGCTTGTTCTGTCAGCACCAAATAATCTCACTATCCACACCACTTGCGTAGGTCTCAAAAATATTTTATTTTAAATTTTTCTATTTTTTGAGAGTTTAGGTAATTGATGATTACCTTCTTATTGGGGCTCAGAGCGGGTTGTTCTTCACGCATATGAGCAGTCCAAGGGTTCCGGTAAGAATCAGTGGATTCAATTCTGTAGCAGCGGTAAGTTGGCAGCTCTAAGGAATAACTATAAATAATTATTGCTACATTTTTCAATGCAGATGGAATGGCTTTCTGACCTCAGTATCCTTGCGATGATAACGGAACACCGACGCTCCCTTGCGCTAGTTCCATTATCGAGCTTGAAAGCTGAGCTGCTTTCTGTTCAACCCAGCTTACGCGCTGATGTGCTCAACGGATACGATAACTTGCATGCACTAGCCTATTATCATCACGAAGATAATCGGTAAAATGAGGTGACTGAGCGAATGAAACTGAAACCTCAATTTTAGGTACCTTTGTGCAGCTAGTTCCACGAAGATTCATGTGCTCAAATACAATGCAGCTCGCGACGTTTTTACTGGACATCAGGCAAGAGCCCCATTTCGCTGCACCTAAAGAAATAATTTCTCGATTTTAGGTGATCGAAACAAGCGAACCGGCTATGTGCCTTACAACGGACAGCCGTGGTCTTTATTTTGGTTCTGATAGCTTTTACTTTGTGCATCTTGGTAAAGGAAATCTTGAACCATTGCGACTGGCTGATTCCAGTATATCTGACTACCCCATTGCATTGCTCATCCTGCGAGACGACGAGGTTCTTTTGGCTTACCAAAGTGAGTCAATAAACCTTCATTATATTCAAATTTCGTTCCCTTTTTGATTGCAACAAGTGAGGCGATTCTGGAAATTTTTTTGGAAAGGATGGCGGCAGAAATTAGTTGCATGACAATTTTAGTCATTCCTTCTCCAACCCCTCTCTTTCCCAAAAGTTTTTGGCATGCCCTCAGATTTTTTGCAAGGTTTCAACCTCAGAACTCTGCAAAAAAGGTGCACGCTTCTGAAAACTCAAACTTCAAGTGTATTCATTTTTCATAGAATTCGCAAGCTTCTTCCACTCAACTGCATCGAATTTTGCATATTCTGAGAACCTATTTAAACCATCTTCACATTTCGGATGGGCCAGGGGATATGCCCATCTTTCCTCGGTCCGCCATTGTTCGTAGGTAGATCCATAAGGGCATTCTCTGGTAATTAACATTTGACTGAGTTGCTTGCGTTCTGCAAAATCATAATTTCACCGCATTCGTTGTTGCTATCTAGAAATCGCAGCAATTTAGTATAATTTCACCGTATGGAAGAATGGCGGATGTTAAACATGATTTTTTTTACTCAGATTACGGCATATTCGTGAATGCCCGCGGTGAACGGACCCGCAATCAGACGGTAGAATGGGAGCAAATGCCAATGGAGTTTGGTGAGAATCAAATCAATCAGAATTCTACACCAAAGTATATTCATACTCGTTTTTTTTTAGTTTACACTGCTCCGTATCTATACGTAATACATTATGACTCCATAGAGATCATGCAAGTTGCTGACTACAAAGGACCGGACTCTGAGTAATTTCTTCTTTAAATTTGGGCGTTGTGGGTTTATCGAAAATAAAACATTTCAGTACCGTACTCGACGAAAGAGAGGTGTATGAGTGCCAAAATGCGCACGTGGTGTGTTGTCGGCCAAATGGGGATGTGTTTATCTCGATTTCGAATACCGACAGTGTAGAGGTGCATCGATTTAATGCGACGAACAGCAAGAGAAGCTCGCTGAAGCGAAAAGGACTTTCAGCCATTACATATGATAAGCGTTCCAAAGTTACTTTATAATTTTTCTCATCTTCATTGTTTGTTCTATATGAGTTGTTATTCTCCTCAGTGTGATCTTGCAGCTAGATTGTTCAATCAAATAATTGGTCATTTCCGCTACATCGGTTGTTTTACTCTCGTTATAGAAAGTGCAGCCATTCTGGTTTCATAAATCATTTAGATATCCCTCGTAACCTGTCATGAGCAGTCTAATCTAATCTTTGTTGTATCGCCTTTATATTTTAATTGTAAATAGCCATTTGTAAGCTAAGTTATAGGTTGTGAATAAACAGTAAATTGTCCTTGAACGTGAGCGTTTTGACTACAGGAAGTGAATTAAGCGTCAAATATTTTAAAACAGTAGAAGTGCTTCTGTGCCAAGACCATCACTTCCGGTGCGGAACCCCAAGTAGCGGTTTCACAGGGCCTCTGAGAAGACGAAAGGCGTCGAAACGTTAGGCCGTGATTGAAAATAAAGGAACACCTAACAAACCTGTTTGGCACAGAAGCACTTCTACTATACGAATTATGCCCAGGTTTAAAGAAAGCGAAACTTTCAAATTATTTTAAAACAAATCGGAAGCGAACTTGGAACGTTAAATCGGAAGATAAAGAATAAGTTTTTTCTTGTATTATCGTGATAAGCTGCAGGTAGCTCAGCATTGACAGCTTACCTAAGTTTGGAAAGAGTTTTGCTGAATTCGAAAAATTCAGAACGCATCCAACCTGCCTTTGTCTGTAATACCGCGAATTGCACACACTGCAGCATTTGGCCGTGTGTTGTCGCAATATTCCTCCCATTCGAGAAGCGGTGATGTATTGCACATTTCTGCTTGCATTTCTTCCATTAAACAGAATTAAATCTTGCGCTTTAGTGTCAAAGTCAATACATAGGGACATCTGACATGGAATGCGAATTTTAGGACTGATTAGCCCACTGTCAATTGTTCAGATTCCTTCAGTAGAGCACCTTTAGCCATTATAGTGACTTTAAGCTGTCCATCGAGTAATGCGTTATTTTCTCACATCTTTCTTTGGTAGGAAAGGATGTTGTGTTTGTGTTTTTTTAGAATAAATTCCAGTCAATATACTTTTATAATCGCTTGAATCCATTTTCGTGGCTCACGTGTCCGTTTAATTACCTCTAAATCCGGTTTTAAGGAGCATGCCGCCTAAAAAGGGTGCGAAGAAGCATAAGGAGGATAACTGGTGAGTTCCAAATAGTATGCATCTATTACATCATGCTTTCATTGGAAACTTTCTACGTCCAATCGCAGGGATGACGAGGCGGCTGAGCGAAAATTGGCGACACTTATGAAAAAGAAAGATGATGAGGTGGACTGGGATGCTGAAAGTGACGATGAACCAATACAGCCTGTTATACCGGCAGCTGGTAAAAAAGCTGCGTTTGCGATGCTGGTGGGTAGCACAAATAAACTTTTTATATATTGCATTTGGTGTAATGCAAGTCCATTCATACTCTGTCGCTCTAGATGGACGATGATGACGAAGATGACGATGATGCGCGGAGTAAGTCCGAATCTGATCAAGAAGAGTCGCGAGAGGTTGGTTCAAAACCTATGCTATTAGCAGAGAGTTGTTTTTTCTTCATTGGGGCTGACATCAATTTCCTTATTTTGATCACGCTCTTCACAGTCGTAAACAGGGTTGAGCGTGGGGTCAGGCGCGCCCGACCTGGGGGGTCGTACTGGGGTAAGACAGAGGGGGGGGGTCGTGATTAGGAATCAAATTCATTCGATTGAGGAGATACTACGATTAAGGTGAAGAAGAAAAGCGCTAGTTTAGTGGATATCGCGACCTCACCAGTACTGAAGGAATGAACGGTTTAAACAGCATACCGATTGATTTCACAATCGAAGTTTCGGCCAATACTCAAATCTTCATCTTCTACCTTGACATATTATAAATTCATCAAGGAAGCTTGCCGTGTGAATTGGGTATCATTTCCGAGCACGTCGAATTACCTCTATGAGCCCTACAAACCATTATTTACTGCATTATCTAGTGTTTCTCAACGATTAAAAAGCGTGATTTTCAAACATGATTAACTTGTTTTCAAAAGTGAGAAAAGTCAATTTTTTTGTACTCGTAACAAAGTATTGTTCCCCACTAGTCTAGGCTAAAAATCGCGCTTTGTATCGCTTGCAAATAGTGGAGTAAGAAATAATGCCAAAAGTCCGACCGGCGCGTTTTTCGCCATGACTGCTTTAACTCCACGGATTACTACAAGGCCGAAACAAGTCGAATCAAGTCCGAACACTTACTGTGGAATCTTCGAGGGTTGCGCTAGCGATTCACATAAAACTTGAACAAAAAAGCTTCTTCAATGATAGAGTTAATCGGGTCAGGCGCAACCCCACAAAAGGTCAGGCCGCCTGAGCTTTTGAGGGGTTGCGCCTGACCCGATTAACTTGCTTTCAAAATCTAAAAATCGCTCCATTTCTGCTATGAGTGTTGAACTCAAAGCCTCTTCTTGCAATACTGCAAATTTGGAGCCAAACAATACACCCCTGTGGGAATTATAGCTCTAAAAGTAGGGCTATCCAAAATCCAAAACTTGCCGTCAAGTTGCGTGTGCTGTGCAATCGCAGAAAGTCGACCTACAGACCTCCAAAAAACAAGAACTCCCAAAAACGGCTGATCTCTTCGAATTATCACAGCCTGAGGTCCTGGAGGTGAAGCAAAGGGGTCGTTTAGGGGCTTTCACTGGAGGGGGGGGGGGGTCGTTTTGGAAAGACTTGTGCCTGACCTCTTGCTCAACCCTGGTCGTAAACGAACTCCCGATCGGATGGTGTATGGTTCATTCTTGAAATCGTGACGACGAGTTGACTGCGGTCTTTGCACAAACATGAGTATAAAACACCGTGCAAACAGACATCACCTTAGAGCTCAGCACCCTGACTTCCGGTGTCTTAGTACTATCACATGTAAGTAGAAAATCACTCGAATGGAATAGAAACCAAGAAATGGAAATGCTGCGTTTCGTGCGCGGTCGCGCCATCGTCGCGATTTTTCGAATGCCCTATACGCATGTTATGATGAGCCCGACCGAGATATTGAGACTGATAAATACCGCCTGATTTGGTATTGCAGTGTACTGACATGTTGCGGTTCTCTTAGAACCCACTTGCGCAATTTCTGCTTCCTCTATTATCGATTGATGAAGGCTTTTAGGAACCGCCTAAACAAGAGAAGAAGATAGAAAAGAAGCCCGAAGTGATTGCAGCACCTAAGCAAGAGGGCAAGAAGAAGGGGAAGAAAGGGAAGAAGGTGGGTTTTGAAAATTAATTACCTCTATGTTTTTTTAATGGTTGTTTGTAAGCTTCTTATCATCCCTTGTTGCTTTTTCAACATTACAGCCAGGCCCTTTTCTCATTCTTTATCATTTTCAATCGAAGTTTTTTGCTTGAGAATTTACGATATACTGGCTGTCAGATAAATTTTAGAGGAATTTCTCAATTATGAAGGTAGCATTGCTTTTGGTCGTTGACGTCATGCAGGGTTAACTGGTGATCAGAGGTCGAAACTATGGACTTTTATTACGAATCCATTTTACGCACGCTAACTGCAACTACTACTTCTTTCTCTTCGATTCATTATGTCTAATAGCCGTACGCTCCGCAATAAAATGCTAGTAAATCAATACTCTGAACAAAACCGTCATAATAATCACCACAGTGAAAAGCACTTGACATGGGAATAGGTTTCTGAAAACTATTGATTGAGGCAGAAGACTTGCTACCCTCTCTTGCATGCGAATCCTTTAGATTATGTTGCGTAATGTAAAGTTTGATTCATTCGTTGCACCTCTTTGCCTGTAGTGTCCTACTGTACTCGTGCATGCGGGTGCCGAACCATAATTGGTAACTTGGGAGTCAAAAAGTACTTGAATTTTACCAGTTTTCATATCAGAATCCCTTTGATTTGTATGATTTACTAATGTTCATTCTGCGGTGACTAGATAGGAAAAGTTCTAGGGGAAGCAGGAAGAGGATGACGATCTGGATGCGATCTTGGCTGATCTCGAATTGAATGATAAAAGCGCGGGTAAAGGAAAGAAAAAGGGAGCCAAGAAAATTGAAGCTGAACTGCACGTGACTGACGAAAGCAAAGAAGGAACTCCTGCTTCAAAAGAGGCTTCAGTCGAGCCTCCAGCAGCGCCACTTGCGGCGGCACCGGGTAAATTTCTAGTTTTTCATTTCCGCTATACCTATCGTATCTTGTACCCGACGTAATTATAGCGCTTGCAGAAGCAGCGGCTGAAGTTGCTGCGGATGATAGTAAGAAGAAAAAGAAGAAGAAGAAGGATAAGAAGAAGGATGAGGCGGAGAACGAAGTGCCGAAGAAGGATGACATGGAGGATAAAATGCCTTCTGAAGAAAAGGATGAAAAAGTTCAAAAAGCAGCAGAAGTGCGTTTCAACTACTCGCTTTGCCTTTTTTTATAGTAAAAGATCTTTGTATTTTGGGAGTCTAAAGAGCAAGCTGGTGGTGATGCTGATGAGGCTGCTGGAGAGGGCGAGGGTGGCGACGATGAAGCTGCCAAAGATAAAAAGAAGAAGAAGAAAGACAAGAAAAAAGAGAAGAAGAAGGACAAGGACGAAAAAGATGACGGCAAAGGAAAGAAAAAGAAGCATGTAAGTTCCAAAAAGTTTGGTCTACTTACTTTTACATCTAAAGTGCGCTGGATTTGCAGGTTGACATGATCAAAGAACTTTTACGAGCAAAACAAGAAGCAGAAGAAGCTGAGCTCAGAAGGCAAAAAGAAGAGGAGGAGAGGTTGGAAGCTATAGCCAAAGCTAAGGAAGAAGAAGTGAGTCTGCATATCAGCTGAACATCTTTGATTGGGGTCTTATTAGGAGCGATTGGCAAAAGAGAAGCGCGAAGCTAGAAGAGCTAAGGAGAAAGCGGCCATCGAGCGGAAGAAAGCTGAGGGTACATATCTCACAGCAGCACAAAGGGAAAAGCAGCGCATAGCTGCTGCGAAATTAGCTGCGGCGGGATGTGAGTGCTTTTTATTTACTACTTTCATCTACTTTTTTTGAGTTGCATCTATTCAGTATCTAAACCTGTACCCGCGGTCAGTGAGCAGGTTCTGTATGCCAATCTTGACCGGCGCGCTAAGAAAAAGTTGCAAGAACAACGCATGAAGGAACAGCAGTTGAGAGAACAAAAAGAAAAAGAAGAAGCTGCAGCGAGACTTATTGAAGGTTTTTCTTGGCTTTTTCACAATTTTGCCATCGTTCTCCTTTATACTTCTTTCTTCAGAAACCAAAACACCACCACCTTCAAAAGAAGAAACTCCGGAACCCCAACCTGAGACACCCGCAGAGGTAAATAAATTTTGCTATCATGTTGTTTTCTTTTTCCTTATCCATCCTCTGAGTTATTGATTTTTAAGGACGAACCTCTTGATGACTGGGAGATGGCAGAAGATCAACCTATCGAACCTGTGGTTCCTGCACCGCAAAAGAAACCGACTGAGGTTAAGCCACCTTCGGGCAATGTGCTTGCTGATGATAAACTCATTACGGTAGTACAAGAGTGTTCATCTGATTTGGCACTGCATGCTCAGTGTTTTCCAGACGAAATCTGAAGTTTCTGAAGAGGAGGAAGAGGAGTCATCAGAGGAGACCGAGTCAGAAGAAGAAAGTGAGAGCGAGGAAGAGTCGTCAAGTGATGACGAATCGCCGAAGTCGAAGATGACCAAGGAAGAAATGATGGACATTGTCCGACAGAGATTCGCTGTATGTTTCTTCTCACAACTTCCACTATGGTTTTTTCACGAACATAGATATTGTGTGTTGAGGTGTTGAAAAAGGTCTTTTTTCATCACTGCCTTACGTTCCATTCGTACGTGGAACAGCCCAGGGCGGTAACGAAGTCTGGCCTACCATTACAATCTGCACACCATTAATGAGAGCTTTTAGCGCTGATTCCAGTCGACATTTTTCTGTAGAGCACTTCTGGGGAGGGAGTTATGAGCATTTCTTGTGGCGAACTGAATTAGCGGCCGGGACAGAATCAATCGCTACCGCCTCTAGCATTTAAATGAAGCATTGGCAAGTATCAGGGTACTTTTTACAAAGAACTCCTTCTGCCCAGTTTATCGGTACTTCATGATTCTTCTGACTTTTGGGCTGTAGCGCTTGATTTTATCTTGTTCATTAATCATCTTCTTGCCTCAAAAGATGTTCGTAACTTCTTTCACATATATGCTTTGCAAATAAGAAAAGCAAACTTTGAATGAGTTTTCCAAGCTTTCGCTAACGGTATGCCGATTGTAGTGATTGGCCACTTCGACTTCGTGACCCCCCCCCTCTTAAAAGTGAAGGATACTTGGTTGCAAGCCTTTCGTTGATGTACTAATGTTGATTCCAAAATCTGCTCTCAATATCAGGTGTGCGCTTTCCCTTCATGAGTTTCTAGAGAGCTGCGCAATAGATATCAAACATAGATTCAATGTTACTGTATGCAAAATCACCAAGGCCACTTTACTAAGCATCCTTTTCTTTTTTGGTCCAGTTCTTCTTCATCCCACTTTTACCTTTTCCTTCCTTTCCATGGGCAAGACTGTGTTCAGAAAAGACGTGAATCAGCAGAAGCCAAAAGATCTACAGATGTTCTCCGAGCTCCAGTCATTTGCGTCCTTGGACACGTAGACACGGGTAAAACAAAGATGCTGGACACGGTGAGCTTGAATAATAGTTTCTCTTTTTTCTGTTCAACAAAGTGTCCAAATTTTGTGTAGATCCGTCGAACAAATGTGCAGGATGGAGAGGCTGGCGGTATCACGCAGCAAATTGGTGCTACTCAAGTTGGTGAAAGTCAAAGAACATAAATGAGCAGCATATTTTTACGTTCAGGTTCCTGCCGAGGCAATCAAAGAACGTTGTAAACAGGTGCGGGATTTCGCACCGGATTCGGTCAAAATTCCCGGCTTTCTGATAATCGACACTCCCGGTCACGAAAGCTTTGCGTAGGTTATCTTCGCTTACATGGTTGAGATGTTGGTATAGTCTATTAATTTATTTTCCTTCATGTAAGTATTCCAGAAACCTTCGTTCGCGCGGCTCGTCGCTCTGTGATTTTGCAATTCTAGTCGTAGACATTATGCACGGTCTCGAACCGCAAACTATAGAATCTTTGAAGCTACTGCTCAAGAGAAGGACTCCATTTGTGGTTGCTCTCAATAAGGTGAGCGACTTTTTCCATTTCTTGTGATTTGACTTCCAATTTAATGCAAGTGAAGATTGATCGTCTCTATGGTTACGAATCGAATCCACGTAAAGATGTCTATCAGCATCTCAAGTCTCAACCGCAGAACACACAGCTTGAGTTCAAAGAGCGTTATGAGAAGATAGTTGGAGAGTTTGCTGAACAGGTGGGTTGCCAGTGCTCAGGCCCTGCCAGACTTCGCTCAAAAGCGCCGAATTTCTCTAACGTCTCTTTGCTTTCTCCTATGAGGAGATATAAGAGAAACTGAAGAAAGGTTAGAGAAGTTTAGGCGCTTTTGAGCGCTCTTAGGCGCTTTTGCGGTTGGCCGGGGCCTTTAGTTGAATTGGAATCTAATTCAAATCATGCGACAACTGTTTCATGTTAGGCTGTGAATGTGTGCCTATCAACCCAAAATAAGAATGTAGAAGAATATATTAGCATGGTTCCAACGTCTGCCTTTCTGGGAGATGGAATAGGTGAGAGAAAGATCCAGACATTAAATCTTATATCTACTTATCATTCCAGGAAATCTTATGGCTTATATTGTCTCAACTACTCAGCAGTATCATGCTGAAAAGCTCGCGTTCTGCGATGAACTGGATGCGACTGTTATGGAAGTGAAGGCTATTCCTGGTCTTGGCACCACAATCGACGTGATCCTAGTGAATGGTCGACTGAAAGTCGGAGACATTATCGTGCTTACCGGCACAGATGGTGCTATCATGACACCGATAAGGGAGCTTCTGATGCCACAGCCATTGAAGGAGCTTCGCGTAAAGGTCAGTTTAGTTCCAGCTATTCTACTGTTTTTGTCTTCCCCCCCCCCCTGAGCAGCGATTCGGAGTCAAATAAAGGATACGGCTGCGAAAGCGGCGCAAGGTCTAAGCGATGCGGTCGCGACAACGCGATCACTAGAGCTGTAACACTCTCACTGAGACAGCCTACATATAAGTAGCCGGAGGAGGGGGGGGGGGGAGGTGAGAGTTGAGGGGGTACTAGGACGTTATCGTGTCTCTGGTCAGCACTTTGCATCGCTATAAGCAGCCATTTTTTGCGTACTGCACAGTCTCCTAGGACTCCCCAAAGGACACTATTGCGGGTACTAGAGACTCTTGGGCGGTTTTGCCCGTAACGAGAATGCAAGTACAAAGGACGGTGGTTCAAGATTCTTTAATAAAACTTAACAAGAGTACAGCGAGTACGAGAGCAGGATGACGATACGTTTCTATACCACGATAAATATGCAAGTGAGAAGAGGGGAGTAAGGTTCGGCCACGCCTATCTCGGCGTGACCTAAGGTCGCGGCGGGGCATCATCATCGGCACGATGATACTCCCGCCGTGAGGGAGACAGCCAAACCACAGCATATGAAATACAAAAACAACAATTTAATATCACGTGTCGCGTCCTTGATCTTGCTGGAGCAGGGATGAGCTGGGCATTGAGCGGACAGTGGACACGGTGATGGAGTCGGCTAGAGACGGGCTGTTGATGGCTGGGGGACGGCTGGAGCTGGGCTGTTGCTGGACCGACAACGCTGGTGGTGTTGAACTTCTCGGGCTGAGGCGGGCTGGAGACGTTGTGGCGTTGGACTTCTTGGGCTGAGGCGGGCTGGAGGCAGGTGATGTTGGACTTCTCGGGCTGAGGCGGGCTGGAGACGTTGTGGCGTTGGATTTCTTGGGCTGAGGCGGGCTGGAGGCAGGTGACGTTGGACTTCTCGGGTGAGGCGGGCTGGAGACGTTGTGGCGTTGGACTTCTTGGGCTGAGGCGGGCTGGAGGCAGGTGGCGTTGGACTTCTCGGGCTTGAGGTTGTCCTTGAGCGGAGTTCAGTGCCGCCGACGTTTCGGTGCGTTATGTGGGGCTCGCCTGCTGGAGCAGAGGAGGAAATTGTGGCCAAGGCCACAATTTCCACACTTTACCCCGCAATCATCTTCATGCGCTGCTTTCAGGCAACGCAGGCAGAGCCCCATCGTCGCGGCTTGTGCGGCTTTCTCGACGGGATCCCTGAAACGAACGCACCTACCGGAAAAATGGTTGTCTCGGTTCTCCTCCACACTGCAAAATACGCAGTTGGATCTGGGTGAGGTGCGTTCCAGGATCCGTTTGTTCTGCTCCACAATCTGGGCGTTCGGAGGATTCTGCCGTTCCGCTCGACAATGGTTCTGCACAGCATCTCCAACGCGGCCAGCTTGGGCGCCAGGTGGGTGTCGTCGTAGCGGTCCAAGTCCTCCAAAGCTTCTTGCAGCTCCGCTGTGAGTGACATCGTTGGATGGTCGCCCAAGCTATTGCGGGTATTAGAGACTCTTGGGCGGTTTTGCCCGTAACGAGAATGCAAGTACAAAAGACGGTGGTTCAGGATTTATTAATAAGACTTAACAAGAGTACAGCGAATGCGAGAGCAGGATGACGATACGTTTCTGTTCCACGATAAATATGCAAGTGAGAAGAGGGGAGTAAGGTTCGGCCACGCCTATCTCGGCGTGACCTAAGGTCGCGGCGGGGCATCATCATCGGCACGATGATAGACACCTTTTTTTTTGAAGTTCATGATCCTCCTCAGTGAAAATATCGTAAAGATGTGTGGGGGATTTCTGGAAGTGGTTCACGATTTTTTGCAGGAATAAATGAGATTTCACTAGATTTGCCCTGCAGTTACATTTTTTGGCTGACCCAGTCACCTTTTCAGAATGAATATGGGCATTACAAAGAGATACAAGGAGCTCAAGGAGTAAAAGTTTTGGCAAAAGGACTCGAGAAAGCTTTAGCTGGCCTTCCGCTGTTTGTTGCTAATAAAGAAGACGAGATTGATTTCTTGAAGTGAGATCTTGGCTTGTCGTAAAAATCTTTGATAATTAAAAATTTTAGACAAGAAGCTGAAGTGCAGCTGAGCAGAGCGCTCATGTCGATCAAGAAGAAGGCTGAGGGCGTCTATGTTCAAGCTAGTACGTTAGGATCTTTAGAAGCTTTACTGGAGTTTTTGAAGACACAAAAAATCCCGGTCAGTATAGTTTGAAATGGTCTCCTATTTTTCTAGCTTTGATTGGATTTTCCTTTTTTAGTATTCAAATGTTAATATCGGCCCAGTCCATAAAAAAGATGTCCAGAAAGCAGCAGCTATGTTAGAGCATAAGCCAGAGTAAGTTCGTCTTTCTCTTCTTTGATAAAAGATAACGAGCAAACGATGCTGACAAACTCAAAAGTACCATATATGGAATTATGAAAATGTGGAAATGGCTCTCACCAAGTAGTCAGATTATTACTATTTTGAGGAAATTTGTAAGCTCTGGGAAAGAAATTGTCGGCTAGTTTTGTGGTTGATACTTGATGTATGTTTTTAATCATTTTTTGTTTTCTTTTACATTCAAATTGTAGATATGCATGTATTCTGGCGTTTGACGTCAGAGTGGAGCGAGACGCGCAACTTTTTGCAGATCAGGAAAAGGTTAAAATATTCCAAGCCGACATTATTTATCACTTGGAAGATAATTTTCTCAAATACAGGTAACCTTTCTAGTTCCGATCATTTTCTCATTTACTGATTCTAAATAAATTAGGGAGGAACTACGGTTGAAAGCGCGAAGAGAGAATGAACACCTGGCTATCTTCCCATGTAAGCTTCGTATTCTTCCTCAGCATGTGTTCAATGCCAGGAATCCAATCGTTTGTGGAGTTGTTGTTGAAGCAGGACAGCTGAAACGCGGCACTCCTATTTGCGTACCTAGCAAGGATGTGAGCAAAATACTTGTGCAAACGCAGTTTTTGGTTATATTAATTTTGTTAAATATAGGGAATATTTTTGGGAGCGATAGCATCGATCGAGAGGAATCATGAGGAGGTACTGATTGCTAAAGCCGGTGATGAGGTGAGTCCGAAGTAGTCGAGGTTGCCTTATGGAAGCTCTTTAGTTTACTTATATTTCTTCTTTTTCAACGATTTTGTTTTTCTTTATGAGACATTGTGTATGGGACCGGCCATACTATTCCAGGAGGTGATTCCTGCGACTTCTGTAAATCCTGCATTTCCTGTGATTCATCGACTTTCGATTTGCTGCATTACTGAGCGCTTTGCGAATTTCAGTATACATTGTTTTTCGCAATATACGTTGTTACGGGGCTCACAGGAATCACAGGAATCGCAGGAATTGCAGGAGTCACAGGATTAGTATGGCCGGTCCCTATAGGTTGCAATGTGAGTCTCGCAGCTCTAGCGACTCGGACGCTCGCGGCCGCCTCAGCTGAGCTTTGCGCCGCGTCCGCGCACCTATCCTTTGGCACTTTATCACGCTTCAGCAACCCTCATTCCCTCCGGCATTTCTTCACGCTTCAACGCCCCCCCCCCCCCCATTTTCTAACTAGTTGCGGGAAATACCTAGACGAAAACGCGAATACGACGCAAGGCCGAAGGCTCTAGCCACACTATGACACTCTTATAGAGACAGCCCATACTTGCACAAACTGGAAGTCTTGTGTGAAAAGGTTATGTTTTATGATTGTTTAAGGTATGTATCAAAATAGAAAATACAACTGGCGAAGCTCCTAAATTGTATGGGCGACATTTCAATCACGAAGACACACTAGTCAGTAGGGTAAGTTTTAGAAATTGACTGTTTGATTTTCAAAGTCTATTGTGTCAAATTAGTCAATCAAACAAGGTTTAGATCTCCCGAGATTCGATAGACGCTTGTAAAACATATTTCCGTGACGATTTGAGTCGGGCCGATTGGCAACTGGTGGTTGAGTTGAAGCGACTTTTAGATATACATTAATTTCCCTCCATTGCCAATGTTGTCATTGATTGTGAACTAAATTTATTATTCCCTTAATTTCCTGGTGTACTCATGGTTTTTTATGAATGCTTACGTTAGGTGTGCATATAGGACCATGTTTTGTCTTGTCAGCTTACTTTCCGACTAATGTGTGTGTTTCTTTCTGCCCTAATCGAAATGGGCTTGTTGCTTAAGTTGTTTTATCCATATCTTCCAAATGCATCTTCGGTGGGTGCCTCCAGTTGAACTATGCTTATCACTTCTAGTTTTAGTCAGTTTTTGGCGGAGAACAATGATACAACTTTTCCCAATATACATTCGTCAATGCAGCCGTTGTCCGCGTATTCTGTTTTATAGCGGACTCCTGATAACGAGTAAAGTATTACGGATGTATTTTCAGTTCGTTGAATATTAAAAGCTCATCCAATAATGAAGGTGTAGGGCGCAGAAGGCTCTACGAAAGCACATGGTAAATTCGTTTTTGGACTCACCCGATTATGGTCCGAAATAGCAGGAACCGAGTCAAGCTATATATCATTTTGGGGGAGAAAGCAAAGGGGGAGGGGAGGGGTAGCGTTTTGCGGAGTCCTATAGAAAATCGTGGAGAACTACTTCAGAAACGAGCTGTACCATAGAAACCATGTCATGACATGTCCATGACCTGCTTTGAGCAAGGCAAAATATGTAGCTTCATAAGCTGAATGCCCTAGCATGATCTCGCACGGCGCGGGAATTGAAAATTGTGCCCAGATACGTGCCTTGTTCACAACCAAAACGCAGTGATATGACACCAAGTTGACTGCGTACATGCGGTGAGGGGAACCCGAGCTATGTCTGAAAAGTATATGAAAACTTATTCGTTGAAAGCGTGCCCAACTTTCTCCCGACTGGAACCGTTACTGTGGAGTACCAAGTGAGCTGAACCCAAGACCATACACTTTATAATTCTTCTCATATACGGTATTTACATGAAAGTTTTCGTATTAGCCGAAACAGATTCATACACCTTCCTCTACGCTTTTTAGCCCTCAAAAATCTTCACTGTTGGCGCAATCCTGCTCCGATCGCAAAGCGCGCTCCTACGAATCAACGCGCGGAATTTTCATTTTCGTTGGACTTACCAATGCTTACTTTATCTTTCCCTTCCTATTTCTTGTTGTTGTCCAGCATCACATTGTTTCGCTTCAATCTAATGCAGAGAAAAGAACGAACTCGTGCCTGACAAGAAGAACACAAAACCGTATACAGTAGGCAGGTTTTCGTATGCAATAGGACGAGTAACGTAGTGGTATGAGGTGCCGCTATAACCAGATCGAGCCCAAGTTCGATCCTGTCCCTGCGCCTCTACCCTCCGAGATAAATTGGTACCAGAGTAATCTGGGAGAATAAAAGCACTGCCTTGGTGACTGACTTGGCCCCAGCAAATCACTATGGCCCCGCACGCGTTCACTACCCTCTTCGAATTTAAAGTAGAATGGGTTCAGCACATGCCCGCAAAGGGTACTGAAGACGCACTCCTTGGAGGACGTGCAGGATCCTCCAAAGGCCCGCCGCTTCTTCTCCAGGCGCACCCTTGGGAGGCAATAATCGCTTGGCGCCTACCTCGCGCTTGTGTCGCACTTGTCTCGCACATTTCTGCGATAGTTCCCCTCCGGACAATCGCCTTGTTTCTCCTAGCATTAATTGGAAAGTTCACTGCCTGAACGAGGATTTCTCAATCATAACAAAAGATGATGTGAAATTTTCAGTAATTAACCAATGAATGTGAAACATTCGGTCACCTTAGTCGAGGTAAAATAGAAAGGTGGTTGTTTTTGTAGCGGAAAGGATCAACGTTTATCACTAACAAACGAAAGAAAATATGAGAATTAAGCTGACTGACAGGCAAATACATTCTACTGTGGCTATTGAGATATGTGGATAAAAAAGAAGCTCTCACCAGCGGAACCAAGTCATGGACATATCAGTGGAAATATACAACTTCAAAGAAACGTTGTACATCATTTTTTTTAGCAATTTTGGGGCTGTACTCCTTACGGTAACCGATGCTTTAAACATCAGAGCAAAATTGTTGGCGAAAATTCTTTTTAATTGGTTCCCCCCAAATGCCATGTTTGTGCGAAGCTTGATTAAAATACTTGTAAACATCCTACATTTAGCCTGAGGTCATCTGTACGTTTTCCGGTTCCTGGGCTACACTTCCATCAATAAATACAAAAAGTCCATAACCTCCACTGGAGAAACCTTCGCAAATATAAGTCAGCATTTCGAGTTCTATATATTGGTATGCTTCAACTTCCAAACTGCCACTTCGACTGACTGACTTTCTTGGCAAGAGACAATCAGTCTACTTTTATTATTGTTAGTTCCCACAGCTTTTTCTTTTCCTTGTTATCATTGAAAAATCATTGTTCAAGCAGTAACCTTTTTAATTAATGCTAGGGGAAACAAGGCGATTGTCCAGAAGGGAACTATCGCAGAAATGTGCGAGACAAGTGCGACACAAGCGCGAGGTACAGTCTGCCCCAATCCCAACCAGGCCAAAATTGGCATGGCGGGAACCCGTGCCGCGAGGGTATTGCGTCACATCTACGGCTAGCCAGTCTGCTCCCTCCTCAATCGCTTCGCCCTCTGCGACAGCGCGCGTATGCAGCGCAGACCCTTAGCGTTGCGAGCGCGCAAATTCAGCCGGCGGTTCGGCCTGATCCCAATTGGGGCAAACTATAGGCGCGAAGCGATTATTGCCTCCCAAGGGCGCGCCTGGAGAAGAAGCGGCGGGCCTTTGGAGGATCCTGCAACGCCGCCGCACTCCTTTATCCTCTAGTTTTTCGAAAATACACACCTAAATTCGTGACCAGCACATTCACCTGAACATCTGGTCATCTAGTGAGCAGAGTAATTCTTCACATTTTATTTGAGCAAGAAAGGAGGGGGTATAAAATGCATGACCATTATTGGGCAAAATAACAGAATACGATATACTATGAAAGTTGAATGGGCACTCAAGTACTAGAGATAAGATGACTGATAAAGCAATTTGAGATATTCAAATTGAAAGAGGCACATAGAAGACCTGAAGTTAATCAAGTATGACTATGATCATTCTTAGATAATTACGGTTTCAAACTCGCAATCGTCGCAATACAACCCTAGTCGGCCATCGCGCTGCACGGCTCGCGGTTGCGTTCCGCATTCCGTTGCTTCATGAGTGAGAAATCCTTCTGAGAGTAATCTTCTCAGCTCGGATTGAGTAGGCGGAGTACGTTCGGTGTTAAACTCATGTCGAAAATGGCAATTCTAAAGAATCACACTGAGGAAACTTCCGCAACAAATGTTTGACCTTCTTACCTGACATGTGGCTGACCGCGTGTCCACGGTCAATGGTGAACGTAAGCAGGATGGGCAGTATACTGGTGGGTTTAGAAACTCTTCCACATCTGCTGCTAACTGCTCATCTTCCATCCTTTGCATGTCATCATATTCTATATCATGGAAACGAGTTGCAAACAGCCTGCCAAAGCGCCAAGTGATGACTGACCTTCCTGGAGAAGGGCTTTAGTGATTGATTCGTAAAGCTCCAACAATCTGTCAGGATCATAGTCGGCAAATTCAGACTTCATCTCGGTAGTAACCTTCAAGGATGCGAAATGTGAGAAATGGCTTACTAACCGAGTTTAAACTTCGACTACATGACAATGGTCACTGAAAAGGAGGGGTGGGAGGGGGGCTACTCAGACGTTTGTGGTTAAGTTCCGCAAGAGTCTTGTGAGACTCAACCACGAACTACGGCACTAAAGGTAGTCTAAGGGATTAAAAGTAGTCTTGCGCGAGGACCTGATTTTGTCCCGAACTTAGGGCCGGACATATAGGGCTTATCAAGCACAGTGTCGCTTGCATCAGCATCTCCACTCCCGCGCTGGACTCTGCGTCTTTTCCGCAAACATGCTCTCTAATCCCTTCCAATCGACTGAGGCTCCGCCTTTCCCACGCCGTCATGAGAAAGTGATCAGAGAGCATGTTCGCGGAAGAGATGCAGAATCAAGCGCGGTAGTGGAGATGCTGATGCAAGCGACACTGCGTTTGATAAGCCCTATAATTGACACTGACTGTACATCCAGCATGGTTCCGAGCGGGGCCAATCATTATGTGTCCCGCGCTGATGCATGCAAATGATGGCCCCAAGAGCGGGTTTGAAGGCAAATCTTCTGGCCTTGGATGATTCACTTGCGCTGTAGGGATCAAGTAGCAATTGCCGAACCTAAGGGGATCGCCCCTTAGGCTGCCCTTAGGAGTGCTGCCAGGGTTGCCAGCCGTTAGGGGCCTTATAGTAGTCTCTGTCTGTTACGCTTCCTAAGGCACGCACCATATTTGATCCGCTTGACCCGCTTCATCATTGGTTAGTTGGCTGACTTGACCAATAGCGAAGTGGATGAAGCGGATCAAGCGGATCAAGTAACGCGCGTGCTTAAGGGAACGATCGATAGGTTGCCGGCAACTTACCCCCCAACACCCTGACAACATGGCAGATCCGGTAGCTTGGACAGTCTGTATAGTTTATACAGGCTGTCCAAGCTATGCTCGATGCCCAGATTGGCCCGAGCACCTCTTCACAGAGCCAAACAACTCACCGTTTCTCGCACTACGTGTTCAAGATCTCGTCGCGAATTGAACTGCTTGAGTCTCTTTTCGCGCAGTTTTTCAGCACACCTCTGAAAATCAGCCATTACGATAATGTTTAGCAAGGAGTGTTCCTGCCATACCATTTTGAGTGCATTCCTCAGTGCTGAACATCGACCAGTATTTTTGTACAAATGCAAGTGATTTGATGTAGTCGTCGACATCTATTATCTGTAAACCAAGTTGTCTGATTGATTTCCGTTATAACAAAAGAGCTTCATGATTTCGCATAGAAAGCATGATTTATCCGAAAACGATCGCTATGAGAATGGGCTAATTTATAAGCTTGGATGAGAGTGAGGCATATATGGGAAGTCAATCCAGATATCATTTCTGGAGCACAAAACATGTGCAAATTCAGGTTTTCATTTTGTGTTACAGATGACGGAGACTACGTGCGGACGCGATGTCGCCGATAGGCTCGGCCAACTGGTATTTGTCTGAACACGGAACGATCCCACCTTAAGGTAGCGAATTGTATTAAACCGCATATCATTAGATGCGTCTTGATGAGCTGATTTCAAATCTACCTTCCACATCTGCGATGCTGTTCTCTGGAAGAAGAATCAGCTTTCAAAGTTTAAATTTGGCAAACATCCAGCGCCATATCCTCAAGACCTGGCTGTTCAAAAACACTTATCTATGTCTACGGTAAATATGTGCATCACTTGAAATCAGTGCACTCAATATCTTGCTAGTTATTTAGCACTTCCGAGTTGATTTTGGAGCACATCATGCATCAAAGCTCCAGTGCATTCACACATCTAAACGCGGTTAAATTTGTGAAGTCATCAAATTTCTAACGTATTATGTGCTTTGAAATCCAACTTGGAACTCTTTGACTAGCAAAAGATTGAGTGCACTGTTTTCGAGGGATGCTCACATTCATCGGAGACGAAGATCAATGTTTTTAAACAACTAGTTCTTGAGGTTGTGACGCTTGATGTTTGCCATATTTGAACATTTGAACTCTAATAACTTTTTCCAGAGAACGGCATCGCAGATATGGAAGGTTAATTCGGAATTCATCAAGACGCATCTAATAATATACGTTTCATTCCAATAGGCCACCTTAAGTTGGGATCGTTCCCTGAGTGTGCTTGACAAAGACCGGACGAACGATCTTGCGTGTGAAAAGAAGCTATCGTCCTTTCACCCCGTTGTAGCGGGCACGCAGCCTCAGACGCTCTCCCGCGAAGCGGTTTTGACCGCGGCGCAGGATCGATACGGCTGATCAGCTGTCTATCCGTCCGTTGCCACGGGAGTAGGTGAGTTTTTGATAATTTCATTTGCTTGCAGGTTGCAACAAAAGGTTGGAAGGTGAGTCGAGAAAGTCTGTTAACTTTATATATAAGTGAATTGTTCGCTGAAAAAGCTGACTATCCAATCTAAGCGCAATTTCAGCCAGTTTTTGAAATTTTTGTTCATGTAATCAAGATATCACTCATAAATAAACTTGAAGACTTTTTCAACTTATCTTCCATCCTTTTGTTGCAACCTGCAAACAAAAAGATAATGAAATTATCAAAAACTCATCAATTCCTGTGGCAGCGGACGGATGAACAGCTGATCAAAAGTATCGACCCTGCGCCGCGGTCAAAACCGCTTCGCGGGAGAGCGTCTGAGGCTGCGTGCCCGCTACAACGGGGTGAAAGGACGATACACCTAGAATACCGGCTTCTTGCGCGCGCAAAATTTCGGCATTGCTGGAGTGGCTTTTTTTTACGCGCAAAATTAGTTGCTCAATCTCGGCACCGCAAGTGCACTAAACTCTGCGAAAAATCAACTGGATGATCTATGACTGCCTATGTAAGTAGCTTAGGAATGTACAAAAACTTCCTTGCCAACTAATATTTACAGCCAGTGAAGATGAGGTATTGATAAAAATTCAGCACAATTCGATGTTCCGAATTTTTACATGCTTAGCACTGCATTAGATAATCAGTCCAGCTTTGTAGGTTTTCGTCTTTATGAAAAGGGATTTAACTTTGAAGAAAGGACGTTTTGTCTATGACGAATTTCATCACACAAAATACTGACAACTGCTAATGCAAAGATAGGTTTCGCCGTATTCATCATTGATACCTTGAGGTAAATTCTACCTCCAGGTAGTTTTATCACTCATTATCAGCAAGTACCCGTATTCACAAAGTACCTTGAGGTAAATTCTCAATGTAATTTTGTGCTGATATTGAGTGATAAAACTACCTGGAGGTAGAATTTACCTCAAGGTATCAATGATGAATAGGGCCACTGGTTCAAAATGTTTATTGTGAAAGGCATCAGGGATACATGAGGATGAATGAAGAGCGGAGGTTATGCTCTAGGATATGAATTTTTCTAAGCCGCGCTCCCCTTAACAGTGGGGATCGCCTATGTGGCCGTAAGAATGGGGCCGATACATTATGATCGTAAGGTAGGTGCCAGACTAAGCGAATGTTTTGTTCAGCTGCAGAAGGCTCGCAGAATCAACATCAAATCTTCCCCGGACCTGCAGCTGAAGCAGGCAATCGAGCGCAGAATTAACGTTAATTCCGCTTTTGCAGCTGAACAAAGGCAGCAGAGAAGTTTTTTGGGAGCGAGGGGAACGACAAAAAATCTCCTTCGCGTGAAGCAGACTACCAAAAGCGGGATTCGAAGTCGACTCGTTTTGTATCTCTATGCATATGCACTACATATGCACATGCGCATACGGTTGTGTCAACGCTCAGCCCAAGTGCTGCGCATACGCATCGCCATGATTTTGCGTTGCGTATACGGCTTGGTTGTCTGCTTTCTCTTCAATCTCTTCGCTCCATCCGACAGTACGCATACGAGAATCCTTGGCGCTAGGAGCGCGCAATTACTGCAACGTTTCGACTTGGTCCCAATTGGGACAGACTGTACCATCCATACAACACATGGCATCCCGGATTTCGCTGCATATACATCAAAATGACCGCTTTTTCAACGTTTCGAAATATATCGTATACTTCACGTATCAGCAGTGGGAGCTATGTGAAATAACTTTGTATGTGAAGCAACTCATTCAGGATGGGTACCGGCGATATGGAGAGTTTGTGCATTGACACTGAGATACGAAACTATACATGGTATAACATTGTAGACAGAGTCTGTCACAAACGGGATCAGTCAAATGTCACAGTCGGGATCATGCCAAGATGTTCCTGGAGATCGCTCGCATCGCTAGCGTTGCGCTGCATGAGCGCAAAGCACCGCAGGAAAGACTAAAAAATGAAACTAGAGCATTTCCAACGTAACGCAAAAACACGGCGAAGCTTAGGGTGCCTTCATACCGGGCCGGCAGCCGCCGCTAGCCGCCCATAGCAGCTTTAGCGCACTATCCCAATATTCCAAGGCCTTTCCAAAACGCACAAAGAATAAGTTATTTGTAATCAGCATGTTGAACAATCCCATCAAACCGCGTTCGAGCAAGATTCATGGTTTCATTTTTGGGATGCGGGTACTGGAATAGTGCACAAAAGCGGTTAGCGGCGGCTGTCGGCGCGGTATGAAGGCACCCTTAGGCGCTTCTCCAATTTAGCCTGAGAACGTCAACGAGAGCGCTAAGAAACAAGACGCAATATCTACGGCATTAGAGAAGTCACTGCGCCTTTAAGCAGCTTACAATCTCTTTTGGCTGTTATAAGGAGACAATAGCACAGTGCCCAAAGAACGTTCATCACTAGCAGTTATTACAGTCATTAGCCTTCATGAGACGCTAGCTGGCTTTACGCTCATCTTTCAGGCATATATTACACAGGTCTTTGTGGGTCATTTTTAATGTGACAGAGGAGTCTCAGGTCAACGACGCTTGAGGCTATGGCTTCAGTCGTTTTCAATACCTAAGGCAGTGTCCAGGCAAATCTGGGCACATTGGTTTTTCACCTGAAACTGATAAGGGGATCCTAACCAAGGCAATGATTCATACACGGCTGCGAAAGTCGTCCCCAAACCCTCCACACCTGCGCCGTGACCGTAATTCGCGAGTGACTTGGAATGGTTACCAAAGCGAACGTTAATATGAGCGAAGTCATTTTCGGGTTACGATCACGGCGTAGACGCGAAGGTTCTGGGGACGGATTCCTCAGCCTTGAATCATTTCGCTGCCGCTTAGTGCCTTAGTTGGGATCTCCTCATCAGTTTTCAGGCGAAAAACCTATGCGTTCAGCCTGGACGCTGCCTTTGATAGCTGTTGGGGTAATCTGCAGAAAGTCGAGCAAATTCTACAGTCGACTGGATTTTGTCTGATGTAGCGTGCTAGCCGTGTTAAGAAAACGCGATAAAATCTGCGCGTGAACAAACAGCTACGCTTGTGAGGCCGGCCAATTGCGCGCGCATATTGCCGCCATTTCAGACGTATTTACTTGTTCACGCGCAAGTTTTACGCATTTTCTTGGCACCGCAAGCACACTCTATCAGATGGAGAATCCACTCGATTGTATATTGTGCTTCGATTTGAATCGAATCTGACTTGATAAATTACTAGACAGGACGAAATCCAGGAGACGAAACAAGGTTTCCACGTACCTGAATGCATCGGAATTACCGGCAGATACCGTATGCATGAGTATCTCAAAGCGGCATTCAACTTGTCAAATTCAAAAAGGACTTTTGTATTAGTCATTAGAGAATTCTAGTGTAGGAATAGAAGAACGCTTCGAACGAAAAGCAAATATAAAGCAAGCAAAAATTTCGAGTCTATAGAACTTTAACAGATATAAAGACGAATGATAAAATATAGAAGATGCCCCCACATACTCGAATAGCTGTCAAAAAAACATCTGACAGAATACTAATAATAAGCCAGCTGCTGTACGTAACACATGTTTATTACACCTGGAGATAACACATGAGAAACTGATAATGAGCTAGCAAATCTACTATGTGCTTATACTCGTTAGCGAAGAAAAAAAACAGAAATAATTGAAGCAACAGATTTCATAACGTTGCTATCAGAGAAAATAAAGAGAACAAGAAAACAACCGGATTCAATGTCAAATTTCTCAATAATAATATGGTTGCTGATCAAAATACTGCGGTTGCATAGGAGGTGCACCGTAAACCATCGGTGGTTGACCCATAATTTGTGGCTCCGGATAGAACGGAGGATTGTGATAAGGGAGTTGCTGCTGCTGCGCGTAAACAGGAGGATACTGATTAGGATAGACATTACCACCCATTGCGGGATAAACTGGCTGATTAGCTACGGGGAAGTTATGTGGAGATGGTTGTCGTACTACCTGAGGTGATGGTTCTTCCCTGCGCGGCGAATCATCTCGACGAGGTGGTTCCAAATTCAGTCCTAGCAGCGGCTGCGGTACCGGCTGTGGCCAGTGCATAGGATTTCCTACTTTTGCATGATCCCACGGAAGTCGTTCCACCTTCTTCTTCTGCTCTTTGGCGGGTTTTTCTTCCTTTTTCTTACTTTCCGCAGCACTTCCATCAGGAAGAATGGTCCTACGTAGTGGCATTCTCTGGCGAGGATCAAGGAGTTCATCATCTTGTGTGGTTCTCTTATCACCGATTTTTGAGGTCTCTTCTTCACGTGATCTTCGGACTCTTTCGCCACTATACGCTGCCCGATCTCCATTGTCCTTTTCATCACTTCGGCGATCTTGAGATCTTTCTCTTTCGATTGCTGTCTTACGTGATCTACGGGATTGACGAATCGGATCTCTAGACCACTCGTCTGGCCGCTGCTCTACTGGCGATTCATGAGTTTTCTGAGCATGGTTCTTGGAAGTGTCTTCTCTAATCACTTCAGGGGGCCTGTTAATAACTTCCGCTAGACAGTCCCAATCATCATCGTCATCGCCGTCCTCTTCTTCAGCTTGTCTCCTCAGTCTTTCCGCTTCCTCTAACAACTTTTTCTTCCGCAAAGCTGCCTTTTCCTTCTTGGAAAGATTCTCCTCCGGTCGCGATGCACCCACGTCAGAATCATGCCTAAGCTCCTTCGAGTCTGTGCCCGGGAAAACGTACGAAATAGTTTCATTATTCGGGAATACGTCATCTCTATTCGTAATAACGAAAGGAGGAGATTTGATGAGTGGCGACTGTGCTCTCGCCGGCTGCAGATTGCCTAGAGATCGCTTCACTTCAGACAGTAACATCTGTATAGTAGACTGCTGATTTGACTGCGGCAGCGCTTGTGACTGCAACCCTCCACCATAAGCTGAAGATGTTGGTTGTGCAGGTTGAGTGCTAATGCCAAACGACTGCAAGTCTATGGCAGGTTTACTCGTAGACTGACTTCCTTGCATGATTTCTGCGCAGATTTGTGCCAGCAACTGGTCGCTTGTTGTCTGGTTAGACTTTTTCAAACCCACTTCCCGGTACAACTTGTCAATCACTGAATCGTCCAAGTTCCCACTCTTCTCCGCTTCCTGCTGCATCGTTATGAGTACACCCAATAACTTACGCATTTGTGCTTTTTCATCAGATTCCGTCTGCAAGTGAGTTTCAGATTTCTTTGAAGTTGATGGTACAGGAGCTGCCAAGTTCCTAAGCTGCTTGATCTTCTCGTCGACAAATGATTTAGATGTGACCTTTTCCGAAGCTGGGACCTGTTTTGCTGTGGATACCAACACCTTAGCAGCAGCCTTCGGGTCGCCAAGTTTTGCTAAGAAAGCTGCTGCTGTTTCTTCCCAAGACAATTTCTTATCGCTATCTTTCTTGTGCCCATGCCCACGTGACGAACTCCTGCTCTTGCTGCGCTTACGAGTTCTGCGCGATCGAGAACGCGAACGACTTCGACTGCGCTTGTTAGTTTCCTTAGAGGACCTACGATGGTGAGTGCGCTTTGAACGACTGGAACTACGTGCACGAGAACGATCAGTTGTACGACCATGTTTTTCAGGACTTTTGGAGCGTCGTCGTTTTCGGGCAGGGGATTCTGTTTTCTCGCTTTTGCGTGCCTCTTTTGCGGGTGAAGGTGGTGGCTTTCCTGCATCGCTCGAACTGCAAGGACAGGATTGAGTAACTGGCCACATCAAAGCTAATTGGTAAAGGCCGTCCACCCAAATAAAAAACGATTAAATTTCACGCTTCATATGGCAGTGCGGACCTTAACTAAGCAATGCCCAAGTCTTCAAATGATAAATTCCGAAGCGAGAGAACCACTGCAGGGGCGGTGTGTATCAATCGCCCGTCCAGCTTTCTCATTCAGGTATTCGTTTCATAGCTCGCCGCTCAGGGGATCTATATTCTTCCTTTCTTGTCCATTTTTTGGAGGCCTTAGTACTCTAATATTGTAGCATATTGAATAGCTGCACTTATTAGCTGTATAAGCTGAGATTTTCGGTATATTGTATGACCCCAAACGGGATCCTCAGAGGAACACGCCTCATTTTCGAAGTCATTTTACTTTGCAAAAACTCAATGAAAAGTTCGTAAACTTATGCTATTGATTGATTATGGAAGTTCTAAGCATGTTTCCACTAGCACAGACTGGAAGTTTTGAGTCTTTTAGAAAACCCCAGCTCGCGGGCAGAAGTTCATCGAAGATTTCGTCAACTTGGGTTTCCACTTATTACTTCCACGAAAATGCTCAGCACTGTCATAACAGATCAACAGCACAACTTTACGAAGTTTTCATTGATTTTTGCAAAGATAAATGACTCTGAAAATGATCCCCTGAGGATCCCGTTTGGATCATACAAAAGCCGAAAATGCAGCTTATACATTAAACTGCTGCTATTCATTACGCTACAATATCTGAGTAGTGACGCCACCAAAAGGTAGATGAACAAGGAAGAACCCAGATCCTCACAGCACCGAGCTATGGAGGGGATACTACCTGAATGGGAACTCTTACACGGGTGGGCGATTGATACATACCGCCCGAGAAGATAGAAGCGGCCTGTCTGGCTCCACCCGTCACGTCGATGGCTGAAGATTACAAATTCAAAATTCTTCAGAGTAGACACCAATGTTGCAAATTGAATGATCATTATGAAATGCAAGCCTTTGACAACTCCGGATGCAACCCAAGTTTGGACTTGTAATCTCCAACCACCCACATTGATGGGAGGAGCCCGCTTCCATCTTTTGAAGTGGTTTTCTCGCTTTGGAATCATCTTTTGCAGCGAAACTTGGGCGATGCTTATCTGGGGACCTCTCTATTTACAATCAATATCTCATCACTCTTTTTTGGGAGGACGGTACCTTCAAAGATGCGCAAACCTCTTCTTATCCTTTGTATCCTTTCGCTTAGACTGAGAGTCGCCTTTGTCGTGACCCTCTTTTTTGATGCTCTTCTTATCCTCTTTGTGTTTCTTTTCCGTTTCTTTTTCTTCTCTATCCTCTGCGCTAGCTTCATCACTCACAAAACTCCAGGCTTCTTTTGAGATAGGTGGAGGCACCTCTACTCGGCCGACAGTTTTTCCTGCAATAATTGTGTGATTTGACTACAAAAATTGTAGCAAGTCATTTATTTGAGATCTCACTCAAATGTATTCACCTAACCATTACAACACAGGTTGCTATCCAACATTCTATAATAGCTTATTTCACAGAGACGATGCAATCTTGTCGGCATAGTTGAGTCGCCAGCATGCGCCCGTGAATGTCCGCAACAATTGTCTTAGTGATTTGGAAGGAAGGTTAGTTGCTTGATCTACTGTCACTTACTTTGCTCACATAAGATATAAATGGAGGCCACGAAAATAGGAAATGGAACGATTAAAACGAACAGTTGCATATGAATAATAATTCTTTATTCTACCAAAAGGAGCTATTATCTGACAACGAGAAGAAGACAGTTTTGTCTTCTGTATAAATAAAGCTGGATGTCTGTTTATTTGTATAGGGCTTATCAAAATGAGTGTCGTTTGCGCCAGCATCTCCATCTTTGCGCTGGACTCTGCGTCTCTTCCGCGGGACTGCTCTCTAAGCACTTTCCTAGGGCGAGCGTGGGAAGGGCGGAGCCTCAATCATTGGAAGTGATTAGGGAACATGTGCCGCAGAAGAGACGCAGAGTCCAGCGCGAAGATGGAGATGCTGGTGCAAACCTCAGTTCGATAAGCCCTATGTGTCTGTGTGTCTTTACGCATACACCGAATAGAAATTTTTATTTCGGAACCGGTCCTGACCGAGATGGCACACATTCACTTTGGGGAGAGGGTGGGAACGGGGGGGGGGGGCCGTAAGCTGCTTTTTGTTTTGTCAATGATCGATATCGTTTTCTCGCTTTTTTTGCAAAGTTTCACCTGCAAGGCTGGGATTTGGTACAGGGGAGTAAGTGAGCATGCTGACTACGAAAATATAATTGACAGAGCCGGGCAGAGCCGCATTTGCCAGTTTTACTGAAAGAAAAAACATCAGTACATGTTAGCGAATCGTCAAGTGATTTCGCATAGTTGCGAACACGCGCGAAGCGTACCGGGCGACGCAACGTTTCGTCGCAAGTGCGCCGACGAGCGCCTAAACAATGCACGTGGATCCACGGACATATACCCTCTGTCTCACCGGCAAAAGCGCCGCGTCCAGCGGGTCGAATCCCTGATGGATCGACTAGCTCGGGCTCTGTGTCAAAGCCTAAGCGAGGCGGTCGCGGAGATGCGTAACACTCGAGAAGGTGCAACTGCCAGAATGCTCTGAGACGCCTCTGATTGGGTGGCTCGCCAAAATGCTAGATGTGTTATAAACGGCAATTCCCAAAGTAAAAGTATGTTTACACCCTTCTCAGCTTCAGAGAAAAGCCCGGAGCTCACCCAAAGAACTTACACATGGCGTCTACGCGCGAGACTTGAAAGAAATAATATGAATGACCTGCAAAATCACCTAGGCTCGATAGATCATTTCTATTGGGAGAGGGTACTGCGAAGGTTTGGGGCCCGCGGCCTTACTCGCAACAACCCTAGCCATATCAATGAATGAGAGCTGCTGATAAAGCTAGAGCCGCGAGTGATGAACAAGGTAAGCCGCGCGCATTGAGAAAAGAAAACTATACGCTGCGGGACTCACAATGATTGTCTGAGCTCTTGCTCCTCATCAATCTCTGCAGAGTTTAGGGGCAATCCAGCATGCGAGGTCGCATCCATAAGTGATGCGGCATGTCATGCTGCACACTTAACTCCATGATTTTATAAAAAAAATGATCGTGCACGAGTCTGGTTCAAACTAACCGTTTCCTTTCCAAGAGTGATCCAGAACCAGAACATGCTCAGGCCAGATACGTTCGATCGTTGCACGGTCCAGCAGAGAACGGAGACGGTTACACACTTGTCCAGGCGGTTTTTCCATCTAATATAGAGAATTCGCATCATGTTCTGGAAGCAAAACGCGCTTACCTTCCAGATCTGAATAGCAAACTGGGAAAGCATGGCTTCTCGTACAAGAGCGTTTGACTCTGATACAACGGTCTTATGATACATCTTGTAATTCCGGAACTGAAAGTGTTGATATAAGGCGAACGAAGGATAAAGGAGTAAAACCGATAGACCCTCTTCCCCCCCCCCTGCCCCTATTGCATACCGTGCGAGGATACCCGAGGTCCACGAAGGAGGTGCCTAACGGCGATAGTCGTCCCACTGACCCAAACTCTATAAATGGGAATGCAGCGCGATACGACTCACCAAAAAAGCGAGCTTGTGTCCCACTGTCTCCAAGTGCTTGAACATTTCGCTCGGCGTTGTCCAAACACCGCACATGGAGCAGTAAAATGTATCCAAGTCGGAACAATCCGCACAGACAACCTGCATAGTTGAAAGAAAAAAGCTAACGTAGACGTATTACATAGAAACACTGATAAAACTGGTCAACATCGGTAAAAAAGGAAGGGCAAGTGCATATACAAGCATCACCTCATACAAGCAATCCACACCAAGAGCACCTTCGATTCCAGCCGCTTTCTCATTGAACTGCACAGGTAACTCATTAGGTGGTATTCGCTCTGCACCCTGTCTCCAAACTAAAATAGACATTTGATGATAAGAGCTTACGCATCTGCTTGACGATCATGGATACCCGCATCGACAACACAAAAGAAAAGGAAAAAGCCAAGATAGCACTCCATATATATCAGTAACTGCAGTAAATAAATGCACGAGGTGGTAAGGACGAGTTAAGAATTAAGTAACAGCAGCGATCGTACTGCAGCATGGCTATCAGGCTTTGAATTTATTGAAGATAAAAATAACATACTACATAAAAAACCCTCTCACAATGAATTTGGTCACTGGTTCACATGCTTCTAGCCATTACAGGTGACAGGGTAAGAATAAAAAATTTCAAAATGCAACTCACTGAAGTCGACGAGCTGATCCCTTGTCTGTATAATCTTCGCATTCGATATGTATGGATCGACTCTTCTTTCAGCAAGCGATGGGCGAACATTCACAGGAGAAGCTGGCTTGATTCGTGAAGGTTTCTCTGTATCCTCCGGTCCATTGTAAACGGGAACTCGTTCGCCAATGGGAACAAATTTTGGAAATAAAGGTTTCGGCGGTTCCCTTGGTGGAGGAATTGACGTCCCGACCGCGAAAGAAACTGGTGGATGTGGAACAGCGAAGCCTGATCCATTCTGCGCCATTGGTGGAGCTTGGCCGAGCAAAGGCTGTCGATATGTTTCTTGCGGGGGACCACCAAAGTTTGACGGAGGTTTCATGTTCGGATGTACTAACTGCGGTTCCGGATAAAGAGGTGCAGTCATTAGAGGAGGTTGATGCATATTCGGAGGTCTCCCTTGACTGCTAGCTCGCTGCTCTTGCAGTTCCCGCATTTTCTTCTCCAGCTCTTGTTTCTCCACCAAAAGACGACGCTGCGCCGCTTCCTTCTCCTGAAGAGCTCTAAGCCTAGCCTTCTCGCGATCCAAGAGCGACCGTAGCTGCTCTTGCCGCTTCTGGCGATCTGCCTCTTCTTTGGCTTGTTCTTTCGCTTCTTTCGCTTTTCTTTCCTCTTCGGCTTTACGCGCTGCTTCAAGCAACAATTTCTTGACATGCGCTTTCTCTTCTTCTAGACGTTTTGCACGCTCTCTCGCCTCCTTTTCTTTGCGAGCACGCTCAGCCATTCTCTGCTTTTCTTGCTCTAACTCGAGCTCACGCTGTTTTCTGCGTTCTTCGTCTTTTTTCTTTCTCAGCTCCTGAGCTTTCTGCCGCGCTTCAGCAATATTCCTTTGACGCTCTTCCTCTTTTGCTCTCTGCATAGCCACAATTCCTTTTCGTTCTTGTTCGCCGATGGGATCGTAGATGGGAATGCAGTACTGATCTTTTAGTTGATGGTCTTTCAAAAGTTGTGCAAGGATTTTTCTCATCTCCTTTCCGCCTTCTTTAGGAAGCGAGTCAAGCTCCATGATAGTAAGGGGATGATATTTGTGCTGGAAAAACCGCACGTATGGTATCGGAAAAACAAAAGGGATTGCGCTTGAAACAGCTTACCACATAGCATAAGATATGCTGCGCAGAGCGAACATGAGCTTCGAGCGCAGCAGATCTACGCGGAATCACGACAGCACATAGGCGACAGAAAAAGTCTGGCGGGTGAGCACCCGACGCCTCATTGCTGCGTCGTTCTACAAGATCTTCCAGACCGACCACATTCAAAACGAACTCGTGCGCTTTGTCCTTTGCATTCCATTGCCATGTTACCTTCTAAACAGAACTCCCTGGTGAACCTGATAATTGGGCAAGCATGCAGTAAAAGAAGCGCACCCTCGAAGGGTCCTGTTGTTTGAACGGTTTCACAGTGTAGGAGGATGTGCTCTCAGAGAATCCAAGCATATCTAAATGTTTGTTAGAACCCTACAAACAGCTGGGTGAGGGGGTTAACTTTGGCACATAAAAAACACTTTAAGAGAATGCGAACACCATGAAGTGAGAAAACAGTGAAGTTCTTATTGAGAAAAAACTGAATGGATTCATCTCTGATTTCTTATGCGCCAAGTCAAGACAAAGGACAGTGAGTTATACCAAGTTTAGTGTTCATAAAAGCTTTCAGTCGCCCAAAGTGCTGATCTGAGGATAAGTGGCGATCCCATACGTTCTCAACGAGACCCTCCACCGTTGTTGAAAATGCCATTTCGCACTGCTAAAGTACTATACAACATCAGAAAACAGGATGTGAAATTAACGAAACTGCATTATGCGACAGAAAAACGAAACGAAAAAGAAAATCTCAAAAAACATAAGAACGAACAACCACTGTGGATATTTTGTCTAGATGGGTAAGACCCAAGGCATACCTCACGCGATTTCAGCCGCTGCGCGATTGGGCACGCAACGACTAAGCGTTTTGCTAGGACTAGGACTAGTCGTTTATGACAATTTACAAAAGCTACGCGCCTACGCTTATGAGAGCTGCGCATGGTAGATCTGTAGACATCTGGCAAAATGCTATGTTGCGGAAATTCAGCGGTTTGATGGATTCCCCGGAGGCATGCCTTGGCCTTGAACTCAATGTAAGAGTATAACAGATGGTTTGTAATCAATGAGAAAAACTGTACCCACTATCCTTAGCGGGTTGAAAAAAAAACGGCATGAGAAATCATAATAATTGGCTAAACTGACCGTGCACCGGCAAAGGATCCTTTCGACTGCGCCATTACGTTCCTTTAACGCATGAACTTTTACTCCCGATGCATTCAAAGCATCTTTGATTGGCATCTCTGTCAGCTCGGCTGTAAATGTAAGTATTATCGCTTTGTAGCACTGAAACCACATACCGCCATCATCAGCCACTGTGTCTACTATATCCAAGATACATTCGACTAAAGGACGATGAGCAGAGTCGTAACCGGTAACATCAACCTAGAATGATGCAAACTGAACTGCGCAAAAATATCTAAAAATAGAAAAAATCGAAATTACGTGAAGGCGATAGCTGCATCGAAACGCACAACATGATACTCACCTTCCTCATCGGTATCGTGCCCCAGTGCTTCATTTTCTGCGCCATTTCCGGTGAGTAAACTCGCATTTCATCCATGTCATGGTGAATTGAACGTTTCAGCCATTCAAGAGCTAGCTCCCTACTAGCAGCTTCAGTCTTCTGCACCATTACCATAGAAAGTAGATTGCGATTGGTGGCATGCTGAAATACAAACATTACTGAACAAATCTTAGAAAGTGCCCTTTCACAGTAAGAATAAAACACACCAAATAGTGGCTGAGATGCTGGAACGAGCGGATATGATTATTGATCTTTTCATGCATACCGCGAGGATACCACCGAGCGCACAACGTACATACAACCTGAAGAGACATGTGATTAGTTTCAATTCGATGTAACGGAGGGATAATTGCCTCTAGATTCTCTTGATCATCAACCACGAACTCAAGACCAACGTCACTCTGTGTCTGGATATAGAATTCATCGTCATCTTCCTACAATTAGAAAAATTGTGAGCTGCTATAAACTCGCAAGTTGCCAAATTCTGCGGCAGTTACCGAAATTCATCAAAAAAAGCTGTTCCGAAATTACCTTGATTGCCTTCCAACTCCCATGCAAATTCCATGGGGCTTTGGGAATACTTGTAGACATAGGGACAAAGCACTCATCATCTAAAATTTTAACGATAGTGAAGAGCGGAAGATGACAATGAAAATAAGCTTCGCATAAACATCAACTACGAGAAGACAACGTACGGAAACCAAAAACAGCTCTTCTGACGGCAAAGTCGAAATGTGATGGTTCTACGCAATGTGCATTCCAATAACTTTCGCAATCCTTTTCGGCATCCTTTTTAACGCAGACTGCTAGCCAACAGACCTACATACCGTAGCTATGGAAATAGCTGGAACTTTATTACAAATAAAATGATAGCGTACCGTGCAAAATAAGCAAGAAGAGTCGATGCCGAGCGGAGTCAGTGGAGGCATCAAACTCGGAAACTCGTGTGATTCCGGTTTCAAAAGTATCTTAAACAAAAATTTTACTTGCCTCAAAATCAGCGATTCAAAAAGCCTATGCCAAGTACAGGTTAGTAGATGATTGTTATAATAGATCACCTTCATATCCTTTGGAAACCAATCGATGTGAACTTTTCGGCTTTGCTCGTTTCCAAAAGCAAATTTCGGACTTTTAAGCAGCTCGAGAACCCTTGCCATCCGCGACTCTTTTGGAAATTGCGAGACTCGAAACATTTCCACGGGATTGGCTATTGTCTAATTCAGAAAAATTAACAAGTAAACTTGAGAAAAAAATAATCAGCTCACCAGGTACTGCATGATATGATTTTCACTAGAAAAATGTCGCTCAATTGACTCAACTTCACAGCAACAGAGCTGGCAGAAGCTATGCTTGTCTATATAAGTGTTAGGATAGTTACTTTCCATTTCAAATGAATTTACACTCACTGAAGGAGACGAGGAATTTTATGCCGCAGACTGGTCCATAACTGCACCCATCCACATTTTTCCATTCAACAGACAAGTTTGATTTAGCTTCAGGAACGTCGACATCCAAAACGTATTCAACGTCGACTGCAACAGCATTCTTGATGTTTGATTCAAAACGGAGTGAAATGCAGTCGTAACAAAAAACTACATATAGCAGAACTAAAAAGCGACATTGTCGTTATCTTCGAGCAGAGCCCGGCACAGATCGTCTGGAAGCAGGCTGGACTTCGTTTTTGAAGCAAACAGCAAAGGAGATATCGTTTTTGACGAGTCGGAACCCAGCACCAAGAGAAGCGGCATTTAGTCGAACACAAGCTTTTCGGACAGGTTATCACACGATTGACATGCTCTATCGTGTATGGCGAAAAGTGCGCGCGATTCGAAAGCAAAGCTAAAATAAACAAATTGCTTGTTTACAGCGCACACAGAAGCATATGACGCCAAAATTGAACTGTATGTATAGAAAATTATTTGCGAAAGTATTATGTAAGAAGATTTGAAAACTTATGTGAAGTAATAGCTTTTCCAAAATTAGATCGTCTCCAGACGGCCACCAGACGATCTGATGATTGTCTGGAGCATATATTTTCGTCACTTCACATAAGTTTCGGATCTTTTTAGCATGGACGGATTCCCCGGTCAAAAATCTATCCCTGAGCATGAAGGCACTTCCATATCATTACCTTTCCTTTGTTTTTTGCCTTCATTTCTTCTCGCTTTGTTAAATATCGCGCTCTAATGCCGAATTCTTGTGGATGGGTAGTATTCAGCTCCAAATTGATTTTCACTCTTATCTTACGTCTTTTCTTTCAGGCTAGTAAATCTTTCTTGTTTTCATCTTCTCCTAAGCAGGTAGGTCAAAGGGGACTTCGTAAAACTTCCGAAAGTCAGGGAAGACTCCGTTTTCAGAAACCCTAGAAACCGACTCGTGCCGGGCCCTGTCTTCGAGTGTGCAGAGATGTGACGTAAGGAGTTTTAACAACGTATTATCGCTGATTACGACAATCTGATTTCAATATCCAACCTATGATAATATTAGGTCGGTCCGAAAGTTCGCGCTGTTTTTCAGACCCATGCTTAAAACACTTAGAATAAGATAGGCAAACTCTGTAAGGAATATCCTATGCAGAATTTCTTGCTCTTTCTAATGATTATGTTTTTGTTCAGATTCCCTCAATGTTCGCACAATAATCGGCTGGGATTTCTAACCCATGATATTTATCCCTCTCCAGTTTGACTATTTTTGAAATTTACATTCAACTTTTGGACTAGCTTTGATAATACTGGACAGAATAAACAAAATGCAATACAATACAATTTTCTGGCATCTCTAGCTGGCTCTCTCTAGCTCATCTTCACAAAATTTTTGAAAATAGTTTTCTAATGCTATCAAATTCCAGCTTTGGGTATCGCAATCTTCAAAGAACAATAAGACTACCAAGGTGTCATTCGATGCAAATTTCTCTCCTCTTTCTGATAGATTTGGTTTCTTCCTGATTTGTGTAGTAGTTGAGGATAAAAATCAAAATAATTTTTGTTTTCAGACGCGTCCAAGGCTGAACCCAGAAAATTCGGAATTCAATACTTCGAACCGCCAAACACTCATTTGCTTGCTAAGATTAGTGCTAAATCATAATCTGTTTTGGAAGCTTCTAATTCCGAAAATTTGCCAGTGTTTGAAGCGATTTTGGAAAAATTATTTTAAAAAATACTGAAGAATTAGTTAGTGGGGCCGAAATGGTTCAGTATTGCATTTTGTTCGTCCTATCTAACTGTTATGGAAGCTAGTCCAGAATTCAAACTGGAAAGTTCAAAAAATAGCCAAACTGAAGACGAGTGAAAATCATGGAGAGACTCCTGCCGATTATTGAGCGAACGATAAGGGCTTAAGAAAACATCATATATATAAAGCTGAATGTCTGTTTGTATGTCTGTCTGTCTGTCTGTCTGTCTGTGTGTACGTATGTTCCGAATAGAAAATTCCATTTCTGAACCGATCGGGACCAAACTTGGCACACATACACTCCGGGCCCCGGCGGGTGTCATAGGCTACTTTTCGTATCGATCGATATCGATTTTATCGATTTTTTGCAAAATTTGAGCTACGGGGCTGGGAGTTGGCACAGGGGGGTAAGTGAGCATGGGGATTCCGGCCGGGGCCCGAAGTGTATGTGTGCCAAGTTTGGTCCGGATTGGTTAAGAAATGGAATTTTCTATTCGGAACATACGGCGGAGCCGGGTAAACCAGCTAGTAACCATTAAAACGAGGAAGAAACTCTGCATTGGATATTGCTTATAGCGTTTGTCTATAATCATTCTAAGTGTTCGAGCACGGGTCTGAAAAACAGCGTGAACTTTCGGACCGACCTGGTAGTTTGTGGTACTCACATTGCTCCAAAAACTGTTCTATAGCAGCCGCGTGTCGATGAGCAGGCGAAAGTTCGTGGGTGTTCCAAATTCTCTTCAAGAGCTCGTCGTTCACTGCGACCAACTGGTGACATGTCTATAGATATTATTTATGAAGACACAAAAAAAAATAAATATTTACAAACAGTACCGTGCACTGTAGAATTTTACGTGGATGAGCCTCGTCCAAACAATCTGTGTGCAATCTATACGACGGTTTCAATCGTTCAGAATCTATGGCAAGTTTAGCCATAGCTTCCTTTTCAACTATGCCAGCATCCATGACCAGACATTCTGGAGGTAGGAGCTCTCCTCCTAAAAAAGGATATGTTAGAACTAATTGAAAGAATAGCAACAAACACATAGAGAATGTATTTTCTAGCTTAAGCCATTTTCTTTCAGTAAAAAAAAAACTGAACTAATAATCGCTCGCATTACCCCAGCAAAGTTACCTTTGTTCTGCTGTAAACTGATATTTATGTTGAGCAAAAGCCGCCTCTATGTTTATAAAGTGGACCAGTAATCAATATTTGAGATTCTTCCGAAAATACAAACAAAAGGGTTGCTGAAAAGATCAAATCCCGCATGTATACGTATCTCATGAGAGCACAAGTAGTGTGTTAAACTGTGAAGGATGGCTCGACTTCCTGCCTCTTCAGGCACCATCCACCCACATCTGGGATTGGTCAGATTTGAATGCAGTACGATAGCGAAGCACCTATAAAAGTAACTGCCAAAGCCCCGCTGCCGATGGAACATTCCGAAGCAAAGAGAATGCTCCAGAAGCTGGATGCCTCTAAGGTCTCCACGCCCATCAACGTAGGTGGCAAAAAGTAATGCGTCCAAGACTGGACTACAAAGTACAGCCGAGTAATTTTCCGCTTGATATAGTCTGCTTGCACAAAAGGTGAAATGCGGTAAAATTTGCGTGTGAAGAAGTAGCCACGTCAGTACTGCCGGCATTTTACGCCCGCGGTTGGCCGGCGTCACAGTCGGAACTATTTGTTTACGCGCAAACTTTACCGCATTTCACCTTCTGTGCAAGCACACTATATTAGGCGGCAAATCTACTCGACTATCGTCTCTACCACATTTGCTGCTACTCTTCTGGCGTCGCGGACGTGCCACGTGTGACTAACACGTTGGCAACGTCGGCAGCAACACGTTGGCAACATGCAGCAACATGTTGGCGTGGCCACAATATTCTGCCAACATGTTGTGGCATGTTGCAAGCATCTTGTTGCCACGTTGCCAACATGTTAGCCACACATGGCAGGTCTGAGACGCAGACCAAGAGTAGCAGCAAATGCGGAGGGGACGATACCTAGGAAAGTTGAATTGTCGACATTCCTAGGTACTATTGAGTCTGGTTTCAAGCTCGTTTTCTCTAGACCATCCGTTGACGGGCGTCGCGACCCCAGTAGCAACCACCTTCTGCTCTTCTCAATTTGGAATACAACTTCTACGGCGCGACTGGCAATTTCTTGATGCTGCTACAGCATCAGAATCTCGCCTGTCTTACATTAGAGTGAATTGTGCCTTCGATGGTAGCGCAGTGAAGGTATTTTTGCAGGAGATTTTCAACAGAAATTGTGCGTGTATGTCTCAGAGGTTCTTCTGTATTCACGAATGAAGCATAGAAAACAAACAAAACATACCCTGCTCTTCAATGATTACGTCACAAAGTCGTCTTATTTCCTTGAACACTTCAAGCCTATCTCCATCCATATGCAAGGAGGCAATCTTGGACGAGTGAAACTCATCCTAAAAAGCATTAGGTAGTAGAGAAACACGAAATGCGCTCTATGGTGGATACCAGATATGTAGTGATATGACTCATAGACGTAAGGTGAGCATCAGCTTGCTCCATTAGCGCTCCGGACTCATAGCATATAGAACATGCCCACCAAGGCTGCACGGTGAAGGAAAAGTGAAGTTCGTGGACACATTCCAGACCTTAATTATTATTCCATGTTTAAAACTTCACTCTTCGAAAACACGAACTTACCGACAACTCGTTCACCACAAGCAGTGTATCTTTTGAGCAGTACAGATGAACCACTGAATGGCCCAAATTTTGGAATTTCCTTGGCAAAAAACTCATACACAAGAAGTTTCTGAAATGCGCAAAGAATTGCCTTGTTCAAGCGTTTGCAACTATTTTACCTTTTTATGTTTTGTTTGACTCTCATGTTTATCTTTGTCTTCGCGAGATGGACAGGAATCCTGGCAGATCTGAAGACATCACACATTAGAGCTGTTGAAAAGCCGGTGCGTTTTTTGTTGGGTATTCGATTTCTTTTGAAGTCAATAACGTTTTCATACTCATGCGCCGAAGCTGCGATATAGTCACTGCAGGGCTTGTACGTAGCAAAATGAGTAATTTTTTATTTTAGCCCTGTAACAACTCTGGCTAATACTTCGGGATTATACAAACCGGGATTACCGATGAATGGCGTCTAAGTGCACACGAGTGTGTTTTGCCCCAACAAGGTATCATAAAAAGGTGTGACTGCTTGAATCTCCAGGTTGTGTTGAATCTAATCCGAATAACTATCTTTGTTCGAGGTTTTGTCAGACTCGATGATGTTTTAAATCAGAGTATGTTCTTGAAAAAAAAAAACTCCAGCTGATACGTCCATTGAAGGTGCAAGCTACCCCCTCTCCCCCCCCCCCCCCCTCCCCCGCCATGACAGGCTTGCGGAGATTGAGATCCAACGTTTACAAAAGCTTATTAAACGCGTTGACTATCCAAGTAAGAAAACTTTTTCCGTATTCAGTAATTGATGTTCAGCATTTTATTGCTGTTCATTGAGTAGTAATGATTACTTTGTAGACGTTTTTGTCATGTACTTATAGAGCCAACACATTCGAACCAAATTTTTTTACACTCAGAAATTGATAAATGACCGAAAACGTCGCAATAACCAAGCCGATCAGGCATTTTAGGGCCCTAAAGGGTGTACTGTTGTATAGACCTCGACACGGCACCCAATTGACACCATGCGTCAGAATTGCGCACTTGGTGTCAGTACAGTGCCCGCCACTTACCTAAAGCCTGTAATTAACTGATGTTTTTTTTAACTTTACTTCTCCTCGTCTTTCTGGAGTACGGAAAAATAATTAAGGAAAGTTTTGATAGAACTGAAACATTTCAAATATTGCTACTACTGAAATATGGAGGTTATTTATCAGTCTGATTCCGAAGATGATACCCATTTTGCTTGATAGTCGTATACTGTGTAGCTCCAGCAGCTGCCTGATACTTAAACAGAACTGTTTAGGGTCTGTTCAGTAAGATTGTTTTGCATGCTCAATTAAATTAAATGATAATTTTCTCTGACAAATAAACATTGCCGACATTGACACGAAGATGTCCTTCCTAGGCTATGTTTATATGTTGTGATATAAATTGGGAAGGAGAAAAAGAGGAGCTAGCCAAAAAAGCAGAATCTTATCCCATTCGTAGGTGCGTTTACATATCCGCTAGACGCCACTGTAAGACCCTTGCAAAGGTAAAGCTCGAATTTTCATGGAAATCATCACATACGAATAGTTTTGTCTTTGATGGGTATGCTACAGTCGAGCAAATTTCCTGCTTAATATAGTGTACCTGCAGACGCGACAACGCTGGGGCGTCAATAAATGCCTTGCGAGTTCCCGAGCTAGTGTTTTCCAGTGTTTTCTTTGCTTTTTTCATGCTTTTTAGTCGATTCGTTGCTGACAAAGAGGAAAAGGTTAAGTTAAAAGTAGTTTCTGTTTTCTGAGAAGCTCTATCATCGCATATTCACAGATATCCACGTGGTAGCATTTCGCGTCAGCTTCTTATCTATTTTTTTGTCATTTCCTTTTCTTCTGTCACTTCTTCTTTCAAACCTCCTCCTTCTTGTGAGGCATTTCTTTGAACGCTAGTTGGCTTGTTTTGCAGCAACTTCGGCTTTCATCCATAAGAAAGCATTCTAATCAAGTACTTCATGTGATAAAGACAATAAGTCAATCGTAAAAACCCACTAGCGTTCAAAGAAGTACCTTACAAGTACCACGTGGATATCTGTGAATATGCGATGATAAAACTTCTCGAAAACAGAAACTACTCTCTAACTTACCCTTTTCCTCTTTGTCAGCAACGAATCGACTAAAAAGCATGAAAAAAGCAAAGAAAACACTGGAAAACACTAGCTCGGGAACTCGCAAGGCATTTATTGACGCCCCAGCGTTGTCGCGTCTGCAGGGACACTATATTAAGCAGAAAATCTACTCGACTGTATATTACTGGTGGCCTAATGTGCGCCATCAGCAAAGAGCTTTGTTGCATAAACTGGAGTTTGCCTAGGAGAAAAATAAATGGAAGTGGAGGACACAGGGCAAGGAGGCTGTCTTTTCTGAATACTATGTAGGTACCGCAAAGTTTTTAGACTGTTTGTGCCGATTACTTTTATCGCTTCTGAGCATTCATAAGGGCTCATGCTATCGTAAGTTCTTCAAGCGCGTAAGAGATAATGTAAAATACTTCGCAGATTTCCTTTACATCAATTAACTCCAAACTAAGTTACGGGAAATCATCCATTCTGAGATCTCTGCTGTTCATAAGTTTACAGGACTAGCATAGGATAGATACTATTTCTTAAATTAGCGTGCAGAACAGTTTCATCAAACAAACCCTAGGCAATTCTGTCTTTAGGCTTCAGTACGGCAGCTGGTGCAGCTATAAACGACTATCAAGCAAAATGGGTATCATCCTCGGAATCAGATTGATAAATAACCTCCATTCAGTAAAAATAGCAATATTTGAAATGTTTCAGTTCTATCAAAACTTTCCTTAATCATTTTCCGTACTCCAGAGAGACGAGGATGAAGTAAAGTTGAAAAAACATCAATTACAGGCTTTAGGTAAGCGGCGAGCACTGTACTGACGCCAAATACGCAATTCTGACGCATGGTGTCAGTTGGGTGCCGTGTCGAGGTCTATACAACAGTAAAGGGTGTAGCTATTGCTAGAAATAATTCAAGAAAGATTCTGTTGCCCCTCAAAAAAAATCCTCGGATCGCCACTTTGATAGCACCAGAAAACATCGTTTGCTCATAACTGCTAGAACTTACCATGCAAGTGTTGTTGGAGCGCCATATGTCTGTTTTGTGTGACGTTTTTACACCATTTTCTCCTTTTGCAGTCATATGGCTATTTCATCAAGTTCTAACACTATATCTGGCGTTCGAACTTGGACTACAGTGTTGCTGAAATAGAGAACCGTCAAAAGTTAGATCATTTTGAGTGAAACGGTTGTTGCGAAGCTACAGCAAACTTTCACGATGGCGAAGAACAGGGAATCCCATTGACAATGACAAGAAAAGAGGGGAGGGCTGTGCAAGTACTAAGAGAAAGAAGAAAGGCCGCGTAGGGTTTAGGAACGGCAGAATGTCCGCCGAATGCCCCTAATATTGATCGGGCGCAAAACTCGCTTGGAGCACGCCATCGGCTCAGGGGCGCAGTATTGCGAACATGAATCCAACATGAATCCAACGGCGTATACAACCTGCCCAGTCGCGATGGTCAACCCGATAATCAATTTATCAACCATGCCTTCACTGGGAACTCACTGCTTATACAACTGCACGGCTCCGCCCTCGCGGAAATCTGTGAAGTAGAAAAGCGTATACTGGATCGTAATTGTATGAGTAGTAGGCTTTCATCTGTTATTGGGCCTAGATGCAAATAGATCAACATCCGGATATCGAATGTCTGGATGGGGTCGGTGCTTGTTCAGAGAACTGAGTCTCGTCGACCCATCTCTCTTCGGAACTCCGAACATGATGGACAGCCACACATGTGTGTTGCGAGCAGTCCTTCATATAACCTATTTGGGAGTAGTTAACTTAGCGCGGAGAGCTGAATGCTGTGCAACACTCAGCTATCAAGTCAAGTCTCAGCGGTAAGCGCGTGCGAGAATTCGCAAAAGGGCGGAGAGTAATGCGACAGCCAGCGCATTTGGATCACTAATTTTCCGTAACTGTGTGCAAAGTCGGCCGAACGACCAGCAATCCAGTTGGATCTAATCTTGGCAAGTATCTCTTTAAAGAACCCTCATTCTTCGCCGAAAAAAGCCCAAAAGCGCCCAAAAAGTCCAAAAAAGCCCGAAAAGCCTAAACCCAAAAAGCCCGAAGAAGCCCAAAAAACCGAAAAAGCCCGAAAGCGCCAGAAAGAGCCGGAACGCAGAAACGAACTTTTGGTAGAATTCTAACATTATTCTGATGTACAGACGGCAGAAAATGAACAAAAAAGACACGATTGCGAAATCAACACGCATGCCTTAGGGATCGTTCAGACCGCCCTGTACTCGCTCAAATACGCCCAAATACGCTCAAATACGCCCAAACCCGCCCAAATACGCCCAAACTCGCCCGAACGCCGAAACTGCCAATGCGCGCAAATTGCGCAGCAAATTGCGCAGCAAATTGCGAAAACCAATTGGTCCCTGGAACCGAGTAGTTGAATGAAATCGAAATTAGCCGCCGAGTTGTGTGAATAAGACATTTGCACCACGCACGCAGTATTCCACGCGTGCTCCAATATGCCAATTGACACGCAATTTGCTGCGCATTTTCAGTTTCGGCGTTCGGGCGAGTTTGGGCGTATTTGGGCGTATTTGAGCGTAATTGGGCGTATTTGGGCGTATTTGAGCGAGTACAGGCGCGCCAAAACGTGCGCGCGGAAGGGAGCGTTCCAGCTTTTTCTGGCGCTTATGGGTATTTGGGCGCTTTTGGGTTTTTCTCGGCGAAGTATGACGGGTCCCTAACTATTTGGCGGATAAATGGAGACAGAGGAAACTAGCCTCTCTTCCTTGAATCAGGGTTGTTTCTTCTCCGCAATCTTTGGAATGCAATTGCGCAGATTTTAACAAGCTCAACTTCTCAACATTTCAAACGCTTCCCCTTCGGCCAGTTCGTCCCTTAGCTTTAGTCCGAATAGCTCTGGATGAACTGCTTGGGACATGCGGTGAAGCCCTCAGGTCTCGGCAAGCGGAATTCTTTTATAGGAAGGCATGGCCTCATAAAGGTCCATTCCGAAGGACCTGAGATGTGGCCCACTGCGTAATCCATGACTAGCATTAGTCATTTTAAATGACCCACCTCGACACTCTTTCTCTCCTGAAGTTTATGATGTCGCGCAAGGAGTTCGAAAGAAGTGTGGTGGCGATACCAAAGTATTCAATAACGGAAGGATGGAATTGAGTTTCTGCTCCGTCGGAATCTACCTTTTGATCAGCCCGATGATGTTGAATGCGTTGATAAGCGTTTAATGCAGACCGCGTAATTCCGTTTCCCGAAGTTGAATTGGCCTCGCGACCTCTCTCGGAAGTTGATCGTTCAACTTCGCCACTTGTGCGAAAGGTGACAAGACGAGAGGCACATCCTTCAGGATCGCTATCCGTTCACTGGTGGACATGTGCGTGCCGGGTCACTTGAAATCGGCGCATAGCCGCTTCTTACAGGTTTATTGAGTCCTTTGCGGCAGGCAGATGGGGCAGGCACTTCCTCTTGTGCCGACAGAAAGTCATTTTTCGGAGTTCTGCCCCACTAAGGGGGATTGGTACCACACCCGACACGGTCCCTGATGCTCCGGCTCTAGGAGTCTGGCGATGAAGAACGGGAGCTCGAACGACTTGATCGACAAGTGCTGCTTGGGCGGGAACAGCGATGCTTGCAATGACTTAATCGTGAACAAGAACGACTCATCTGTTAACAAGGAAGTCAGTAGAGGTTTTACTCGAAAACTGACTTGTATTTGTGGTTCGTCGGCCGACGTCTAGGACTTGAACCGTCGTGGAGATGAACTAGGCGTCCATAGCCGAGAAGAAAAACAATAGCAAACTAAGGATACATCCGAGCAAAGCTCGGTCACGCCTATTGGCGAGAGCGCTTTAGATTGAACTCAGACAATCGCAAGAAGCTCCGGAGCATACTGAGCTTGTAGACTTTCCGGAGCGGATGCTAATTGGTCTGTGTGACCTTTGCCACACGGACCAATAGCAGGGTCCGCTCCGGAAGGTCTACAAGCTCAGTTTGCTCCGGGGCTTCTTGCGATTGTTTGAGAATAGATCGATCGCGGGGTCGGTAGGTCGCGACGACGAAAAAGTCGCCACCATTTTCTGAAAAGTGAAGAAATTGATGGTATTCTCAAAGCAATCGACATTTGATTTTTATTCGCTGACCATTATAATAAGTATTATGCTTCAACAAGTCTTGCACAATCTAATATTATCGATTACCAACCAGAGGTGCGATAGGTGGAGCCGGGCCCCTCAAAAGTGAAGGTGGTTCCAGCTACCACGCCGGCCAAAAGTGCAGGTGGTAGTGCCGGACACTCACCTCCCAAAAACGTCGACCGGGGGGGGGGGGGAGCGTTAACGTCGACTGAGCTATACTTCCAGGTTGCTGCCGCCAGTGCGCGGAAAATAAGCAAACAAACGCAAAAAAAAGATTATTGATAGCATATTTTTATGTGTACGGCGGCATAAATCTATATTTAAAATAAACGTGTTTAGTAAATGGTATGCTTTGAAGTGAAAGTCAGCGAGACTTCACAGATTTTATCAAGTAAATTTCGTTTTAACGTACTGCGAAGGAAGTAGGTCGTCCAGGCAGTAACCGCCGAGAACCAGAATTTTGAATAATAAAGTAACGATAAATTATGCGAAATTTCGACTTTTATAAATCTTGCGGTTGAAGATGTCAGCAATTGCGACTTCATAGGTTTTGAAAGGGCAAGTGTTGTTCTACGAGATAGTGAATGAATTAGGTAGATCTGAGCAGTGGCCGCCTAGAACGAGAATTTCAAAAAATTAAGCGATTTTAGGTTACTTAGTGACAGCTGACGAGACTCCTATAAATCTGAAATGTAAAGGTGTGCAATGTTGCGACTTCATAAATTTTGTATAGTAAGAATTGCTCTATCGGACCTTGCCTTAACCGTAACGATCCATCAGGTACCGCCGAGACTCAGGCTCTCAAAAAAAACAGGTGAAAAAGCGCTTTTTGAAATTCAACAGCTCATAACTTCTTCAGAATTGCATGAATCATGTTGCGACTTTATAGGTTAGATTCTTCTCATCAAGAGCTTTCAGATGATATATAATATGTGGGGGGGGGGGTTCAGTGATTTTTGCGACTTTAACCCAGGGTGGAGGCTTTTCACCCCAAAGTCTCCACCTAGCCCATGTTTAACACGTTTCGGACCGGTCTGCACATGGTGCAGCACTCTGTATTAGAGGATCTTTCTGACATTTGCAGGAAGTTTTCTTTTAGTATAAGGTTATTGAGTCAAAGGTCTAAGCTCCTACTTTTCAAATGACCCTGTAGAACCGTGCCGCCGATATTTGTTTAGGAGATATGAGGACAAATCGAACAACAGTTGCAACGAAGTGCGGGAAAGCGAACGACGCGTGCGACGTCGCAACTTTTCTTTGCTTCGATTTCAAAAAGATGAACTGTAGTTTCTATATTGATGAGTACAGTCTACAAAATGAATACTTTTAGATACTATTCGAGACTGAGTTCTTGTTCCTATCCTTTAGAAAGCACAAAAGCCCCTTCCCGACAAAATTCAAACACTTCAAGTTCACTCAGAACTTTGGGTATGTAGCTTATCTGTCATGCTGATTACGGATGTAGTCCACAATCTGCGAAATAAGGTCCATTTGCTGGCTAACCACCGAAAGAACACTCTTTTTCGCCGCGCGCGATTTCGCGGTCCAAAACGTGTTAATGTATTGGCTGGAGACCGCTAGTGGAGACTTTGGGGTGAAAAGTCTCCACCTCCGGGCATATGCCGTGACAGGCGCGAAGCCCCAACATATTATATATCCTCTGAAAGCTCTTGATGAGAAGAATCTAACCTATAAGGTCGCAACATGATTCATGCAATTCTGAAGAAGTTATGAGCTGTTAAATTTCAAAAAGCGGTTTTTCACCTGTTTTTTAAGAGCCTGAATCTCAGCGGTATCTTGATGGATCGGTTCGGCTAAGGTATAGTCCGATGAAACAATTCTTACTCTACAAAACCTATGGAATCGCAACATTGCACACCTTCACATTCCAGGTTTATAGGAGTTTGAACGTCAGCTATCACTAAGTAAATTAAAATCGCTTAATTTTCTAAAAATCTCGTTCTCGGCGGCCACTGCTCGGATCGACCTAATTCATTCACTATCTTGTAGAACAACACTTGCCCTTCAAAACC